AGACCTCCACGACTCGGACCTGGGAGAGCTTGTTGTCCTCCGGGACGACGAGATCCCCAAGAGAGTCAGGTGTGGTTTTGTGCTGCCTAAGCTCTGGAAACACGATCAGGCGTTGCTAGGCAAATGCCTACAGATCGGGAATCCAGACCTGACACCCGAACGTTGGCTGCTTAACGGCATCCAACAGCAGCCTTCCATCGGGGCCACATTCGTTGTGGTTTCGATCCCTGAGGACGTTGTGCCTGCGATCCTGGCTAGGGGACGCCGACTCAGCTTTATGTTTGGGTCGGTGTACCTGAAGTTCAGGGACGCCAAGGGGAAGTACGTCGACACTCTGCCGACGTCCAACCCCTCAGCACCACTCGGGGCTCAAACCACAGCGAAACCTACACCAGCGCCCCCAACACCATCCACATCCAGCGCTGGCCCCACGGACGCCGTTGTTCTACGTGCCTCGTCACCGGCTGTCGAAATTCCGGGACCCTCGCAGGTGGCGTCTTCGCCGCTCAGTGAGGAGTGTCTCCTGGAGCTCGACGGGCTGGGACTTGAGGACGTCGACTGCCAGGACGATGGCGTCCCTCTGCAGTAGTGCAAACATACTGCAAATAAATCTCCACCACAGCGTAACCGCAACGGCTCAGCTTCGGCGGTGGTTGGAGACCAACAACACAGCAGTCGCACTAATCCAGGAGCCGTGGATTAGGAGTGGCACGGTGCGAGGACTCTCCAGTATAGGAGGTAAGCTCGTTCAAGCCACTACTAGCGACGTAAGGTCCTGCATATACATTTCCAAAAACATCAGAACACAGCCCTTAATGAATTTCTGTTCCAGAGATCTCTGCGCTGTAAAACTGACCCTAAACCAAGATAATAACAGTTGTGACGTGATCATAGCCTCTGCATATATGCCTGACAGCGAGCGGGCCCCACCAGAAAACGTTGCGTCTCTGGTCCGCTTCTGTGCTCGGGAAAACGTAGATCTGATCATCGCGACAGACTCCAATGCCCATCACCCTGTGTGGGGAATGGAACAAAGCAACAACAGAGGTAACCAATTATTTGAATTCCTTCTGACTACTAACCTAGAGTTAATCAACACAGGCAATGAACCTACCTTCGTAGGCAGACGGTGCAAGACCATCATAGACCTGACCCTCGCGACACCAAGAGCGGCAACAGCTATATCTGGCTGGCATGTCTCCAATGAGGCATCATGCTCAGATCATCGCTGGATCCGTTTTACACTACAGGTAGGAACTCTACCTCCTACACCCCAAAGGTACCCTCGGAAAACCGATAAACACCGCTACGCACAACTACTGGCGGACCTTCTAAGAAACAACTCCGGTAAGGGCAGAATTGAAACCACGGAGCAGCTAGAACAACAGGTAAAACACTTGTCGGACAGCATAACGCGTTGCTACGAAGAGGCCTGCCCCCTTAGACTCCCGAACTCGAGAGTATCCGGAAAACACCACTGGTGGGGGCCGGAGCTCGAGAGATTGAGAGGAAAGGTGAGGAAGTGCCTTAACAGAGCAATGAATACATGCAGCGACACAGACTGGGACAACTACAAAGCTACCAAAGCTAAGTACAAAAAACGTATTAGATACTGGAGAACAGCCTCCTGGAGGAACTTCACCGAGGAGATAAGCTCCACCAACCAGGCAAACCGGGTAAGGAAATTGCTGGCCAAGCAAGGCCCTGGCGTGCTGGGAAGCCTGCGTCGACCTGACGGCACATTGTCCCACAATCGTGCTGACTGCGACGCTATCCTCCTAGAAACCCACTTTCCGGACTGCCAGCTTACAGAGCAGGTGACTTGGCAAGATGAACCTCCAAGTACAACAGAAGGATGCTGGAGACTAGCAGAGACGGTAATTACGCCTGAGGGAGTAAAGTGGGCTATCAACTGCTTTGCGCCTTTCAAATCTGCTGGCTCTGACGGCATCTTTCCAGCACTACTACAATGGGGCGGACAGGACGTGGTCGATGCGGCTACTCGTATACTAAGATCATGTCTGGCTCATCGGTACACTCCACATCTGTGGAGGGAGGTCAAGGTAGTATTCATACCCAAACCGGGTAAAACCGACTATACTAACCCTAAATCCTTCAGGCCCATTAGCCTAACAACCTTCTTACTTAAGACAATGGAAAGGCTATGTGACAGATACCTACGCAGTGGAGCATTAATCAATGCCCCACTACACAAACATCAACATGCCTACAGTTCAGGTAAATCTACCGAATCGGCTCTCCATCAGTTAGTCGGTAAGATAGAAGAAGCCCTTCAAAATAAACTTATCTGCCTCGGAACCTTCATCGATATAGAGGGTGCTTTCGATAAGACCAACTTCACCAGCATTGAATCTGCCCTCAGGAGACACGGAGTAGAGCAACAAATCATTGACTGGACAGTTAACATGCTTCGCAATAGAATAGTTCGGGTAAAAGGTGATGACAGCAGAGGAGCAGTGGTGGCACGAGGATGTCCGCAAGGAGGGGTCCTCTCGCCACTTCTGTGGAACCTCGTAGTTGACGACCTGCTGACCAAGCTAAACTCGAACCACTACTACACCATAGGGTATGCAGATGACATTACTATACTTACCCTAGGCACCCACGCCAGCATTACCTGTAACACCATGCAAGGTGCTCTGAAAATGATTGAATGCTGGTGCAGGAAATACGACCTCGCAGTTAATCCAACAAAAACAGAGCTGGTAATGTTTACAACCAAACGTGACGTAGGTGCTTTCAACTTGCCGAAGCTGTTTGGTATCACACTACAACTGTCGAAGGAGGTAAAGTATCTAGGCCTTATACTTGACAGTAAGCTAAACTGGAGTAACCATGTGGAACACAAAATCAAGACAGCCAGCGTAACACTTTGGCAATGTCGTCAAATGTTAGGGAAGCGCTGGGGTCTTGCACCAAAACTGTTCCTATGGTTATACTACACAGTCATACGACCAATGGTAAGTTATGGCGCCATCATATGGTGGCCGAGATCTATCCAGACTACTTGTGTCAACAAACTACAAAGCTTCCAGCGGCAGATATGCAGCGCGGTGACCGGGTGCATGAGTACAGCTCCAACCGCAGCACTGGAAGTTATTTTAAACATCACACCGCTCCATATCTACATAAGACAGGAAGCGGCTAAAACAGCGTTGAGACTACAAAAGTTTGGACTGGTAAGGTTCGAAAGAGCAAAGCATCTCAACGGTATACTGAAGGAATGGGTAAACACTCCGCTCATAGATGCTGCATGTGACAAAATAATACCCGCCTTCATATTTGACAAAAAGTATAGAATACATCTACTGGATGACAACGATCCAAAGGTAACACACAAGGCTCTCATGATCTACACCGACGGCTCTAAAACCTCATCGAGCACGGGCGCGGGTGTTTTCTCTGAGGACCTCAACATACACATCGCGTTCCCCTTAAGCCCATACAACACAGTTTTCCAAGCTGAATGTATGGGCATCACACTGGCGGCAACAGCGATCCTTTCAAGAAAGGTAACAGGTCAGGAAATACGAATACTGTCCGACAGTAAATCAGTCCTACAAGCTCTAGATGCCTGCTTAGCCAGATCGAGCCTCCTACAGGAATGCCACCAAACCTTAAACAAGGTAGGGTCAAGCAATTCCATCACCATCCAATGGATCAAGGGACACAGTGGATCACGCGGAAACGACGCTGCGGATGAGCTGGCCCGGAAGGGATCTGACACGACCCCAACAGGTCCTGAACCAATCGTCCCAATACCGGTAAGCTGTCTCGTCAATAAAATCCGCGAGCACACTGCCGAACTACACCAACAATACTGGCTCGACCTGGAGACGTGCAGGCAGACCAAGCTCGCTTTGCCACGGGTGAACGCTGCCTTCTCCAAAACTCTCCTACAGCTAAGCAAACCTACATTGCGCATGGTAACGGGTGCTATCACTGGACATGCACATTTTAACAGACATCTTTTTAACTTAGGTGTCACGGACAGCCCCCTATGCAGAGGATGCATGGAGGCAGAAGAAACAGCTACTCACGTTCTGCTGGAATGCAACGGAGTGGCCGAATACCGGGCGAAATACCTCGGCTCACCGGGAAACCTTCAAGAGGCAGTCACCAATGTGAAGGCCCTGGGGGCGTTCCTGGGGGAGCTGGGCTGGCTGGAGTGATTCCGGCCACACACCCTCCTCACGCAAAACAGGCGCCATAAGGACGTCGAGTTGCGGAAACGCCCGTAGCAAGAAGAAGAAGAAGAATGGTCGTATTTACGTAAGCCATATATGAAGCGGATACAGTTATTAAGAAGGCGATCCAACTTATTTAGAAGATTTTCATTTATATCGGGATAACATACGTCGGCGTAATCGATGATAGGCAATGAGAGATTGAACAAGGGCAATCTTGGTATGAGTGGGCAGAAAGAACTTAAACCTGTAAAGAGATCTTAGAGAATTGGTCACCCTATGCGAGACGAAATCGACATGGTCTATCCAGGAAAGTTTTTCATCTACAATCAAACCCAGGTCCTTTACTTGAGCCGAGTAAGGAATAGGAACATCGTCATAGAATATCGAATTCATCTGAGCAAGGTCAAGTTGCGACAGTAAACGTGAACTGCCAACAATGATAGCTTGACACTTGTTTGGATTGACTGATATATCAAAAATTAGCCGACCAGTTTCTGATCACCCTGAGATTATGTTTTTATTTTTTAGCATTCAACTGCTAGACGTTTAATTCTAAAGAAAAGTTTTACTAGAAAAAAATCCACGCGGACGAGGCAGCAGACGGGACTCAAACCCGCATCTTTCGCTGTTCGGGCTAATGCACTGACCATTTTGCTACCCCGGCCCTGACGGCCGTGTCGAATTTTCTCTAGCCTTAGGCTGCAAGGCAGCGCCATCTCTTCGCATTGTAGGTAACCCACTAATTTCATAATGTTTAAATTATAAACGTGAATTTATATTTGTACTTACTTTTTCTCTTCCAATTCTTTTTTCTTCTCCTTCGTGCGTTGCACCTTCTGCATTTCGGGCAGGTCGTTAGAATAGTACAGCAGGAAATGAGTGTGCACATCGCGCAATTCCTCTGGAGTTTGCACGTTCTTCAACCTATCAGGGGAAGACAAATCCATTTATGAAATCAACAAGCGTTAGTTTTTGAATACTACAATAGGGTATATTACAATTTTTGAAAACTGTTTTTATTTAAAGATTGGGACAAACGATTTAACAGAAAAATAAAAATATATAAATTAATGTCTTTTTTGTCCATTAGTCCAATTAAAGCTGATTTTTTTTAATTGTTTTGAATTTACCGCCAAAACGCTCGGTTCGATGACGTCTACTCAACTTTGTGTATAGAATTTTAACACCTATAGTCTGTGGACGATCTAACTCTATTTTACTTGTTGTTACCTTTCAATATCCTCGTCCTTGATAAGTCTCATAGTCTCCGGAATAGGGGCATCTGGGTCTTCCATCACCCTGTCTAATTGGTATTCCCGCATGTTTTCCAACAGTTTAAGTAGATTTTCCTTGCGCTGCTTCAGTTGACACCACTGCCAAACAAATTATAGTAGTATAAATAATCCAGTAAGTGATATTGGTTTATTTTTATAAGCAATCAGTGACAATCATTTTATTAAATATAATAAATATGAAGTATTATCATTGTATATACTTTATTTTAGCCAGTTTCTCATTGTTAATAAAAAGAAACAAGATACCTACCTTAGCATCATACTTGTACACCTTCCATAAGTCATTGATACTCAGTTCAGGCTGTACATACTCTTTTCGATAGAATGCTATGAAAGGCACCTCCAATGTTTGATTCCTCATAAAATCTAGTGCTTGGCGAATTTTCGTTATCGTACTAGAACCCCTGTACAAAGAAATATGGAGTTAGACCGTTTTAAAACTTATCACTACTGCAATAAATATTATATTATTTTCAATATCAAGCCAAAAGTTATTTCTAACAAAATCTATAATCTATATATTCAAGTTATTACCTTCTAGTCCTTTCTCTGGATTCTTGGGAGTCTGCCTTGGAGACAGAAGGTTTGAGGAAAGCCTGTTTATATATCCATTCAGCCTCATCCTCTAACTCTGTACTCCCTTCTTCCACCGGGGTTATTGGGACTTCTCGAATTTGCATTCGCTCGGGCACATCCATTTTACGGATCTAAGAACAGAAAAAAATATATCAATATAATCATCAGTGATCAGTTCTCAATTAAATTAAGAAGTTTCTATAAAAATCATTTTTTTTTTTAAATCTTGTTTGATATGCTGTCAATATAAATATATGTACCTCATTATCTAAGTCTGTGAAGTGACTTCTCTTCAGTTCACTAGGCTCATATATTTCAAATATGGATTTCTTGCTTGCTCGTTTTGGTTTTCCCTTTTTTGTTCTTCTCCTTTCACCTACAAAACACATGAGAAAATAACAGTCATTTCCAGACAGTATTCGGACAATCACTTTATTAAGCTTATAAATTTTATGTTAATTAATTTTTAAAATTTGATAATTTCAATTACTTTTTGATAGTATTGAATTATAAAATTTAATTATTAGAAAAATTCAAATTATTTTAAAATTACTAATTGATATTATCAAAAATTTCATTAATCATACTATCTATATGATATTATGTATGAACATATTTTTATTATTATTTAAGCATTTATCTTTGAAATATGTCACATAACAGCAACTTGCTAATTAGAGAGATTAGTAACTACAACTTAATAATGAAGATTAATGAGAGCTTGGTTATCAAGGTTTAACAAATAAAACACTACAGATGGTCTTACCATCTTCCTCCTCATCTTCAATATATTCATCCAAATCCTCGTCTTCTTCATCTTCGTAATCTTCTTCTCCGTATTTCTCAAATTCGTCATAGTCAAAGTCTACCCCAAAAATGTCTTGACCTTCTTGTAGTGATCTAAGTTCAAATAATAAGAATAATATTACCATAGTGTCATTCAAGATTGTTCTTCCAGCAAATTAGTTGCATTTTAAAAAACCTTGTAAAAAGATCAATTGATGAATAGAGGAAGCAATAAAGGCATGTGTAAACCTTAGCTAATTGTGCTTAGTATCTTCTTCATAATGGTTTTGTTTAATTTGTGTAAAAGGCTTGCAATAAATGTATGTACAATTGTACAGTCAAGACACTAAAAGGCAGCAGAAACAAGACAAATTATTATTAAAGCATTACTCATTTTGCTGTAGAGGTGTTTATGCTACAAAACCTGTGCTATGCAGAAGAATTTAATGCAATGGAAACTAATGGCTATAAAAGAAAATTATTTAATTAACTCTATCCTTATCAACATCCATATTTGTCTAGCATTGTGATAATTTTTGTGTTAAAGGATTTCGCAAATCTAAAGGTGTCCAAAGGATTTAACACATCTAACAATAGGCAAGAAGAGAAGAAGACGCATTATCAGACAGGAAGTTGATATAAAACAAAATAGGAGGAGGAAATACTTCAATAAAAAGAAATAAGACAATTTGGAAGGCCTTAGGATAAGTAATAAATCCAAAAAACATCTTCTTTTTTATTTATCAGCCAAGGTAGGTAATAGTCAGAAAGATATTGCATTTACTATGGTATGTTATAGCATGGTTTTCAAGAAGCAACTTCATAATGTATAGAATTAAAACTTACGCATCAGTAAATATAGGTTTACGTTTTTTCTTCCTTTCAGCAATGGGCCTTCCATCGTCATCAACAATAAAGTCATCAGCATCCGACTCCAAATCCTCAGCATCATCATCATACTCTGCTTCGCCACGAGGTGCAGCAGATTCTGATCTATTCTCATCCTCCTGTGTCATCAATAATTTCAAATTAACACTTTTTCTAGATGGAAGTATCAAGAGACCTGGGGTAGTTTTGTTGACTTATTAGTTTCATCAGGCACATTTTAATTATAACAGGTAATCAAAATATGCCATAATTATCATAAGGCCATCTCATTATGCTGAGACAGGAGGCAGACCATCAATGCTCAACCACAGGACAAAATTCTGAGGTACAGAGACAAACTTCTAGCAATCCATGGATTCACCATAAGGTGCCAGGTCCATTGTGTGGGAGAGAGAGAAATTCCAAGCAGTTCTGGGGACTTACAACCCAGGTGTAGGTTTAAGAAGCCCCCACCTCAACCTCAACGCTCACCTTCACTGCTCGAGTTGCCCACCCTTCCTAGCCAAATTTGATAGGAGCCTCTTAGTACAGCTTTAGTTTCACATTCCAAAATTGAACTCACTGCAGTTCTCGACAGGCCTAGGTCTTTTATAAGGTTAAAGAGAGATTTTGCTATTATACCTCTCGCTCCTACTTCTACTGCATATAAATTAACTAGATAGCCATTTTTAGTTGGTTCACTGGTTAGATCATAATATTTATTCAATTATATTGTGTGGTCTTTTGGAATGTTAGTTTCCCATGGTGCAGTGCCTAGAAAAGAACAATATGTCCGGCCTGGATGACGAAACACCAATATCTTCTGGTATGTATAATGCTTTTCATACATATCCATTGAAATAGTTTAGTCAGGTGCAGTACCTAGGAGTAAGAAAGGAAATGAAATCTGAAATTCAGTAGTTGTGGTTTAGATATGAAAACATATAATAATAAATAAATATTTCCAACACTCACACCAATTAGCCTAGCCCCAAAGTAGGCACTGAAGGTTTGTGTTATGGGATACTAGGGTAACTGATAGAATATATATAGTGATAGATATATTTATATAGAAATACATTTAAAACATCCATGACTGAAGTACAAATGACACATATTCATCAAACAAAATTCTGCCCTCACCGGGATTCATACCCAAGACCTCTTGAGTAGGCAACACCTTGAAATCCAGCATACATACCACTCGGCCAAGGAGGTTGTGGAATATATTTTTATTAACTGCCTAGCCCACTTGATATGATACACAGTCAGTGTGAAGAAGTAATAAGAAACTATTAAGGAAACATAATTATCTACAAACCTCATCAGATCCACCAACAAATAGTTTCTCTGCAATGACTTCTCTCTCCAATTCGGGATCATCTGCACCCTCATTGTCACTATCATCATCTTCTAAACGTCGCAACCTCTTAAATTTATTCTGCAATATTTAAAATATGAGATAATCTTTTATTATGTAATATGAGCACAAAAACACAGGACATGACGCTATAAATATTATTCTATTTTACGGATTTACATATCCCAGTTGGGATACAGTTTTTTTTTTTATATGTCAATAAGATGACTTGTTTACTGTTCTAACCAAGATTTCATACATAATATTATGACAGCTCTACATTATCACTACTAAAAGCTGTGCACACTCCCAATAAAAACCCAACAACAAAGATTTAGTCTACACAAGAGATTTAATTAAAATGAGTATCTTTTTTATTGTTCCCATACCCTGGCTACTTTGACACCAAGATTTTCCTCAATGAGATCATAATCTTCATCTTCCAATCGATCATCCAATTCATCATCACTTTTCTTTCTCTTTTTAGGTCCAGCACTGGCATCCGAATCTTCTCCATCACTCCCAGACTCTTCTATAGGGGCATCGTCAATCAAATCCTTAAGCTCTTCGCGTAGACGTTCTTCATCATCTAAAATCATTAAACTTATTAGAGTGCTACATTATATGAGTGCTTTATCCAGTTGCTTTACTGTAAAAACTTATCACACTCATTATATTTTCATAGGAATATTGGCTTGACAAGAAATATACCATGTAAAACAATTATTCTCAATGTAATTCATGATGAATACGTGGTATTTTTTAACAGTTTACCTTCTTCTTCTTCGTCTTCATCATCACTTTGTACTGCTGCCTTACGTTTTGGTTTTTTACGTTCCGCCGGCTGTTCATCTTCTTCTGAATCCAACTAAAAATATGAAATGGAAATAACTATGGCATGGACAGTGCAAAAATAGTTAAATGGCACAATTTAAAAACTGTCGAGCACTTTGCACTAACCTCGCTCTCTTCCGCCTCAGATTCCAGGAAATCTGCCATTTTTACTTCTAATCTACAGCTTACACTTCACTAAAACACTTTTTTATAAATGAAATCAACAAAAACTACTTAATTCTAGCTAAAAATTATTTGTGAAATGAAAAATAGGAAAAGTAAACTTGCATCGCAAAGACTGTAGTGGATCATTCAATAATTCTTTCCACAGAGTACAGATTACATTCTGTCCATAATTTCGTTCATCATTCACATTCAATGATTAAAGCCGAAAATATATTTGTCTGTTATGTAGTGTCCTCCTCCTGTAGGATAATGGTATCGATTCTAGCATGATAAATAAAAGGCTTGAAAAATAAAAGATATACTGGTGTCGATTCTGGTATGATACTCAAAAGCTAAACTGAAATTTGACAACAGTATCCTTGTCATTCTCTATACAGAATGAAAACGACAGAGTGATGTTAAAAGTTTTAAGTTTAGAGAATCCTGGCAGAATCGACACCATTGTCCTTCTATGGTCTTTTCTTAGGTCTTAACAAAAATGAAAAATTTGCTTGATTCTGGCCCTTCAGCCGTTTTCGAAACAATTTTGGAAACCAGTTTAGAGAGAATCATTTTATTTTATTGTTTTTTGAAACCGAAAGCGAATTAAGAATCAATGGTATTTTTGGCGGGATTTCATCGCATGCGGTTGGCGTCTTATTTTAATTATTCTTAAATTCGTTCATAGTGGATATTGTTAAATAAAATTGGTGTGATTTTGTGTTACAACTGTCTGCGCAACTGAAGAATTAGTGGAATCTTTAAAATATACACTATTCAACTTTACTGTAGTGTAGCTCATCATAAAAACTTACCGGAAAAGCCAACTCGATACATTTCGTTCCAAACACTCCAAAAAATTTAGGATGAGTCACACCAACATTCTAATGTAAAAATTCGAAGATTAATAAAACTAGACTTCGCTCTTGTTCTCTTTGCCTTCCCTGAAAAGGGAGAATCTTAAAAAAATAGTGTTAATTCTGGCATGATTCCGGTTATCCGGGTGGTCAACAAATCAAAACAATAAGAGTTTTTGGCGGGATTTCATCGAGTGTGGTTGGCGTCTTATTTTAATTATTCTTAAATTCGTTCATAGTGGATATTGTGAAATAAAATTGGTGTGATTTTGTGTTACAACTGTCTGCGTAACTGAAGATTTAGTAGAATCGTCAAAATATACGCTATTCCGGTCAAGTGGACGTGAGAATTTTATTGTAGTATTGACTACCTCACAGAAGCTTATCGAAAAAGCCAGCTCATTTCGTGCCAAACACTTCAAGAAACATTAGAATGCATCACACCGACATTTTTTCCGTGGCCGAGTGGTTTATACGCCGGGTTTCATGGCGTCGCCGACTCGAGAGGTCCCGGGTTCGAATCCCGGTGGGGGCAGATGTTTGTGTGATGAATACGAGCATTTGTACTCCAGTCATGGATGTTTAATATGTATTTCATATAAATATACTTATATATGTACAATATATGTATTCTATCCGTTACCCTAGTATCCCATAACACAAGCCTTTACAGTGCTTACTTTGGGGCTAGGCTAATTGGTGTGTGTTGGAATTTTTTTTTTTTTTTTTTATTTTAATGTAAAAAAAAACAGAACAATTTAACTTATGTCTAGGCTGTGTGGGCATTGCTCCTCTTGCCTTCCCTGAAAAGGGATAATTTAACAAAAAAAAAACAAATCTCGAAGGATTCGAAGAAATTTTCTGGAGCCCTCACGAAGGAATCTGCACAAAACAAAAAGCCTTATAAAAAGTACCAATTGTAAATAGATTTTAATTGAAATTACATTTATTGTTTTTTAGTCGAAATACATGCAGTATAAATCCATAAATAATGGAGACTAAAGCCCCGATCGTTAAAAATATAGTTAACGCTGGAAAAAAGTATATTCCGATAGCTGATGGAAGCAAGGTAATATAGAGGTTTATCCACATTATTTTTAAGCACATTATGAATCTCATTGAATTTTAGGTACCTACCAATATTATTAGTTCTGTGTGGTTCAAATCCCTTCGAAGTTCCACTTCTTCATAAGTCTTTTACAGAATTATGTTTAAGCTTAATTTTTACAGGTACACTTTCATTTCCAAACTTGGAAATTAGGAAAGGAAAGGATCCTTATTGATGATAGCAAAGTAATTGGAAAAAAAGAACCAATGGTGTTGGTTATTGGTAAAAAATTTAAACTAGAAGTTTGGGAGACTATTGTAAAAATGATGGTTGTGGGTGAAGTTGCTAGCTTCCGAGTACAAAAAGAGGTACAATAATGGTTTGAAATGTTAATTTTAGTTTTGACATACATTGTAAAAATTACTTTTGAGGTATTCATTTATTGAGACTTTGAATAAAAGCACTTGCTAAACTAAAAAAGTATGTATTTCCATAGAAAAAAAAAAAATTATAATCTTTTTTGTTGCAGTTGGTATACAGTTATCCATTTGTTGCTAAAACACTAAGAGAACTCGGAAAAGATGCTTGCACCATTAAACACTCATGCACTATGACATTGCACACTGAAGGCATCGGCTATCCAGATCTGGACGACCTTATAAACAATCCTTGTGATTTGGAATTTATAATAGGTAGGTATTGTTTCTATTAATGAAAAACTGTGCAACTTTTTATATGTTAAAAGGGTGGCAAATGAGTGTATTTCCTGGCCGATGGTAAGCGACCACCATAGCCTTGCAATACCAAAAATATCACTTGTACTGTTGCCTGTCCTGGCCCTATCCCCTATTCCGTAGAGCTGTGGAACCTCACTCACCTTAACCTTACTTTTGATTGATCAATGTGTATTAGAATAAACAAGAATGTCTTTAATTTATTTAACTATTGTTCACAGAATTGTTGAAAGTGGAAACTGCAGATGAATATGAAAAAGAATTATGGCAGTTAAATGTCCAAGAACGGTTGGATCTAGTTCCGATTCTCAAAGAGAAAGGCAACCAATTTTACAGAGAAAGAAAAATAGTTGAAGCCGAGGAAGCCTACAGCCAAGCTCTTGCAATATGTGAGCAGCTGATGATTAGGTATATTTATTACTAAAATTAAACTTGACATATCATATATAAAAATGATTAAAAATGTTCTCTAATTTATCCTTGTGTACTTTCATAAACAGATGAATTTGGTAAATTTATTAGTATTAGTAGTCATAAGGAAGTTATAGTTTCGTTCCACTATCACTGTCAAAGATCTGAAGCAAATATCTAAAGTTATTTTAACAATTTTTAATAAATCGAGACAATGTTTAAAATTGTGACTTATTAGATACACAATTCTGTGTTGACCATGACCAAAATGTGAAGGTGTCTGAATTGCAAAACTTCTTTACTGGAAACAATTCTATGAACTTTTATATTTATAGCACCACAATAAAAGTTTGTTCACAGCTTGTTATTAATGAGATATTTACACCAAGTCATAATGTTGTGTGATACATTCACTGGTGAATGACTAAAATAAATAGTGGTCATTCATCAGCATATATCATATATCTACTAGTGATGTAACGAATATTCGCATATTTTGCATTTCGCATTCGCAAAAGCTCTGCGAATGTTTTGCGAATATGAATATTAGAAAAAAACAATTTGAAGAAGTTGTAGTTCTGCCTTTCCTTGAATATTCATTGTTAGCCAGTTTGCATTTAGCTCATTCAGCATCGCAAAGTGTGAAATAAGTCCATGTTTCACTAGAATTCGATTTACTCATGTTAATAAATTACTATTACCACTCACAATCACTAACCTCAAAATTCACTTGTTTTGTTTACGGAAAGACCGGTGCAAGTGGAATGACACTTCAGCCGGATGAGTTCATATCAACTCAGCAATTCGAACGAGACTGCCACCATGGCATAGACAATTGGCGCCAATTTAAAAAAAAACTAAATTCGCATTTGCGAATGTCGGTACCAGACATTGTTCAAAAAATGACATTTGTTACATCACCAATATCTACATTAAGATACTCTGGTCTTTGGGTATTCACAATAACATTTATTTCATTAATCTTATATCAAATCTTATTATTATATTGTTGCATAGGGAAAGAAAATCTGATGAAGAATGGATAAATTTGAATAACATAAAACTTCCAATTCTCCTGAATTACGTACAATGCAAGCTTTTAAATGGAGATTACTATGCTGTTATAGAACATTGCAATACCATATTGGAATATGATAATGGTGAGGCAGATTCAACGTTTTAACTAAATTATAATCATAAACTATATAACAAAGTCTTACTCAGGGATGCAAAATTAATTTTTTGACATTTAAATTCATTTCTCGTTATCTCTTAATCTATTGTTAATATAACAAACATAAAGTGGCAGCATTAATTCCAATTAAATTTAAAAGTTAATTGAAGCCTCTTAGTGCGGGTGTTAGTCTTTGCTTTTTTAATTAAAACAGGTGGAAAAAAAGAACAAGATCTTCCTGATCATAAGTATCTGTTTACCGCAGATACCAAAGACATACTGTCACTTTCACATTGCCTACCTTGACCTTATCCCCAGCCCTGTGGAATTCTGCAAACCTTACACACTGGAAATATTTTCAGCAAAGTATTGTATTGTTTGACTAAAATCTTCTTTAAAGTGAAGAGTACTTCCCTGGTTGGGCACTATATTTCAACCTGAAAATATTCTGTTCTCTCATCTTTTATCACTGAATAAACTAGATAATAGAAATGTCTGTAAATAGTAGTTGATATTAAATGTTTCACATTTGCAGATAATGAAAAAGCATTATACCGAAGAGCAAAGGCACATGTGGGTGCCTGGAATCCGGACAAGGCAGAAGATGATTTCAAAAGACTAAAAGAATTGAATACCTCTAATACGAGGATGGTGAAAAATGAATTAGAAACTTTGAGAAGGCTTCGACTGGAGAAAGAGGAGGTTGACAGAGGAGCACTACAAAAAATGTTTCTGAAAGAAAATAACACAGTGCAAGAACCTGAAAACCTCAATTAATATACCAATGCTTCAAATATGTTGTATTACATATCTTTTATTATGTCTGCTATAGTAGACATTATTCTACCAATATTTATTAAAAATATAAAAATACTAACATAGGTTTATTCATATTGTTTACATGGCTCTTTTACATTTTTATGCCACAGTACTGAATTCTGTTAATTTTATAAACTTTTCAATATTTATGAAGATTGTTATTTTTAAAGTAACAGAAGTGGATTCTAGTAATATAATAAAAGTACAAAATTAACTATAAGAGAAATATTGTGTTCTTTACTTTTCCTTTGACAACCCCATGCTTTAAGTAAGGTGTGACCGAAATTATAATTAAATGGATTTAAATAATCATAATAATAAATCTTTATTCAATATCAATTATTACAACTTAAATCTAAAAAATACAAAGAGGAGGAAAAAACTACACAGCCTGCACTACGATTGTCCTGTGTTTCAGGCAAAAAGATCATAAATAAATCTACTATATTTAATCAATAGCACAATCAAAAAAGACAATAACAAAAAACAAATTTAAAAGTTTTAATAAATATGAAGCAAATTTAATCACATTTTATTTTAAAAAGGTCATCAAGTTCTCTGTATCTTCATATGGCAACCTTTTGTTATAAAGTCCATGATGGAGGCATAAGGACAATGTATCCATTGCCAATAAATTAAAAAAAAAAGTCCATGATGGCAACATTTTAAGAGTTTTGTAGGATTTAATATTCAGCGGATAAAAATTTAGTTTTAAATTCAAGCGGTTGTACAAAAATGGACCTTGAAATCATGAAATAGGTTTAATCTAGAAGAGAACGCATAAATATTTTTGTGGGCAAGCTATATCCTTTCGTCTTTCGTTAGTAATATCAGAGTTGTATGGAACTTATGGGAGGTCTAAATGTTAGTACCTTACAAGATTTATAAAAGAGATCTGTGGGATAGAGAAATGGCAGAAGGTTGCAACCTTTAAAACGGCTCGTTGGGCTCTCTCAAGAGTTAGTAATAGACTTTTAAAAGTACCACCCCAGGATGTAATACAATTAGGGACACGATATCGAATAGAAAGTATCGATACTGTACTCATGAGTAGTATCGTTAAAAAAGTATCGTACTCGTAAAAGTATCGAAATAAAAGTATCGATACTTCAAAGTATCGAGTACATTTCATAGGGCCTTATCGGACCCTCTGTAGCCTGATGAGCAACCCCCCCCCCCCCCCCCGGTGTTAAAATTGAAAGAAAAACAATCGAATTTAATTATAATAAGTATAATCAAAAACAAAAAAAGGACATGTAAATTCACAAATTGCTATATTATATAATGAAAAGAAAATAGCTGTGATTTCTGACACTAAAGAAGTGTTAATTAATATTACATTCATAATTAAAATGTTCATTAAAAAGATCGAAATTTTAAACAATTTAAAAGTATGAAACTTTTCAGATTTGTTTCAAATTAAATTTACTTTTCTTGAATTTTAATCATTACAAAAAAATTATACCCACTTATGTTAACTTGAATCTGGCACGTAGTTAACGGCTGCCATTGGCATGCTTCACTCAAGATTATAATTATAGAAGAGGTTACGTCCGTCTTTTTTTCAGGTGGTTTCAAATAGGTATACACAGCACAGACAGAATAATAGTGTTACACTTGAATAAATCAAATACAGTCAAGCGAAAAGCACAATAAACGGCGAATCAATCACAGTTCCTAACAATATGGTCGCTAAATAAATAACTATGAAACAATACAAAGCGCAAAATAAACACAGTCACAGATTGGAAAGAATTTGAATATGTCAGTTACTGACTTTATAACAACGCAATAGGGCATTTAACAGTATTAAAAATAAAGTGCCAAAATAACGAAAAAGATATGTTTTCTTATCTATTGTCACGTAACCCAAAACGCTTGGGATTGGCGGAGCCTAAAATGACGTCACACGCAAGTAAACTTTCGGTCAAAGTGACATTACATTGTATCGTTTGACGTTTTAATAACAGTCGTGTGACGTCACACACTAGTAAAACGCCATATTGTCCAGAGTAACATTTTCGCGGCAACTTGAAAATGGAGTTTTTGATTTGGTTATTTTTACTGAAATACACAACAGAATGATGAATATCCACTTTTTACGGACTCCATACACATTAGTCAATAACGTGAGATCGTTGCCTAAAACTTGTCAAATACCCTATGGAACGTTTCAGAAGGTTTGCTATGATTTAACAAGATGGCATTGCGATCAATATGAGACGCTTATCCAAATTTTTAAAGGTATCGATACTTGCCAAAAAGTACTCATTTAGTAAAAGTATCGAATACAAAGTATCGAGTACAAAAGTATCGGTATCGAAAGGAAAAGTACTCGATACCACAAAGTATCGATACTTTTTTCGTGTCCCTAAATACAATATGTTAGTATGGACTGACATAGAGCAAAAGAAACTTGAAAATTTATTTTGGAATCCGCACTACCGCGAAGTTTCTTATACACAAATATCAATTTACGGACTCTGTTGCTGAAAGCATTGATGCGAGGCCTATAAGAGTGTTGCATCGATAATTATACCTAGGTATTTTATATGACAAGTCCTTTGACCTCTGGATATTTGCCCTGGCAATATTCAATTTCTACACAATAATGAGCATACAATATTTATAAGAGCAATAGTGGATTTGCGCACAGTGTTGCCACCTTGGTGGTTTTTCCACCAGAACTGGTGCTTTTTCACGGCTTCTAGTGGTATATTTTCATGATCTAGTGGGTATAATTTTTTTAGTGGTTTTTTAACATGAAATCTAGCAACATATTTTTAAGGGGGAAATCCCCTAACTTTCCGGAATTTCATAATGCTCAATGCTTACTCTGTGACAGGGGAATTCCTACACGCGTTTGTCTGTTAAGGGCTTCCTTTAATCGTTCATTATATTTCAGAAATTAGGTTCACGTTCATTGTGTTGTTAAAAAGTGTAAAAGTTTGATTTGATAGAAACATTTGTAACAGTGTGTGAACTCCTGAAGCTGTATGTTTAGAGTATTTCATTATATGTTAGTATGGAAATTCTATTCAAGAAAAATAATTACTTACAAAAGTATAGAAAAGAATGGGAATCACTCGACGAATTCCAAACCTGGCGAGTGTTAGTAAACGTTGGTGCAACCAGTTATTTACAACATTGAAGCCTTTTTGTGTGTATTCGTAGAGTTGAACCTCACTGCATGCAGAAAAAAGCAAAGAATTATGCTAGAATAATCGACTCGGGTTGTTTTCCAATTACAGAGCATAATGCGACTCAGTGGCGCACAATGCCGTATTATGCTGATGCTTAATTGGAACGTGAATTAGTTTTCAAATGCACCAGCAGAGTGCGCTAAGTTCAGTGTTGAAAAAAAAGTCAAATGTTTGTACCTTCATCCATACTTATATATTTTTTTTAACACAGTTTGAATTAACTTTGATTATTTAAAAAAAACTATTTAATGAAACGAAAGCTTTAATAATTTTTCAACAATAAATAATATTACTAACGATAACATATAAATACATCATTTCGATCAATGCCAACTTAAAGAAAAAACACTTGTTAATTTTCTGTCTCTAAGTTGGTACCATTGCACGCATCACACGAAAGCATCACTTTTGAGAGTGCTCAATTGTGCGAAGCGTTGCTGTAGTTGGAACACTCAACGTAAAGCATTATGCCGCATAATGCGCAATAATGCTGTAATTGGAAAGCAACCAAATGTGTGCAATAGACGACAAAAAACAACAAGAAAAGAGAAGTGGATGAAGCGTTGGTTAAAAGTGTGAATGATTCTCAGCCATTTAAACTTATTGGAGTTACTGGACTACAATGATATTCATAACTTCCTAAGAATACGTGCGCAACTGCCGACTGCCACAGCGAAACTGTCCTACATCCAGTAATTCGCCGGCCAAACGGTTGTAATCCACGCGCTCGAACCGTGGATGGAAACACTGTCGCGCATGAGACTTTGTGGGCGTTCGGTGTGGTTGTCTTACTCTATCTTTATACCTAGTGCAATGAAGTATATTAACTACTACCAAATACTAACACATTCTTTAGAGGTTCAACCAGAAACCACACAGAACCACACATGTCTCATCGTCTGCCTACAACCCACACCAACAGGGTGTACAATGGACTGAGGCAGACCGCGATTATTCATACTTTCGGCATTGAACAATTTAACCATGTTACTATACTAGTGCAAGTTATATTCATGTTTCATACCTTATTCTGTCTTGTGTTAAGTTTGCTATAGATATCTGCTTCGCTTATTTCAATTTATTCCCTTCGTTAATTGTCAATATCATCAAGGAACCTGTACAGAGAAATTATACCATGAATCTCAGAGTTGAGACACTAAGCATCTTCCTCGCCATGATTAATACCTACACATTATATGTATACACACATCAATATTCACATATACATTCACGTCGATTTTCTACTCATTTTACATTTCGTTTCATGATTGGCACAGGACACTTTCGGCGTATCCTGTTTGATTCTCATAAGCCTTTGATCATGAAGCCAAGGTGTGTCAAGCAACCCTCGCACACACTCATTTTGGCCTCCCTTGTTCATCGTGGAGCCAAGGTGTGTCAAGCAACCCTCGCACACACTCATTTTGGCCTCCCTTGTATGTTCAGTCAAGTGCACTCTGACTAACTCTACGCGCAACACCCGCAAGTGTTCGCCAGTACAATCGCCAATCCATGTTACAATTGTACTGCTCGTATCATAGGTAAGCCATTCCTCTGGCTAACATCATCCCGCGCAACGCCCGCAAGCGTTCGCCAGTACAATCGCCAATCAATGTTACGAAGGTACTGCTCTTAATATAGGTAAGTCCCCTTTTTGACCTACCAATCGACACGTGAAATCATAATACACATCACATAAACCATAAATAGTAATTAATTGACTCGGGGAAGATACTTAGCTCTCATATCCAGAATCTCGCCAGCAGCACACCTTTCAGCCGGATTTGAACAGGAAAAGAAAACTTTTCTGACAGGCAATAAACCGCGGAGCTACGGACCACAGATCAAGTATTAAACTCGGTTCACCACAGATTACAGGATTTTGTTGCCATATCCAATATTTACATTTCGCGACTTGGTCACGTTTGCCCGTCGCGACAAACATGCGCCCGCAATCTTAGGACGTTGAAGGTTAAATCATGGATTGCATCCTTCGTCTAGATGGATGGAAACGGACAAGGTCACCTTTGTTGGGACCCTGGATTACACCCGTCTAGAATACGCTTAAGTCAGCTCCCCTGGAACACAACTAAGCAGACATGCCGTAGGCTGATAGAGTGGAGAGAAGGCTTTTGAGCTAGATCCTGACCAAAACATAATAGCTGATAATGCCAACGATTCACCCCGCTTGTCGATAGTAGGTAGCGGGTCAGATGGTTGGTAAAGACCATTTGATGACTTTACTCAATACTGAGGTGACAGCTATTGGTAAAATTTGTGAAAAAGAAATAAAATTACTGTAATTTTATATGAAAGAGCAACGGTATATTCATTAATTCCTTGAAGTGATTTACATAATTCATATTAACAAATAAATGCCCTAGGCCGTTGCCTAGTTCGCCTAAATGGACGGGCCGGCCCTGGACATGAATTTGATTTATTTGTTTGTAGATTGGAAATATTCGGAAACAATGTACAGTTTGTCTATAAAGTCGTGACATGAATGTTCGAGGAACTAACATTATTCATGTGTCTGGCAACATCAAACTTATGTACATCAGCTGTCATCGAGTTTCAGTTGTGGAACAGTTTACCTTTTGTATTTTTTATTGTTTGGATTAAACTGTAATAAATTAAGACGAAACTACGCAGAAAGGTATAAAAATGAGTAAAGTAAAATCGGAGTGGCACGCGGGAAGTGATTTTTAAAGTTTTCCAGCGATGTTTCGAAGACTACCAAGCTGGACGAATTTTGTGGGATTTGGATGATGTTTATGGGCGAGCAGCATCTATAATGGGTATGTAATCGTGTAACTATTTGTTTGTAATCTGCCTGAAGTTACAAATTTACTCAATTGCACATTTTTAGGTTAGATTGTCATTGTAAATAGGTAATATTGTAGTACGACCATTTCTTTTGATACGTTATTATGGTTCAACTCGGTCAGGTTTTCTACCAATTTTGAATTGATTGCTTCATGTCAATAAGTTATTGTTTCTATTCCGTTACATATTTTTTTACTTTTTTTTTTCAGGAAAATCAGAGAGTCGGATAGTCAACGAAGATTTTAAAAATGATGGGAAGTTTGAAACTCCTGGGAAAACAGACAAGGCCGACCAAAGAAAGAAATGGTCACATAAAGAACCATGGCCAGATGCTTTTAGTGAAGATACCTATCACTAATTTTACTAACTGCACATTTACAAATTGTTTCTCTAAATAAACTTTTTATATACTATAAAATAAAATTTTTAGTATTATTTTCTTAACAAGTGTGTTAAAAAACGTCGTATGATGATACTTGTGTGTATTGATGATTACCTAACGGCTCTGGTCTCATCAGCGGTAATCACCAACATTACACACTTTTACACTATAAAGTACTATTTTATCTATAATAATTTTATTCTGATTCAATTAAATATGCTTGGCTAAACTTTTTATAAGCATAGGTACCTACTATATATAAAACAGAAACAAAATACGACTGTATAGTGTGTCTTATTAATTACCTATTTTACTTGAATGAACTGCTAGTCTCAAAATCATTTTGGGCCGACTGTATAGGGTTGCTACATGCTTACTAGTGGCGCCATCATTTAATGTCACGACTTATAGACAAACTGTAGGTACGGGACGTCATTTCTTAAAACTTGGATGTATGGACTTCGTATTCCTTGCAACAATTCACAACAAGTAAAAAACAATTGACATGTAATGCCGGCAATTCACCTGGCTATTTGAATTTGCTTTGTGAACTTGACAACAGTCTGTCCTTATTGTGTTAAAGGAATGAGAAAGACAGACTGATGTCAAGTTTATAATAAAGAGGTTTGCCCTTTTCTTTGATAGCCAAGTGAAGTGTCAGCATAAGTTGTAAATGACTTGTATTAGCGATGCGCTAATAGGTACAAATGATTTTACCTTTGGACTAATTCATATCTACTAATTTGGCTATTAGAATTCGAAAGGCAAATTATTAGTATACTTATGTTATTATTCGAATAAAGACTACTAATTAGTAATAAACCTTCGACTCCAGTCGAATGATATAAAGCGCAGTCTATTTAGTGCAATGATTCGTGGAGTCGAATGATTAGTATTCGTATTATTCGAAGTCACGCATCGCTAATTTGTATTGTAAGTTGAAACCTCTGAAACACGGCCGTAAAACTTAAAAAAAATGTACCTAAGTTGAAAAGAGAGAACAGATGAGGGGTTTTTGATGGGATTTCATCGAGTGCGGTTGGCATCTTATTTTAATTATTCTTAAATTTGTTCATAGTGGATATTGTGAAATAAAATTGATGTGGTTTTGTGTAACAACTGTCTGCGTAACTGAAGAATTAGTAGAATCATTAAAATATACGCTATTCCGGTCAAGTGGACGTGAGAACTTTATTGTAGTGTTGACTACCTCACAGAAGCTTATCGGAACAGCCAACTCGATACATTTCATACCAAACACTCCAAGTAACATTAGAATGAGTCACACTAACATTCTTATGTATAAAAGTGAATAAATAATAAATTAAGACTTGGCTGTATGGGCATTGTTCCCTTTGTCTTCCCTGAAAAGGTAGAATCTTTAATAAAAAGAAACAGATAAGGGTTTTTTGGCGGGATTTCATCGAGTGCGGTTGGCGTCTTATTTAAAGTTCATTATTCTTAAATTCGTTCATAGTGGATATTGTGAAATAAAATTGGTATGGTTTTGTGTAATAAATGGTGTCGATTCTGGCATGATTCTCTAAACTTAAAACTAAATTTAATATCAGTCTCTCCTTTTCATTCTGTATAGATAATGACAAGGATGCACTATTGTCAAATTTAAGTTTAGGTTTAGAGAATCATGCCAGAATCGACACCACTGTCTGCGTAACTGAAGAATTAGTGGAATCGTTCAAATATACGCTATTCCGGTCAAGTAGACGTGAGAATTTTATTGTAGTGTTGACTACCTCACAGAAGCTTATCGAAAAAGCCAACTCGATACATTTCGTGCCAAACACTCCAAGAAACATTAGAGAAAGACTAGGCTGTATGGGCATTGTTTCCTTTGCCTTCTCTAAAACGGGTGAACTTCAACAAAAAAAAGAAACAAATAACCTAAAACTATTGACTTGTTTGTTTTGTGTTGTATTTTAAAACTCGTCATGTTAGAATATACTGAAATTAAGACTGAAAATACGGAAAATACTCATGAAGTTAAACCAGCCACGGAAGAATATGCTTATCTTGAAAGAGGTGGTTTCTCTTCAGAGAAATTTAAAATTGAACTCAGAGGACTACCAAAGTTCTATGGAATCGTGGTCAGTTAAATTGTAAACTACCTTTCATGATTTTGTACAATAGGTGTTCCAATGGTAACCAAACTGATAGCTAAGTCTCTTATTGCCATCTTCTGCTTTGATTGTTCCGGCAACCAGTTGTATGCCAAGGCAGCTAACCTACCTTCTGTTCCAAAAGTTCATGGCTTCAATTCCCAGTTAGGACATTTATCCCGAGTCTAGGTGTTATATACGTTATTTACAAATTGTACAGGCTTTGTTTACTTTTGGGATTGAATAATGGTTAAGTTGTCTGGAATTTATATATTTTACCTCTCATGTTCCACCACTTCCATATCACAAATTATGGTTAAACACAATTCAAGAAGATACGTAATAACATCCAATATTGTTCCTAGGAATTAAAAAAGCTTATGAATCAGAAGCTTGGTTTAAACACAAGCAAAATAAAGCGCCCAAAAAATGGCAGTCACTGGCTCTATGCCTGCTTCCAAAATGACGAAGATAGAAGTAAAGCTATCAAAGCTCTCAATGGATTCTCATGGAAAGGTATGATGATTTAAATGCAAACTTGGAAACAAGCATGGGGTGAGTTAACATAATATACCCTAAATCATAATTTTTATATGTCGTTGTTTAGGCAAAACACTTATAGCAGAGGTAGCAAAGCCTGCACCAGATCCTCTTGTTAGAAAGAGAAAACAAGAAGATGGTGAGGGAGTTCAAAATAAGAAAAAGAAAGATGATGGAAAGAGCCAAGAAGAGCGATTGAAAGATACCACTACTCCCTTTTGGAATATTCCCTATGAAGATCAAGTAATAATCATTTCTTTTTTAAATTTTAAAAAGATTTTTTGTAAAGCTGTTCTCAAATTTCATTTGTTTATTATTATATTATAAAAATAGCCTTTATTCTCTGACTAAAGTTTAACTTATAAATGTAAACCTTATTCCTTATTCGGCACCTGTACTGTCAGGTTGTCTAAATAAGAGCCTCCTCTAGTTTGGCACATTTCATCCTGTCCCTGGCTGTTCTATGCCATCAGTTGTGTAGGTCGCCTCCCATTGCTTCACTTGTCTTCCCCATCTTTGTTTTTCCATCTCAGGGGTACCATTCTGATTATATAAGTTGAACTTGAACTTTGAGATATAAATATCTAAACTATTCTCATAGCTATAGTTATAATACTTACTTTGATTAATTTGTTTTACAGCTCAAAATTAAACAAAATGAAATTAAAAACATATTAATGAAATTTGACAATGATGTTTGGAAAATAAGTAAGGAAAGAAGGAATTATATTGAAACCAAACGTAAAGTACATGCAGGATTAAGTTTTGAACTTCTTCCTATAAAGAAATCACCATTAACTGAAGGCTATAGGAATAAATGTGAATTCACAGTTGGAATAGATGATGAATCAAAATTACCTACTGTTGGATTCAGACTAGGGAGTTATGTTACTGGCACAGTGGGTGTTGCTCCAATACATATCTTGAATCATATATCAGAGTCAACAAAGAGAGCTGTACTGGTAACTATTAAGTTTGAATCTAAAGAAAATTTTACTAGAAAAAATTCTACTCAATCCAGGTTTCAGACAGGATTCAAACCGCCATCTTCTACTATCTGGATGGAGTTTTTGCAGTAAAATTTATTTTATTATTACATTAGCATCTGCTGCTAATTTTATAATATTTTTATAAAAAATATTTTATCTTAAAATTAGCTATTACTATTTCTTTTATTGAACTTTATATGAATTCTATATTGCAGCTTTTTGAAGAGTTTGTTCGGAAATCGGAATTAGCTCCATTCTCACCTGCTGACTATTCTGGCTATTGGAGATATTTGACTGTAAGACATTCCTCGTTTAACGGAGATGTTATGCTTATTGTTGCCATGCATCCTCAGGTAAAAAAGGATGATTAAAAACAAATTAATACAAATCAACTTTTGTTATTTAAAAAATATGAGTTATTTTGTTTTTAGAATTTAACAGAAGATGAACTAAATGGAATAAAAGATAGTCTAATTCAACACTTCAGTTCAGCAGATGCTCTAGCTTGTGGGATTAAATCTGTCTATTTTGAGCTTGTCACCAAAAAGTAAGCTATTTCTTATATTTGAAATATTTAACTAGTTTTCACCCAGAATTGGCAGTCTGTCTCCCCTAGCATGAGCACGGCGATCTGATATATAACACGTTTTTATCCCGCTCAATTGTCAAATTACTGTGCAGTTTGACAGTTAGACATGATAAAAAACGTGGTATAAAGCAAATTGACCACAATTTGCTTTATGGCAGCTCATGCTACAGGGGCTGAACTCTGACTCAATGCATAAGCACAATGATTTACATTATATCACGTTTTTTTATCACGTCTTACTGTCAAACTCCGTAGTTATTTGACAATTTAGCGTGATAAAAACAAGCTATGTATATATTTTATCGCAGTGCAACATAACCATTAATGTTATTTCATAAGTGTGTTCTTTTGTAAGTTGGAGGTTGCTTACTGAAACATGGACTTCAATTCCTCCTGTCCTGCTATGCCCTAACCAGTAGCGTCATTTGTTTTTAGGAGAGCTGGTGAAGATGGTTCTAAACCAATACATTTGATGGGATCTACTCACATAATAGATACCATACTGGGACATCAGTTTAGGATATCCCCAGAGGCTTTCTTTCAGGTAATTAATTAAAGATAATGATTTAACAAATCTTTGTATCTGTTTCCTCGAGTTTTACTTTATTGTAAGCTTAATATACATGGAAACAATTAATATACAGGTAAACACAGCAGGTGCGGACATTCTCTACCAGAGTGCAATCGACATGAGTATTGTGACGCCGCAGTCCACAGTCGTTGATATCTGCTGTGGAACTGGAACTATAGGACTATGCTTCGCTAAGGTATCTTTTAATTTTGAAACGAATTTTTATTAGATTGGTAAGAAATTAATGTATGAATGTGACCAATGAACTCCTAGAAGTGGTTTTGGCTATATATAAACAGTTGTTAGGCAGAACATCATCTTCATTTATTTTACATGCTAATAGTGGTGTCAGTGCCTGATACAAGGGAGGGGGCGAGCCGAGCATTTGCCCAGAGTGATTTGAAAAATTAGGGGCGGCAAAATTGACTTGTCAGCCGTAAAGTACGTCACTAAAGGGCGGAAATAATCTTTGCCCGGAGTGGCAAAATTTCTAGACCGAGCCCTGAGTGGTGGTGACGTACTGGAATAAGTTTAAAAGTCTAAACCAGGGATGTAACGGAGGTAAATTTATCGGAACCGAAGTCGGAGTTCGAGCTTTTAAATTTGATTTATTGGAGTCAGAATGGGAGGAGCAGCAGATTTGGGTTCAGATGCAGAGTCAGAAGTGGCCACAAGAGAGATATTTTTCGTTGAAAAAAAATTAAATATATCATTTAGTCTTCCTTTTTTAATTTTAATTATAAAACAACCTTTTTTCATTTAAATTTACTTATTATTAACACAGAATCCCAACGCGAAGGATATGAACCAGTTCGTAACGGTCGACGCAGGCCGCCGTCACTATTTGCTATGCTTCAACCTCCGATTTAAAAGTTTCGGAGTCGAAATCGGAACCGAAGGTGTAATAATAATCGGAAGTTCCGCCTTATCGGAATCGGAGTCGAAGCTCCGTAACATTCCTGGTCTAAACACTCAATACAAAAATAAACCACATATTATTTGTGTGCTCAAATCCTACTACTGCTTCTTAAAATGGTGTTTATAAAAAAAACAAGTGAGTGGAGATTACAAGTCTTTTGGTTCAGTATGTCCAAATCACAAAATGGCTAAAAGGTGAAAAACTTCCATTTCCCAAAATGTCCAAATCCCACAAGGTCCATATCCTAGCTAGGATATCAATATCCCAGTTAGTCCATTTCCTTAAACGCCCAAAATGCTAGTGTCTATTTTTGTAAGTATATTATCCGGTCAAAATTATATTTCGAGTTTGAAAACAGATAAACAACCTTTTGGCTATTTATGGAATTATACTTATTATATATATATTTTCTTATTACACCTGTTCAACAGAGTTTATGAAAAAAAAAATACAAAACTTGCCTAAACAAGGTTTGAAACCGTGTCTAACTTTTTTGTCGCTAGACCTGTCTCAAACTAAAACATTACAAGTGGTTTGGTGAACAATAGTGCCAGGTTATCAGCCTTTCTTTGACAATTATGGCCGAAACAGATGAAACGCGACGCCACCCGACGCAACGCCACGCGTGTTAAGTCAAATCAATTGTACTATTTATTATTAATAGAAGAACCACATTAGGCACATCCGACGCGACGCGATGCGGGCACACTGATCATAGAAAATACGCGTGCGTAGCGTCGCGTTTCATTAGTCTGTTGCTGCCTTTAAACGGCTTATAGGTACTATCCTGTTATTACAATAACATTTAACACATTTTTTTAACCTATGTCTACATAGCACTGCAAAAAAGTTCTCGGTCTGGAGTTGGTACCTGAAGCGGTGAAAGACGCGAAGGCGAATGCAGAATTTAATGGCATAGAGAACTGCGAATTCTTCACGGGCAAAGCGGAGGACATCCTGCCTTCTGTGCTGGCCAGGGCGGGCGGGGACGACCTGATCGCTATTGTGGACCCGCCTAGGGCCGGGCTACGTAAGTTCACCTATTATATTATCATATAATTTGTTTATAATGTCGCAATTGACTGCTTCTCATCGTCCTCGTCATCGTCCTTTCTTCCATCTCATCGTCTTATCCGTTAGGTTCCTTCCCCATGGATTTAGTCTGAGGCCCTTTAATTGAGGCGCATGCAGTGCGTTCCCTGCACCAGTCCCCGACGTCTCCTCGTCAGCGTATCCAATAGAAGCGTTCCCTGTATAGGACAGATCCCCATGGATCTAGTTGAGGTCCTTTGACTGAGGCACATGCATTGTATTCCCTGCATCAGTCCTCGACGTCTCATCGACAGTGTATTCAGTGGAAGCATTCCCTCACATTCACTATAGTCTTCTTCATTCCTAGTATAAGCTTCATTCACTTCACTTCAGTCACATTAGTGTACATGTCTTAATAGCTGAGCCAATTTACACTTTGGGACCACCATTTGCAGAATTTGATTCAAACACTCTCCCTGACGTCCACGAAAGCTTCTCGTTGGCCCTCTATCAGTGCCAATCCTCTCCGCCGGTCCCATCGTAGCCGCGGTCATGGTACCCGGGGCGCTCGAAGCCTCTACAGTACCCATAGCCCATTCCGTTCCTCGTAGGCCACATCGGGCCGCAGCCACGTTTCTCTCCGCCACGCCGCCTCGCATCCTGCCCCAGGCGCCACCACCTCTGCCTGCGTTTCTTGATCCGCCCTCGTTCGACTGTGACCATCCCAAAGCTGAACGTAGGCGCACTGGCAGTAGTGGTAGCACCACTGTGGTGAGCTGGTATCTTCATCGCGCTGACTCCTGCGAATGGTCCAATTTGCCTGTCACCGAGTGAGTAAACTTACGCTTCCGTCACGCGGTGTCACTGACATTGGGTTCGAAATTATATGCCAGTTCACGTTGGACAGTACTTTATTCACCACACAGTTCACAAAGTTAACACACAATGTTAATCACCAATACGCTCACTAAACAGAACACTGTACTTTACTATACAAGTTTTTAAACAATCGTACTTGAACACTTGCACATTGATCTCCTTTGTATTGGGTCCGAAATCGCTGTTGAAACTCAACTGTTATTGCCGTCATCGCCTTGAAAGTAAACTGTCCCGCGCGACGCCGATCGCACTTATATATGCCAATCGATGCATTATAGAAAACAACCCGTGAAATAGAGAGTTAACTAGCATCCGCGAGTGCGTAGTATCTACATAAACGTAGGTAACGCGCATAAGTTTTAAACAAGTGTAGATGTTGTTGCACTTTCTTCCTTACGCCGTACTGCATAAAGTTTATATTAGAATGAACCGCACCACTCGATCTTTATCGCGATCAATATTCACGTCGCGCGAACGCGCCCGCAGACCGCCTCTGTTTGGGGAAAACTTACTGGTTATCATTTCACAGACATGCGGGCCGTAACTCAGCTGCGGAACACTAAAAAGGTCAAACGACTGGTGTACATCTCGTGCAGTCCTTCATCAGCGGTGAAGAACTTTGTGGATTTATCCAGGGCTTCCTCTAAGACGTTGCGCGGGGCCCCATTCTTGCCTGTACGCGCTGTGCCTGTTGATATGTTCCCGCATACGAGACACGTCGAGTTGGCGATACTGTTCGAGAGAGAGGTGAGTTACTTAATGCTATCCTTATCGTGCTCTATGGCGAATGAAAAGGAAAGAATGATATTAGTGTCGATTCTGGCAGGATTCCCTTAATTTGAATATAGATTCAACATATTTGTTTCAAATGTTTTAACGCACATCAGTCATTAAAGAAATCAGTTTTTAATGGGTTATATACACTGAATTTATTTGCGTTAAAAACTGTTTTATACTCTAAATTTAACATCAGTCTGTCCTTTTCATTCTGTATAGAGAATGACAAGGATACACCGTTGTCCAATTTTAGTTTAGGTTCAGGGAATCATGTCAGAATCGACACCATTATTTATAAATTGCGAATACGAATAGCCATGTGAAGTGCCAGCATGATAAGAGTGCAGAACAAAAGATGTGGGCACCAAGATACATGTTTCGCATTGTTTCGATGGTTGAGAAACGGGAATTGAACTCGAAACTTCAGTCTAGTACCAATAAATATTTATTTACTATGGTTCAATAAATTGAAAATTATACGGTTATGGTAAAGATCTTAAAGATTGTTTTTATAAATCACTTTTTGTACGTGTATAATAAACACACGGTACAAACTAACTTCTGTTTACAATAAAATTTCAATCTTTCATCCATTGAGACGAAACGTCAACTAAATGAAAAAACTTATTTTAACAATAATTATTTTTTCCACAGCAAACTGAAGATGAAACAGAAGAAAATCAACAGGCAAAAATCGAAACTGAAGAACCACAAAGTGAAGAAACTCTGATCAATGAAGACTAGAAGATGGCATGATGATGGTTCGGTAAAATAAGAATAGCAATCCAAGTATGTTATTATTAACTGTTTTTATAGGAATATTATTGTTACATTAAGTAAAGTAATAAAGTTTTTTTAAACGTTCATGTTAGTTTAATTCATTTATTACGTAGTTCTATAGGCTATATGACAAGTTATTGAAAACGTGCATACGTTATTTTAATAAATACTTTACAATTTTAATACACTAATGTGTATAGTGATTTTATAAAAAGTGCATATTATATTTATGTTGCATATATGATTTAAAAACCGATAATAAAAAATATGTTTTTCAATAAAATGTTTCTCTAGTAAATATGGCGTCTTGCAGGCAGCTGTCGTCACACGGCTCTCATTAAAACGTCGAAAAGTACAAAGTAATGTCACTTAGACAGCATGTTTACAGGCAGGTGACGTCATTTCAGACTCCTTATCCTAGGCGTTTCCAATCACGTGAAATGAAATGAAAATATACTTTTCTTAAAGATTTTGAGTATTTTATCCAAAATATTTTCTCTCAGAATAGTGAAATTGATCTCAGTATTCATGTTAAAAACACATGCCAATAACTGGTACTTTATTTTTCATACTGTCAAATAGCCTATAAAGAATTATTGTGTACCCACATAAATGTACTTACGTTGTTTTAGATATACGTATTGGTCAAAATAGTTAGTATCAGTACTTTGTCGGTGACCTAGCCTGTTTAGGGTTCTGTAGCAAAAGGGTACCAACGAAATTGACTCCGTGGTTTGTCTGTCTTGTGAGCGATTACCTCATGAACCTTAACAGGTGGGTAGAACTGTGAAATAAAGTTCCAAATAAGCCTTGCGCATTTTTGTTCGCTCCTAAGTCTAATTTATGTTTTCGAGACACTAACATTAAACCCGCCCCCTCCCTACAATTAGTAAATATGCCTATTTTGCGATTTAGGAATTGCTTTGGGAAATATTAAACTTCAAAGTGCTAATTTTTGTTCCATTAGGGCGCCCCTCTCTCTAAAAGCTGAACTAAAATATGATAGGTTACGATAGACCAGTCATTTTAAAAGTAATAGTCGTTCAAATTATGTATTACATATTTTTTTACCTAATTAAATTTCTTAGATGAAATCATTGTATGTTTATAACGCGTAAAACCTTGCAGTTTTGCATAACTTAGAATATTAAAAAAACATAATAAAATATCTACGGAACCCTACACGCGTGGCACGACGTCTACGTATCTTTTGAACGTTCGTTTTGGAGATACTTGTGGAAATAACTGCATTAATAATCACTAACATGAGATAGAATCCTTCAAGCCTCCTTGAAAGAAGCTTAGGTAATATAATGCTTATGTCGGGCGACCCTCTCGTTATCACTCTAGGAATTTAATAAACCGTCCATACCGACGCGCGCCCCGCTCATAATGCAATACCTCAGGTCGCATACCATACTTACAATTTTATACTAAACCGTTGGCATGTCTTTCAAACGGTACAGTCGTGAACAAATTCTGAATAATATTATTTTAGTTGCGCATTAATAATCAGAAATTCTTGCATAATGCGTAACGGAAGGCTTAGTTTTTGCTGTATTTATAGGGTTATAATACAAATTCTGATATCCTATCTATCACATACCTTTCAAATAGTATTTTCGCCACAAAAAATATGTATATATAAAAATATCATTTTCGCTATATCACATATCAAAATTCAAGAAATTTGTTTCAGCGGATTAAACGTAAGTCAGTCAGAAAGATAGATACTTATTTACCCATTTAATTTTTAGTATAGATTCTAATTAAATATAATAGGGTTGCTCTTAGTTACATGCTGAACCACGCATATGGATAAAAGGATAATTCTATGTTATGGTGAGAGCTAGCTTGTCCAGAAGCAGCTAATTATTAATTCGAACTGCGCTTGGAAATACAGACGCGTTCAAGGAATTTTACTCCACTCGTTTCTTTGTTTCGTTGTATGTATTAATTGCCCTAAATTTACTAGACTCAACGACAGCATAATTATGTCGCAATTTTTTTACTGATTTTGTCCATCATAAAGAATATAGCAATTTGGTTCTTACTTACAGATTTAGGTGTCTCTCGAGTCATTACTGAGAAATTAAGTACACCGTGACATTCTGACACTTTTACATAATATAGACAGTGGTATCTCTACTCTAGCAACGCTATGACATTTTGGAAATACTGACATTATGTTTTCACTATCCATTGGTATTTTTAGCATATCGGTGTTATGACATATTGATATGGGGCGATCAAAGTACCAAGCACAAACTTTTGACAACACTGTAACGTATCGCATCGTCAAACTTTTTATGAACGCTAAGCAGCGGCTATCGGATTTAAGAACAAACTTCCTTTTCCATACAAAATTTACGACGATACGTTACGGAACTGTCAAAAGTCGTGATCGGTCCTCTGATGGTTTGGTATAATTATATCCACACCTTAGAGAACAACGAATCGTAAGTAAAAATACCTACTTTATCTTGGCTTTTTGTACTCGCCTATACCAGTCTATTGCATCGCATTCCGAAATCACCCGCAGGGCGTGAGGAGCATCCAGGCAAGTTATTCCCTAGCCCAGATTAAATTATGTCATTATACCGTCGTCTTCGTTCATTATCGTCTCGGCTGCCGAGCGAACCACAGCTCCGGCTACCACCTACCGAATAAAATGTCTCAAGTCTGAATAAATTGGACAAAATGCGTGCGAAATGTGTAGTTGCAGTGTTTTCGACTTTACTAAGTTGCCATCTCTCGTTCTCTATTTATGAAAATCCAAGTAAGTATGTTGAGTATAGGTATTTGTTATTTAAAAATGTATACTAACATAGGTATTAAATATAGAAAAAAATATTTTAAAAAAAGAGGACTGCCTCTAAATATATGACATTAGTGGTGAGTTTCTTCAATAAATCAGGTTGACAGAGCTTCTTATGATAGAGAAATATCTAAGGTTCACATTGTTGTTGCAAGACGGGAATGGCTGGTGTGATGCATCTATTTGCAACCACCAGCTTATTTCGCGACATGTACTTCAGTCGCATTAAACATCAGGCAGGATGGGTTAATATACGTAGGCTAGGGCCTTTGAATTGTATTCTTCTGTTATTAGAACAGCACTTGGCCGAAAGTGAAGCAGTGTTGGACCCGAAAGGAGAGCTGCTGTTAAAATGGAGAGTGGACTATTCGATTCGGCGGATTCAGTTCGAGATAGTATTGTCACGGAAGGCGCCAGAATTCGATTGGTTTGCTTTAGGATTTTCCGACAGAGGCGAACTGAAGAACTCCGACGTGTGTCTATTGTGGACGGATTACAAGGGGCGTGATCACTTCGAGGTAAGTTCAAGTTTTTCAAATACCTACATACATTATAGGAGTCTAGAAACCATATCTTCTTTCTAACCACATACCTCTTGTATAAATACAACTATAATAAATTATACCTACATTACTCATTGTTATACAACGTTGCAGTTAAATCCGCGCGGTCCAAAAATATCACTGGTAACTTAGTTTACTTGCTAAAAACAACACAGAGGCACACATGACCGTCCCTACTACGTGGAGAACTTAAACCATACTCATCTTTACCTATAAACAAGAGTGCGTACACTGTGTACATCTATATATATAAAACTCAAAGGTGACTGACTGACATAGTGATCTATCAACGCACAGCCCAAACCACTGGACGGATCGGGCTGAAATTTGGCATGCAGATGTTATGACGTAGGCATCCGCTAAGAAAGGGTTTTGATCAATTCTACCCCCAAGGGGATAAAATAGGGATTGAAAGTTTGTATGAAACTTTGTCGACTTTGCATGCAGGTATAAGAAGAATCATAGATGAATGTCATTGTGTATAATACAAGCCTGTGAACTGTAGTCTACACTTCAGCTCTACACCGAAGCGAAGCGAGGGCGAGCCACTAGTCTTCTATAAGGTTCCTTCTTCCTCCTTTCTCAAATCTGCTATGCTCTCCCTTTCTTAATATTTCTTTATTGGTATTCTTGATTCATAACTTTTTCAGGATATGCACGCAGATGCTCACGGGAAACTTTTTCGAGACCGGCAGCAAGATTGTGAGAGATTCCATTTAAACAGCCAATCGAGAAGTATTGTTTTCGAGCGGTCCTTTGACACCTGTGACAAAGATGACTATGTCATCGAGGTAACTGATATTTCAATTTCTTTTTAGAATCAAAATCTGATTTTTTTTTAAATTGTAGGCTAGTATTAGGATTTCGTACACAAAGGGTGACGACGAGAGTTTAATCCTTTAGTATAAGTCATTCCATCATGTCAGCGGTCGGTTTATCTCGTAATCCGTAACAGGTAGATAGGTAGCTGAAATTTTCACATAGCTAATATTTACCAATTTTTGCAAGAGATAAAGAAGTTCAAAAATGTAATATGAAGTTTTTTAAAAATCTTTCTAAATAAATATGGCGCTAAAATTGCTTTCTACCATCGGTCACATCGTATCAAAAAGGATGCCAAAAGAAACAAGAGAACATGTTGAGTTTAAAATTTATTATTTCAAAATTTATTAATAATAAACACTAGTTATCTAACGGCTGCAGTTTGCTTCTTTATTCGAAGTCTTGTTTAAGTGTTTTGAAACTTGGATTTTAGTATTAATAGTTGTACCATATTTCAGGATGGTACCGTCCACGTGGTCTGGGCTCGTGGACTCGACAAGTTGTATTCATCCAAAGGGTTATGTTTAACCGCCACCTCTTCGAGCGACCATGGCTTTATAAGAGTCAGGCTGTGGACTCCACCAAACCAACCTAAAACAACAGGCCAAGAGCTGAAAATCACCAACAATAATTTAAAAGTACCCGAATCTGACACTACTTATTGGTGTAAAATATTTAAACTACCAGATTTTGTGACTGAACGTCCACACCATATTACACAAGTAAGTTTATTCGATTACTGCCTTAAATAATCTTTTTGTATTTCTATTTATACTTATATACCATTTCAGTCTATTAATATCGTCACTCCTGTTGCCTTTCCTGTGGTTTTGATGGAGAAAATAGGGAGAATAGGCCATGACTCACAACACGGGCCTAGGCTGGATTGATGGGTGCTAACACAGATCAGTAGTTCCGTAATCGTATCGTCATCGTCAAATTTTGTATGGTAAAAGCTAGTTCGTTCTTCCGTCCGATAGGGGGCACTGCTTAATTTTCATAGAAAATTTAAAGATGCGATACCTTTACCGAGCTATCAAAATTCGTGCTTGTGCTTCAGAATTTCCGTTCCATTTGTGCTAATGTGTCCATAGATAATAATTTTTGGTCACCCATCTTATTTTTCTTGTGAATATTCATAAAATAATTGAGGACGACGATGAGTTTTAGTAAACAAATTCATTTATATTGCATTTATCATCATTTGTTTTTGTGTACCTATCACATGAATACATAAAATGCTATTTTTAGTTTGAATCTTCCATCACGAAAGGCAATGAAGGTTTGGTACATCACATGGAATTATTCTACTGCGATGCCGAGCCTAACTTGGAGATGCCACTTTACGAAGGCAATTGTTTCGCCAATGACCGACCCGAAATTACCCGGCGCTGTTCGAAGGTAGATAGAAATAGCTTCTTTATGTTAAAATACTGTAATACATGATTAATAGCCTATTGATGTCCTCGCTTTTGGGGCATAGGTCTTCTTTATTGATAGCGTTACTTCAGAAGAGAGGCAGGGCACAGCAGATTTCACCCTCGTCTGTTGCACTAACCTCCACGGTACCACTGTAAGAACCTCCACTGCCTTAAGCGGAAGCAGGGAGCGGATGTTCGTCGCGGACAAATTCAACCCATCGCGGCCTATCGCAGCGCTGCCAGTACAATTTTGATCACGCGGGTCGACAGTCTTCTTCTTCTTGCAACGGGCGTTTCCGCAACTAGACGTCCTCATGGAGCCTGTTTTGCGTAACAAAGAATTTGTTCGTCAACAGTCGATAATGGATTATTCTTACACAGATCACATCCAATCGGGAGACCCGCCTTAAGACAGCAGTTGTGTTTCTGTTGGTTGTGTAAGATTTCAGGTCTCTACGGGGCAGGTTTTTTTGAGTGTGTATGCTGTTGGTCGCAGATGACCTTTATAGCGTCACCGGGTTCTGGGGACGGCGAGATCCTAAGAGGACCTCAAGCCGAGAATTGGCGAGTGCCTCTAGAGGTATTCCAGTCGGATGGCATCTCCCCACGGGGGAGTCTCCTCTCTGTCTGGAGCCTCTAGACGACTCGAACCTGAGGGGACGGGGTTGGTAATTGAATTTAGGCTAATAAAATGAGAATTAATTCATTTTCGCGACTGGACTCCACTGCCTTTTTATAATAGCAGGTGGGTAGCCGTAAATTACCCGTCTCTAACCGCAGTGCCAGTTGGTGGATGTCCAGTTATTGATGATAAATGCGGCCGTTATATATCGTTTAACATACTTCCTGAAGCATCCACTTTCCTTCAAAGGACTACGCGCCCAGCGCGTTGGCACAAACTCACTGTGACCACTATTCATACACGAACAAAGAAATTTGCTGACTCATTTCTTCGTCGTACTAAGTATTCGCAAGTGGAATTCTTTGGCCGCACATGTATTTCTCCTTCCTACAATCTTTTCTTCTTTCTTCGGTTCTTTCAAAGAGGCGTGAAGAAGCATTTGGGAAGGCGGGCAAGCTGAGGATGGTTAGTGTGGCAGTTTATAAGTGATGCACCAGCTACCACCACTTAACATCAGGTGGGGTATAGTCATTTCCGTACCTCGCTATAAAAAGTCCATAGAGAAGCTGAAGTTAGTTGTTTTTTTTATTTCTACAATATATTTGCTTAACCCAGAGGCGTCTCTAGCCCACGTGGCGCCCGTGTGCAAAATTATCCTAGCGCCCCCTGTAAGCGTGTGGTCACAATGGAATGGGTACAAAGTACAAGTAGAAACACATCAAATTACAACAAACTGTCTAATTTCAAAAATGAATAACAAATTCTATTGTTTGGAAATTAAATTTGAAGAAAGTCACACGGCCGTCGTGTGCGGCAAGTGGGGCTTCGTAGCGAGCGGCATCGGCGCTCGGCGCCCTCTAGGACTTTGCGCCCCTGTGCAACGCACACCCAGCACCATAGGTAAAGACGGCTCTGGCAAAACCTTTATATTCGCACAACCAACGTCCGAACTACTGCGCCATCCAACTCCTCTAACAAAATCGTACGTTATCCTTAAATCTACTTTGAATATGCAGGTTAAATCAGCATGGGCAATGGGGGCACCACCTTTTGTTTATCCAGGAGAAGCAGGATTGCCACTAGGAGGGCCTCAAGCAAACAAATACGTCATGTTAGAAGTGCATTACAATAATCCCGAACTGAGAAAAGGTAAACTCACTGGTTTGCAGAAGATACCGTCGCTTACGATACCCTTAAGGGTCGGTACATATCTTACGGAAAATGCGTCAAGCGTATCATCGCTGTATGCTCGACGCACTAACGCATCTTCGGTTGGGTGTGAAAGGTTAAATGTTTTATTGATATGCCTGTTCTGGCGCTACGCGACTGATAATACGCGACGAATTTTCGGTCAGATATGTACCGACCCTAACACGAACCAATATCGAATTCGAATAGTTGAATTCGATATCGATAGGTGTCAAATGTCAAAAAGTTTTGTATGGAAGATTTTTAATTCTCGTTACGTCCGTTGTGGCGCTGTTTAAATTTCTATACTCACTACTTTTCAGATTAAGGTGTCACTTTCATGTGCATTATAGGAAAAGTTTGTAGTGTACTAATCTTCGTGATTATTGTAATTTAGTGGAACAATTTGCATGCTTCATGTTTCTCCACTCTTAGATTGAGTCAAAAAGGGAATACGGCACTCGTGTCTTATAAGTGCACCGCTTAAATTAGGTGCATGAACACAATTCGCTTTAGTTACAATATGACATCGAAACACGTTGCATATGCACACAATATATTGCGGATAAAATGATATAACAATACCTTAGATGCTTTTAAAAAGTGCACAAATAGTTAAAGAACTATAAATAGGAAATCCCACGGCATCACTTTTCATTCGTACATTATTTAAATGATTTTATCTCAAATAACAGGGTTTGCTATTCATGACATATTATTCGCGAATATTCGCCATTTGTTATCAAGAAAAGGATAACAATACAGCTCAGCCGTTTGTAAAGAGAGAAAAGAAAATGCAGTCGGTTGCTAAGCGACGCAGACTCGCCGTTTCGCTCGCGCTGCGTTGTAGCATACAATTCTGTCTCGCTCGCTCGATTGAATGTTTATTTACAGAAGTGTGCGTGTGTAAGATTTGCGTATGTACTTGAATCGGAGCATATTTTATTTGATGCTAATATGAGCGTACCATATTTTCCCTTTTTATTTTAATCTAAGAAGTCGCTTACTGTTAGGCCATATGCAGGAACCAGTTATCGGCGCTGGTTCGTAGAGACTGCCGCGCCGGATACCGTATACGTTCTTCTGTATACGGCATTGTTCATATTAAGATTTCATTATAAGAAAAGTTTGTAGCGTAGTAATTTTAGATGATAATTGCAATTTGGTGGAACAATTTGCATTCTTCATGTTTCTCCGCCATTATCTTTGTTTCTTGATACGACTTACTCACGTGTTGTTGTAATTCATGTTTTTACTTACCTGCAGACTGGGTTGACAGCTCCGGTATCGTAGTGTATATAACAGCTGATTTACGCCGCTACAACGCCGCCGTTATGGAACTCGGACTAGAATACACGGACAAAATGGCCATACCTGCGGGGCAAAATACGTTCCCGCTGACTGGACATTGTATACCACAGTGCACCGGCGTGGTAGATATAAATATAAATTTATTTATTTAATCTTTCTTGACACATATAAATAAAAGGCAGACTTAATGCCATAGCCATTCTGTACCACTCGACCAGTAAAGATATTGGCGATATAATTTGTGAGGACATTGAACCAAAGTTAAGATGAAGTACATACAGTACGCCAGGCCTAAGCTGAGCTTTGCATTTTTGTGACTGAGCATTATTAGGATTCTGTCAGTGCCGCACAAGGAAATCATATTAAAAATCTAAGAAAATGTAATCCATTCACTATTTTTTCTCAAAAATATATCCAAATTTTCTCAAATTGATTATAACTTTGTTCCTTTTATAATATAAATATTTTTATATAAACAATATTAATTAACATTATCAGACAGAACAGTGGGCAAGTTAAATAGCAAGTTGATTGATCAGGAATTAATGTACGCCTAATGATCAGCGCGAAAACTGAGAAGTTGTTTTTACTGACATTATATAAACAGCGTTGTCATAGAAACGTATTTGGTAAAAAAAATTGCTCTTAAGATGTCCTTTTGCTGTCCGATATTTAACTTTAGGTTGATCATAAACTAAAGAACGTGACTGTACATATGTAAGTCTGACTGAGAAGTCAAAGAACAATAAATAAAATTCAATTGCGGAATAGGGTATTTAACAGTATTAAAAATAAAGTGCCAATTGTTAGCATCTGTGTTTAGACTGAATATTGGCAGGGGATTATACTATTTTTACAAAAAAAATATTCACATTCACGAAAAAGATAATAGTTTTCTTATCTATTGTCACGTGACCCAAAACGCTTGGGATTGGCGGAGTCTAAAATGACGTCACACACAAGTAAACTTCCGGATAAAGTGACATTACACTGTATCGTTTGACGTTTTAATAACAGTCGTGTGACGTCACATACCAGTGAGACGCCATATTGTCCAGAGAAACGTTTTCGCGGCAACTTGAAAATGCAGTTTTTGATTTTTTTATTTTTACTGAAACACACAAGAGAATAATGAATATCTTTATACGGACTCCATAAACATTAGTCAATAACGTGAGATCGTTTTGTAAAACTTGTCAAATACCCTATTCCCGTCGATATCGCTACCATTTGGGCTGGTGTAGTGACACTTGACTTTTCTTTATAGTTCATGTATTTAAAATAACTGTTTGAATTATACTAAATTTCTTTCTTATACTGTTTTTAAAGGTTCCGTACTTTTCGTTTATTTGTGTTGGCAGCCATCACTAATAAATCGAACACAAAAACAAAATACTAAGACTGAGGTTTGTGATTTTATCATGAGCAGACAAATTGAACTTTACGCACTCAGTGAATAAAGGTTATGCCCCAGACTGAACTAATTGTGTCTTATTTCAGTTTCATTTCATTGAATTTTAATAAAAAATAAAATAAAAAATAAACTTTTTACTATTGTTTCACCTACAGGGCTTACCCCCTCGTGGGATCGTAATTTTTGGCAGCCAACTTCACACTCATTTGACTGGCGTCGCTGTTTGGACGCGTCATTTCCGCCAAGGCATAGAACTGCCAGTATTGAACAAGGATATGCATTACTCTACACATTTTCAAGAAATACGAATTTTACACCGGCCTGTTAAAGTTCTACCGGTAAGGATTATGTTTTTACAAGGGACTGTACATCGTCGTGCTAAACTTGTGGTGAGGCAATAGGTACAGCTAGGCACATATTACTAGGTTGCCAGGTGCTCCTTGATAGGGGTCAATACTTACGTCGCTATGATAGAGAAATTGAAGTCATACATGAAGCAGGAAATATTAAAGTTGTTCGAACCTAAAAAGGATGAACCTCAAATAAAAAACAAATGAACTTTATCTTTATAAAGATCATTTGTTTTTTATTTGAAGTTGAACCTTCCTTTGAAGGTTCATCTGTTAACTCTAAAAGCAAGCCTTTCTCAATCCTAGGTATTGCACCTGACTGGACTATTTTAAAGGATACGTATGAAAAGCACTATAAAGTACCAAAGGATATTGGTATTTCGTCATCAATGCCGGATATATTAATCTTTCCTGCACATCAAACTTTAAGTAATAATACAGCTTACTGTACCGTGGGAAACTAACATTCCAAAACACCGTATAATAAAATTGAATAAATATTACAAATGAACGAACTAACCAAAAATTTTATATCATGCGATAGAAGTAGGAGCAAGAGGTATACCAGCAAAATCTCTCTATAACCTTCTCAAAGACCTCGGACTGTCGAGAACTACAGTAAGTTAAATTTTGGAACGAGTAAAAATCGTCATCCATTTTACGCTGCTATAGGATACTAGGCTATAGAAATTGAATACGCGCACACCAAGATAGCTGCGACGGAGCAGCGACGAACAGTCTATGTCATGTCATGAATCATGACTTACAAACTATACGCGCGTTAGAATTTACGCACTTTGTCGCGCTTCCATCTGAACTGGGGGCCTCGTCTAACGGGATTGCTTTGGAAAACGCTATCGCTTACGATTTAATTTTGTTATTTCTAACCGCCGAATATTTTTAAATACCTCATGCTCATTTTCTTTAATATTGTTATTAACAATGCAAAAGAAAAAAAAGAGAGTGAGGCATTTGAAAACCTCAGGTGGCTAGAAAAACCAAAATGAAATCGTAAGCGTTAGCGTTTTCCAAAGCAATTCGATTAGGCGATTGGCCCCCTGAGCCTAATGGCTCATTTAAATTTGGTCGCTAAAACATATTCGGGTGCACGAAAGACGTTATTCGAATTCGGGCACCCTAAGCAATATTTACCCTGGAATATGGGCTGGAACACGATGTCAGGTAAACAAAAGAAAACTACCTGAATACGGAACTACTCCACTCCGTTTATTTGCACTTCTTCATTTACCCCAATTCCACTGGCACTCATAATCGTGCTAAAGACCAAGTGTAATCGCGCCATAAGAGGGCGAAATGGGGGGTGGAAATTTGTGTGAAAGTCCAATTTTTCCACACATATCAAGTCGCGGACACCCTCTAGTACTCTTTGCTTTATTAAGTTGTATTTTTTTCAGGACGATTATTTGCAAACGACATGCATCTATAACACATTAGAAAGAGAGAACGCTACGATTGGCGGCCACGCTATAACCGACGAGATGTGTGTTAATTACATTCATTACTACCCCGCCACCGATCTTGAAGTGTGCAAGAGTGCCGTATCGAACCTCGCTTTGGAAAACTACTTCAAGTTTGAAAAACAGTAAGTATCTACCATTTCATTTATCTACCATTTGACGACCTCCGTGGCCAAGTGGTATATACGCCGGGTTTCAATGTGCCAATAGTTTATGTATTCTGTTATTCTCTATCTGTTACCCTAGTATCCCAAAACACAAGTCTTACAGTGCTTACTTTGGGGCTAGGCAATTTTCGCAATAGTCGGTTATGGGATGGACGACCAAAAATTTATTATCTCGGCTTCTCCGTGCTTGGACCGTGACGAATGGCTTAACGTTGGTCGCTGCTGCATCTGCAGTCGTTAGCACCTAGCACTCCACACTGGGCCCGCATGGTGGGTTACGGTCCAATCTCCCTATTCCATCCATAGGGAAGGCCTGTGCCCCAGCAATGGGAACATGAACAGTCTGATGATTATCTCAAAAAATATCCATGGATTTTCATGCGGCTCACCATCAGTAAGACCAAAAGTTTCACAGAAGGTTAAGTTTAATATGTTTGAGAACAAAAACTATACTAACGTCTTCACTAAATCGCAGTTAGCTCTGGTCACTGGTTTATTATAACCTCGTTAGTCCCCGCGTACTTGTATAAGTACAAATAAAGGATAGTAGTTCAGACCTGATATTTTAACTACATATATGGAGTGCGTACCTAATGTACTTGCCGAAGTACAAATTTTTAATTCCCCATTTACCGGGTAGTTTTTTTATAACGGCAACACAGACACAGCCATTCTCATTCTATATTCCATGGTCGATTCCGCCCTGTTTGACAGGTAACGTCAACTGACAGTGTCAGTGTCACTTTTTCGCAAGATGGCTACGCGGTCGGGACGACGACCAACACGAGGTAAGATTATCTGTTTATATCCAAAAAATCATTTGTTTTTTCTTTTGTTTTATAAATGAATTAGTGTATATAAATTTTGAATATTTTAAAATGAACAAAATTTAAAAGATGACTGTAATTTTAAGGAGATTTCTGATCGTTCAAAATAATATGTACTTGACGTGGTACGATAGGTGTTTGTTACATAAATATTTGTACTTGTGGCGGTACGTTCGGTCTATATTACAAGTTCATCTCCTAGAAAATTAAAATAAAAACTATTTTTTGTCGTGTTCAGTTGACAAAAATGTCAAATTATAGCCTATTACCATTTATTTTGATCTCTTATACTTGACTGTGATTTCGGTATATAATGTCATATAAGTAGTACGTAAGGAAGATTGTTTGCAAATTTCAGCGTTTTCTATTTTATTTAATAAGTAGGTATAGTGATGCCGTTATTCTCTGATTAAGATAAGATAATGGCCTAAATTGTCACTGAGGCTGAGTTTTTAATTTTTTTTTTAATGAAGATTGTTTACGTTGTAATAAAATGATGTTAAGAGGAAAAATATGTTTTGTTTCGATACTAAATAATTTTTTTAACTTTTATTACATTGTTTTATTACACGGTGTAAAAACCTAATGTACTCACACAAGTACAAAATATTTTCAATAAATTTCTTCTTAAAAAGGTGCTTTACATAATAAACATACCGTAAAAAATACAGACAACAAGACCTCACTTCAAAAATTACGTATAAGCGTTTTTTCTTGTCTCGGTCTGAAGTACTATTCTTGATTTGTACTTGCTATAGTACATCCGTCAGATATGACTACTGCTGTTAAAAAAACACGGGACTTACGAGGATAAACAATTTTATTATTCCAATTACAGATGGGATAATATGACGATATCTTATGAAGGCAGCCCTCGTGAAAACTACTTAGCTGTCAACCCGTGGACTCCTCTACGCGCCAACGCCTTGAACGAACTTTACACGGAATCGCCGATATCGATGCAGTGCAATAAATCTGATGGGAATAGGTTTCAGGTATGAATCATAATAACGTCGATGGTGTCGATTCTGGCGTGATTCTCTAAACCTAAACTTAAATTTGACAAAAGTGTTTCCTTGTCATTCTCTAAACAGAATGAAAAGGAGAGACTGACGTTAAAGGAGAATGCTCATGGATGTATGGACCGCCGTACAATGGTTGCATCAATACCAAACAAATGTTAAATGATCGTTTAATATTCAAATTAGTATGACAAATTGGAATTTTGAAAATAAAAACAGGGGTTTTAATGTTATTGTAAAAAATGTGACATAACCTCAAATCCTTAATAACTCCTATTTAAAGTTGGTTTACAGCAATTTTGGGTACTGTTTTATTCTGTTACTTTTGATCAACTTGAGTCTTTCACTGTTTTTCCAACCTACTGCATAGATTTTCATGACAACACAGATTTCAGTGATGGCAGATTTACGTATAGGTAAATAAAAACATTAATAAGACACTTTTTATTAGATTACATATATTAATTGTACACATTATATTTGAATTACCAGTATATTTCAAATCAACATAATCTTCATGGAAAAAATAATCTAAATAAGGCGCCAGAGCAGTAACATCATTGTAACGACCCCAACTTAAAAACTAAACTACAGTCATTATGTGGTCCTAACAGCCCACAGGTTGTTTACCAATGAGACAGCTGCAATAATAACCTTTTATAGCCTCTAATGTGTCTGCCAAAGCAGCATCTCTACTGATTAGTAAATATGAGTTATATGTACGCTGCTTAAGTATCTGGATTTAATCCTACCTCTTAATAAATAATTATTTAGACCTAAAACAAGAGGAATATCATCTACAAACAAACAAATTCAAACAATTTCTAGCTTTTGTCTTACAGCGTTCTAATGTAGCTCCAGGATTATTGAAAAGAGTGGCCAATCTTTCGTTGCTATCAGCAGTTCTTAATTTAACTAAATAAATACAAAAGGCTATAGAAGCGTTTGGCACTTGATCTGCTAGATTGGTATACAGTTGAGCAAATTATAAAACTGTTCAGAGTTCATACCAAGCCAATAATGACATAAAAGAGGAGACATAATTGAAATATTAGAAAAATCTAATTTGTATAATGTAATGATTATGATACAGCGATCAGCCAATTCGCTGTATCATAATCATTACATTATCAAACTGTGTGCCAGTAAAATCTCTTAATTAAGATGTTAATTCATTCCATGAACCATAATTCAAATAGTGATGACAAACACATGCACCAGCTGGTATGCACAATTTATTATTATACAATAAGAGATTCCTGATGGTAGATGAAATAAGTAGACATTCAAGCTCTAAACAATTTTCAAATACACAGTGACCAGGAGAGTTAGCAGCATGTATGATGATGATGATACAATTTTTAGAGTCACTTGTTGAACTGCTTCTAGTCTTGGTTGTGGCAGAGGAGGTGGCACAGGTATAGAACGATTGCCACTTAATGTAGTATCTCCAAGAGTAAGGCGATTTGAGTCATGTTGTTGTTGCTTTTGTACTTGTTGAGTTGCTGATCTCCAACATGCAGCACATACATGTTCCATTCTTGAGATCTAAAATATAACATTAATAAGAAATGAATAATTAATATGGAAAATTCCTTTTTGTTTATTTTAAAATAACAGTTTGATAGGTCTCAAGTTAACTCTTGCAAGTTATAAAAGTTAAAATATGATGTCTACAAATCAATGTAGGAATTTCTGTATTCTCTCATCATCTATTAGCTGTCTAGTGATAACAAAACAAATAAAAGAAAATCTAAATGTTACCATGATTACTATAAACATTTTAGTTCTAGATTTGTAATTATGTATGATATGCAATAATAATACACAGTAATAATAGCTTTCTCATAAGATTGTGATAGTAAATGATTCCTAACCTAAGTATCTAGAACTGTTATTACTTTTTTAAGAAGTCAAACAAAACAGTTAATATACTTATATTTCATACAGTTAGTTGCACATGACATTAGACAAACAATATTAGCTCACCTGAGTAGGAATTATCCATGACTATAATATGTTGAGGGCTAAACTGTTCTTCTACAAAAAAATATCAAGTATCACCTCTTGGGCCCTGGAAATACAGTTTTACAATACACTGGTTTAACCAGTCAAATAGTCTAATCGTCATCGGTTCCTCATTTGAAGTAGAATACATTTTTAATGTTCTTAATGCGTGAGTAGAGAACACTACAAACACACATACGGTAAATAAACGTCCTGTCGTGAATGCACTGTTTTTTTCCTGAAAACGTCTTGCCTGTCTTAACAATTCAGAAACAAAATCGTTTGATACGTTCACACGCAATTATTATCACTTCACAATTTATGTAAAAAACTCAATCAACACAAAAATAGGAGTAACAACAAAACATTTGACAATTCCCCACTCATTTGCATTTGCAATAGGGTTATAGGGTAGGGTGATGATGATCTGACATTGAATATACGAATAATCGTTGAATTGAAAAAAAAATGTTTTTGTTTAAAATCGATTTTACGCAATGAATAAATCAAATCAGATACAAATAAATCCAGATTCAATTAATTAATAAACCGCATAGAAATAAATATAATTAATAGTTACTACTTAGTTAATGATGAAATCGACAGTTAGGTGAGCGCCTTCTATAAAAACAACGATTAATGATTTCCGCGGAATTAACCTTCTTTAACATTATTAATACGTGTCGATTTTTTAAACTTAGATTCGAATACCCCGGCTACACGTTCCGTTTTACCTAAGAGCATGCCTGCACAGATTAACTAGCCTCTCTTTGTCGTCCGTCCCTCTCTAACTTAGATACATTTATGGACGTAGAACAGGACGCGGCACAAGCCAATGTACAATTATTGTATTTTGCGTTATAAGGCCTTTAGACTACGTAGGCAAGACAAAGCGCTGGGTAAGCACGTGACTCTTTTTGTCCGACTACCTACATGCTCGACATTTTATCATTTTCATCTCTATGCTTAACACGTTACATTCAGTAAGTAGACACTACATACAGCAAGGGACGTGATAGGAAAGTGTCGAATTAAGCCAAGCGACGGATTACTGAATGCGACGTATTAAGCATAGAGACGAAATAGATAAATGACGAGTTGTCATCGCAACAGTTAAGACAATAAAAACGTAAAATCACTATTAAACAATAATTAGTAACACGTGATTTATTTCCTTTTTGGTGGTCCACTCATCGGTAACAAAAACAAAAATCGATTATAATGTATAACTAATAGGGTACTATGGCATCCCTATTTTTACGATAAATAAACAAACGTCAGATATCCGACTCAAAATATAAACAGTATTATGACTAATATTATTTCTAAAATTATTCCCTGTTCAAAAACGCCATTCTGATAGACCATCGTACGTATAAATTAAAGAAAATAATTATCATAATAATTTTATCTTGAGGCATGAGACAAAGCTGTACCAAATATGGGCATTCTCCTTTAGTTTTAAGTTTAGAGAATGATGTCAGAATCGATACCAATATCATGCATATGCATACAACAAATTCATAAATATTTTATGATGATATTAACCATCTGGAGCTCCATGGCGCAGGTGGTAAGCGCGTTCAGTCTGCGATCGTGGAAGTTAAGCAATGGTCGGTCATTGGATGGGTGACCAAAAACTTATTATCTCGAGCTCCTTCGTGCTTCGGAAGGCACGTTGTCATTGGTCCCCGCTGCATCTGCAGTCGTCACTATTCCATTCATAGGGAATGTCCTTATTCCATCCATAAGGACGGCCTGTGCCCCAGCAGTGGCGACATTAATAGGCTGGTGATGACTATCCATCCCAAAATGCCTAAAGCTTACACTTGTAACAAAGTTTTTGATTAAACATACTAATGAATAAATGTGTTATTTGTAATAATGTTTTTATCTTTTTTACAGGGTGATTGGGAAGGATTACCATTGCCGAGAATCAAAGTCACATTGCCCATCAAAAACAGGCATTGTTAAATAATACCCACGTAGGTTTAAGCAATGAATAATAGCCACAGTATATAATAATTTGTTCAGTAGAACGACGCCTTTGATCTAGTGGTGAATAGCGATGAATACATTTTTACTCGGGTTTTTGCTGTTGTGCTATTTCGTATCTACCCACTATAGAGTGTAGTGTGCACAGCACCTATAAAAGCAAAAAGGGAAACCCCAGACTATTGCATTGTATAGTCTGCTTCGCTAGAATCAGGCATCCGTATGAAATATAATTTCATTACTCTTTGGTCTGTGTTATAGGAATCTCACAAAAGCACTTTCCTGCTTTTTCAATGTACTATGATCGATTATATAATAAAAACAAAAGCAGTTTAATGCTTAAATAATATATTATTCATTATTTTTCGTTAAATATTAATATTAAGCATTTTAAAAAATAAAATACACCATAAATAGAGTTGTAAAAAAAACTATATTATTACATGGGTATATTCTGTTTTCCTTTAAGTAGGGGAAGGTCGGGCAAAATGACCTTAAGATATTTAAGGCTTTAGCAGAAAAAGCAAAATAAATAGCACAAATAGGGAAGATGCATATATATTATTTATGAAAATTTTATGATTAAAATGTTAAAAAAATATAAAAGAAATGCCACTGCAACGTTTTTATTTTACATAATGTTGTTTTTTAACAATTATTACGAATTAAAAATACTTGAAACGGAACGTATTTTAAAACACCAATCAGCGTTTAGTGACGTCACTCCTGTAATGACAACTTCTTTGAGGTTATGGTTGTTAAAGTAAATATTATTTTATGGGAATATTTATTGTGTTTTTTTTACATTTAATAAAAATGGAAGTTGCGTTTATCAAAGCAGACTCCAGGAATTTACCAAGAGTTAGCGTTGACATGGTTATAACTTTTTTTGTCCAAAGTGCAGAGTTTTTAAGTGTAGAAATGAAAAGGACTATATTACTACGGTATGTAAAAATCGTAGTTTATTCGTATTTTATTCAGCGGCTTCTACAAATCTTACGGCGATAATGCAATCGGCTATGTCCAAATTAAAAGAGATGGAAAATTATGTACAGTAAAAGGTCGAGTTCTCCGGAGCATAAACTACGTAAAGAAGGTTATCGTGTTACAGTTATTTTAAATGAAACGCAAAGCTTGGTTCAGTCCTGCCAATGTGAAGATTGTGCCACACATTTTAAAGTTTATCTAATTTTCGACGTCACTCTCCAACTGTAATATTAAAAATATGTTATAGACAGGTTTTGTAAGTATTAGGTAGGTTACTAATGCGTTTTTACGTACAAGCAGATTAATTAAGCATATAACAAGTATATTCGCCAACTTACGTCAAAGTGATCTACTCAGCATCGATTAATGGTCTTTGGAGAATAATTGTCATTTCTCTTCGCAGCTTGAAACCACTTTTTTTTCAGTTTTGGGTGAGAAGTTCCAGTCAAAACAATTTATTTGGGAACTTTGTTGAAGTAGATTGGCACAAAACATGAGTCAACACGGCTTTTTTTCGGAATATTAGTGGTATTGTTATGATCACATGATGTTGATGGATAGTCCATTTTAAATTTTTCAAAAAAATATTTCGAAAGTCGAAACAATATGCAAAAGTATGAAAATTTAAACCCAGCAACGAACAATTACGACCAGTGACAGACAGGAGTGACGTCATCGCAACCATAGGTTCGTTTTCGCGCGAAAATTTAAATTGTCAATTTAAAACCGCATTTTTTCCGATAAATCACAATGTTTTAATTTTTTAATATATCTGTGCTTTATTCTACATGGAATTCTTTAAAATGAAAACAAAAATAAAAATATTGCATCTTCCCTATTGGTCTTTATTTATTGGTTTTACAATAACCATCATCAGTTATAATCAAACAATTATGAAATGCGAATAAAATTTGATAGACAACGAAATTATTCTCTTTGCCCAGATCCCCGGGCAAAGCGGATACAGTACTCGGGCAAAGTGAATACATACATTTTATTGTTATTAACTCTATCTCCTGATCTTCAGTAAAACAGGATAGAATCGGCCCAGTCTAAGAGCCGCGCTACCAGTTTTCACATATCTGTACAAGGTTGAATAGGCCAACCCATACTTTTTAGCTGTGTCTTTTAATGATTCTCCAGCTTTGAACAAATTAACAACTGTTTGCATGACATTTTACCCTTACCCCACGAGCATTATTAAGTTTTTTTTATATTTATTTACCCTGTGAAACAAATAAAGGACATTACAAGATCGCAAGTTAATAATCAAGCAATTACGGACAAAGTGGATACCATACTCACTTTGCCCAATTAAAAAACTTCAAATTTCATTAAAAAACCTAATAATTCTGACCTTCTGTTCAATATACTATAAAAACCTAGTTAATAAGCTAACGAATCAAAATATATCTAATGGTCAAGAACTAATAATACTGGAAATAATATCAATATACTTACCTTGCAAAATCAGTCTTTTTTCACAAAAATACAAATCTCCACTTTGTCAGCGGCCCACGACTTGGTCCCTCGCTCTTGTGTTTTCCGCGCACTGACCCAAGGTGACCGAACGTTACAATAGTGGCGTGTTGAACCACACACGAATAATTTAGGAGTAGTGAGGAGTATTCGCTTTTCCCAGTATATTGACTTTACCCGGCCTTCCCCTACCTATTGATTTTGTAGTTCGTTTACTGGGCACATGTTGGATTTGCAATAAATATGTTAACAATTTGTAATTTACGAAAAGAGGACAATATAAATTATCAATATAATAATATGGTGATAATTTAGTGATAACAAGTAAAATGCTATAGATAAGTAAATATATATTAACAGAGACCTTGTTAACGTAATATTTAAGGAGTTCTTTAAAAGTTATTCATTAATTTGTTATAATAATAAAATTTCATATTAGTACTTACTTAATCTTTGTTTTTATTTCTTTTTTTTTGAATATTAATTCATGTTTTTTCCTATTCTACCCCTTCGTACGGCCATACCCTCACCATGCAAACCGGCATCGGCAGATCAATATTATTTTCTACATCAAATAAAGTAGTATATTTACCTTTCTCTATGACAAAAGCTATATATAAAACAAAAGCTCAGAATAATGAAAAATATTATTATGATGAAAAACAAAAAGGAAGAGAACAGAGCACCAATAGCATTTTCGGTAAAAAAAATGTATTTTGCATTTGATTTAAACCTTGATCCTGCGAATCAAACAAGGTTATGTATCGATTTATAAAGTAGCTTTTCCCGTTTTTCTTCACGGGGTCAGGAATGATTCCTTCTATAAACTGTTATTATTAATCTGTGGATAACTTTTTCTATGTTTTCCCTTCGTGTTTTCCTATCTCTGTTTGTGTGTGTGTGGATCTTCACAATATACTCAGAACAGTAATACGTCTTCATACAAACTGTCCGCTGCCCATTAGATTATAATTTAATATAAAGTCATAAAATACGGTGGCATAAGCTTATGGCAGTCTGGGCCGTGAGTTCGGCATTATCGCGCGTGTACAAGGTTTGCTCGCTGTTTGTTCCCGCCCGGCACATTCGGCTCGCAGCCGCCGCTTTATTTTTTATTGCCATTTGATATTAAATTACAATCATGTCTTCGAACAAAGCCAGAAAATATTGAAGTGTCTTTGGATGCCTCAATAAGGACTCCTTAAACCCAGAGTTATCATTCTTTAATTTACAATGCCCTGCCCATGCTTAAGCTTTTTTAAAAAGTTGTCTAAAAGAATGAGAATTTATTTTACTTTGTCTGCTAACAATAAAGAGTTCCGAACAAGCAGAAACCGATATAAGTTTTTAATAAATAAATAAATATATCTTTATTCAAATAAGGTCATACATTGTATACATTGCATAATAATACTAATAACAATATAAAGTACAAAATAATGGATGCCTGAACTAGGTTACAGTTAAAATTGTACCTGTATTTCAGGCTTTTATGATCTAAATAATATATTGAATGATTAATAAATTAACAAATTAATTAAAACAGAACTTAAAGTAATCATTGTATAAATGTTGGTAAATGTAAATTATGGAGTTATGTTCATTTATTTACAAATAAGACGTAATTCTTCGGTCTGCTCGTATGTCAGGCTGTGCAAATAATTAAATACTACAGTTCTACAGTTAAAATAGTTTAATGTATAAATACCTAACACTCTATTTAACTTATTATATAAGAAAGGACTTAGGAAAGTAGAGAATCTATGTGAAAAGATGTATTTTGAATCATGTGTAGAGATGCAGACTATATCTTTCCGTCTTTTGTTAGTGATATCAGAGCAAAAAGGTGAAATGGTGTGTTGTTTTAATATGGTGTGCATAATGAAAAGCTGGTGAACAGTTAACACATTACAGTATTTGTAAAGTTGATGCGTAGGACATAAGAAGGGAAGTGAATTGGCTACTTTTAAAATGGCTCTCTGAGCTCGCTCGAGAGGGATTAAAATAGTTTTGAGAGCTCCACCCCATGAAGTTATACAATATTGAATTACTGATTGGCATAAGGCCTGACCTGTTTAATTAGTTTAGGACCTGCAATGGGACGTAATTTTTTAAAAATATACATTAATTTACGGATCCTGACTACTAGATTTGCAATATGCTGTCTAAAAGATAATGTGTCGTTAATTAAGATACCAAGATATTTTATATGGGATGTGTTCTGTATTAAAGGGCAATCGCATTTATTGACTGAAGGATATTGGCATTGGTGTGCGTATAAGTTAGGATTTGTAAACCCATGACAAGGCTGGCGCATAGAAAGGTGAATATAATTAGTTTTGTCAGTATTCAATGTTAATAAATTGCAGCGAAGCCAGTTATTTACACCATTAAGACCAAGTTGAGCTACCTCATATAATTCTGACCTACTATTGGCTAAAAATCAAGGCCGTATCATCGGCGTAAGATATAATTTTACCACATTTTAAATTAAGGTTACATAAATCATTGATGTAAACGAGAAAAAGGGTAGGGCCGATTATACTTCCTTGGGGAATACCATAGCAGGTCATTTTCTGGTAATCACTTTTAATATTTCCTATTTTAACGCATTGAGATCGATTGTCTAAATAATCTGCAAACAGTTTTAACTGCGTTCCTCTAATACCCAATGCTTCCAACTTTTTTAGAAGCTTCGGAAACGGTATCGAACGCTTTTTCTAAATCAAGAAAAACAGCTAAAGTATGCTTTCCTTTGCCTAGTTCCTGAGTAATATAGTTAGTCAGGTTATGCACCGCATCTGCTGTTGACAACTTTGCCCGAAAACCAAATTGCGTAGGTGACAAATAGTTATTTTTTTCCAGGTAGTCCATAAGCCTTTTGTTAATATTTTTTTCTAATAGTTTTGATAAGGATGGAAGCACTGATATTGGTCTATAGTTATTTACTTGATCTTTACATCCAGATTTATTGATAGGAGTAACTACTGCTTTTTTTAAACATTGTGGAAAAGTACCCTGCGAAAGGCAGATTTGAAAAATGTGTGTTAACGGTGGTATTAAAATATGCTAAAAAGTTTTGAGGATTTTATTGCTAATGTTATCAAAGCCGACTGCACTGTCATCTTTCAAATTTGTAATTATTTGTAAAATTTCTTGTTGGTCGGTATCTAACATAACAAAACTATTCCTACTAGTGGTAGCGTTAAGTGACTGAGAAAATAGATTTAGAGGTTGGTGGCGTTCTACAAGGTCTTTTTCCATATTAATAAAATAGTTATTTACATAATTGGCTGATATAAGCGGTGAAGGATGGGTTAATAGTAAACTCGAACACGATTCGTGCCTTTTTGAAGTGTAGGTAAAATTTTTAATATGTCTCCAAAGGCGTTTGCTATCCTTGCCTGCTTTGAGTAGTTCATTTTCTTCATAATTTGCTTTTAATTTTTTCAAAAGATTATTAACGAAATTCCTGTATCTCCTATAAATAACTAGCAATGTGAGGTTATCGGGATATTTTTTTGTCCTCATATGAAGTTTATCCCTGTGTCTTAAACATCGAATAATACCCGAGGTTATCCAAGGTTTGATATTTTGATATTGTTTATTTGAAGCAACTACTTCTTGTAAATATTGCTCAATTGAGGTAAGCCAGTTTTGTATTTCCGGAGTAGATACTATTTATAAAGTATCCATATCATCCTGGTCTTGAGTTGGATGGCTGGGCGTCGTTGGGGGAGGAGTGCGGCGAGTAATGCCGCTTCGATTGAAGGGGCTCTCACTTGACATAATTAATGAAAAAGAACTTACACTAAATATTTATGTCCATTGTTATATAAATGCCATGGACATATTTAAAAATTAAAAAGACTTATTTATACCCCATTTTATTGCCCGACTTGCATTCATTCGGACACGCTCTGGCGCCGCGGCTACACTTCGCTACCACGTGTAAATGTTTAACGTGTTTTTTAATAGTATAGTATACAAATATTTAGTGATTACTTATTTTGACAGTTGCTGACATAGTTGACACGTAACAGTTGACTAAATAGCGAGATGTAACCTGTTTAATAAATGAGAGTGAAAGATAAAACTAGTTTTTACGGGTTAATGCACGAAACTTTATTTATTTATTGACGTTTCGCAGCCTTTTCAGGTCTGCATCGTCAGAATAATGATTTTTTATTTAAAATTGTCGAGCTACCTTTGAAAGACTTATATTGAGCGTTCGGTTATTTCATTGGAAGATTTTTAAAATTTTATTGTCTATGTATGAATTTATTATTTAATTTACATAATAAAGTATTTTATTTAAAATTCTTGTTTGCGAAACAAACTCAAGAGAGGCTTTCTATCTCCTTCTTATGTTAAATTATGCAAACAAAAAGAACTAATAGTATCTGATGGTCTTGCAGTGTGTGCTCGGGGTTGGGATTACACTTGACACTGCAAGACCATCAGATACTATTAGTTCTTTTTGTTTGCATAATTTAACATAAGAAGGAGATAGAAAGCCTCTCTTGAATTTGTTTCGCCGGTTCTTCTCAGGAAGTTCTCCCAATTTTGGAACAGGTGGTAGTTTACGGTAGTTAGGGTCAAATAAATAAACTCAAAATTACCAACAAGAATTTTAAATAAAATACTTTATTAAGTAAATTAAATAATAAATTCATACATAGACAATAAAATTTTAAAAATCTTCCAATGAAATAACCGAACGCTCAATATAAGTCTTTCGAAGGTAGCTCGACAATTTTAAATAAAAAATCATTATTCTGACGATGCAGACCTGAAAAGGCTGCGAAACGCAATACATAAATAAAGTTTCGTGCATTAACCCGTAAAAACTAGTTTTATTTAATGAGTGATGTGCGTGAAAACCTAAGAAACAAATATGAGAGTGAAAGAGACTACTTTCGTGAAAGCGAGCTTGGAGCGGGGACTACTTGTGCCTGCTTGTGCCATTTTAAAATGCAATAATCTTGGCGTATAAACTGTCTTTAAATCTATACAGACAGGTTATACGCCTGTCTATATATTACGTAATTGTTTTGAAGGAACTAAATCGGAACGTAGCAATGATTTAAATCGTTACATATGCCCTGACACCGAAAAAGTGGCTATATTTTGCAATGACGTTATGATGACGGCCGTTTTGACACATTAACATAGTGTAGTCAGAAGTCAATTATTATCGAAAAAAATGGTTGCCTGTAAAGTCGGTTTTACGGGCGAAGATTTTACGTGACAATGTCTTTTTCTCGGTAGAATATTTATTGATATGAATATAATTAAATTGCACAATAGGAACAAGGAATTGAATGAAAATAAGAATTGCACAAATTTTAACTATAGAAATATATTTTGTTTACTAAAACATTGTACATGTAAACTTAAACTTAACACGAGAGACTCATCGTAACGTTACCGAGCGTTACACTTTTTCATAAGTGACTCCCAGCCGCAACCTAATTTAAGACGTTGTCACGTCAAAATAAAGTAATTATATTAAATGCGATTAAATACGCTAGTACGCGCTAATACGCGTCAACGAAAGAGTAGGCTAATAAACCGCCGACAGGCCGCAGATAAACTACTGTTCTATGTATACTGTGGTATCTTTCATTCATTCTAAGGATGGGCAAGACGCAAGATCGGTATCGAATAGATTCTTTATGGAGTATCGATTATTATAATATAATATTCATGGATCTATTGTATACTAACACATGGATCTATGTTGTCCGAATAATAAATGATTTGAATTTGAATATTTCATTTTTGTTATTAGTGATCTAAAAGTGATCCCAAAATATGTATTGCATAGTTAATTAAATACGCATATAGAACATGAGGTGTAGATATTATATCTAGAGAAATCAAACCAGTATTCTACAAAATTTCAATTAAGAAAGCAAACTTGAACACTCAGCTGGAATGAAGTTTAAAATCAATGTACATACTACTACTATACTATACACAACACGGTACGAAATAACTGACGGTTGTGAAGGAGAAAACTCTAACACTTTTTTCCATCCTGCCCTCGGTAAGTCCGTTCCCTCCGAAAAGAAATTTTATGCAGAATTTCTGTGTAAAACGAAAACAGCCAAAGAAAAAAAAAACTTTGATCAACAATACTTTAAGGAGATGAATAAAATCGTTAATATAGAAATATCGATTATCAAGCCTAGCAGTTCATTCATTTTTCTTTCATTGATTGTCTGTCCCTGTCCGTCCATTCATGACTGACTTCATGTTTTCGGCGTTTTCCATTCAATTCACTTTTCATTTCTTTCATAGCGACTACACGGCGTATTCGCCATAAAATTGATAAATTTTATTCATTAAAAAATTGTTACCGTCGAATTATTATCTGAATCTATTTATTTAGTTTGTTATATTTTGTGTGGTGCTGTTATAATAACAGTTTGATCTCAGTAAGTTATGGACATTTACTAATTTATAAAATCCGGTACCTATTACATAGAAAAAACAAACTTTTAAACTACAAAATAAAATTGTTATTAATATAAATAAATCAAATTACCATTTTAAACTATAAGCAATATCATTAAAATACCTTATTTTCTTTCTTTATTTCAATTTTTGGATTGTTACAAAAGTTGTGCAATAGTTTATAAGTTTGTTTTATTTTTATTGTACCAAGAAAAGTTGTTTTTTACTAAGAAAATAATAGATACTCAATTTTGGTGCCACATTGTTTTTAAGCTTTACTAAAATATTCGTCAGTGACGCTTTTTAATCAGATAAAATGTATATTTTACAAGTTACAAAATTTAGGGATACACCAATATTCACTTCAAAACTTTTAAAAATTGCTTACAACACATACCTATATGAATTTGCAAAATATTGGGAAGTGATATTAGAAAAATAAAAGACAATTACTTTGACCTTATTCTATCGTAATACAACTAACTGTGATGCCTTGCAAAAAGCTTTTGATGTGGAAATTCTTTTGTAAGTAAGTAAGTTTTTTATAAATTAGTTGCTATTTTTATATTTATTAAGTTTTTTTTATTTGTGTTAACACAGGTATTTTTAATTGTAATGTCTTATTTTTGTAACAAAGCCATATATGTTAATTTGCTGTAAACCAAAAACTATAATTTTAAATTGGATACTTTCACTGGTTAATTCTGATTTATAATAGTATTTATACAGAGTTTTTGTCACATCTTTCATCAACATCCCCAATAATGGTGTTGACTCTCTAAACTTTAAACTTTATTTAACATCAGTCTCTCCTTTTTATTCTGTATAGAGAATGACAAGGATACACTGTTGTCAAATTTAAGTTTAGATTTAGAGACGTGCCAAAATCGACACCAATATTAAGCTAAATGTTCCCAAGTACATTCTCTATTGATGGAGAATTGGTAGAAAAACCAATAAAAGCTTAGCTTTCTTTTAGATTGAATTCCTGTCATTACTTCAAATACAAATTAAGTGGACTTAAGTCCATGTGTAACTCAGTTTTCTATCTTTTAGGGTTCCGTACCCAAAGGGTAAAAACTATTACTAACCCTATTACTAAGACTGCTGTCTGTCTGTCTGTGACCAGGCTGTATCTTATGAATGCTGATAGCTAGACAGTTGAAATTTTGACAAAATATGTATTTATGTTGTTGCTGTAACAATAAATATTAAAAACAGAATAAAATATTTAATGGGGGCTCCTATATAACAGATGTGATTTTATTGCTGTTTTTTGCTTGATATTATATAATGGTGTCTAATGTTGTTTAAATAAATAAACCCTTCACCTGCACTTGCACTTGCCCAGTTTTTTTTCTATAGAAGTAATTCTTTAAAAACATATTTAATGTGCAATAAAAAGGTGCTTTCTGTCAGATTAAAATGTGAATAATTTTGACAGGGTCTAAAAGATGGCCCTTAATATAAAGGATAAACAATCCACTATGAATAGAAAGCTCCATAATCTAGAACAAAATTTTGAAATATCTAGGGTTTTTTCCTGTACCCCAATATCCAGTATAGGTATTTAATTAAATGACTCATATTGCCTTGCTATATTATGTAGCTAGGTAGTTATCTAAAGTATTGGTGTCATACAGGATGACGGTATGGTAATTATGGTTCAGTAGCCATAGAACTGTATAAATAATTACAAATTAAAACATGACCTTGTTGCAGAAAACAGAAAAAAGGAAAGTACAATGCAATATCAATATTACAATCTCAAACAACTTTCATTTCATTTGATACTGTTTCATCAAATCAAGGATCTTTAAGGCACAAAGTCATGTAGTTATTATGTTACCTCTAAAATAAAATGTAAGTTACTGTCAAAATGCTAATGAATTGCATAAAAAACTTATCATATCTTATTTTCTTTCATAACATACAAGCAATTTATGAAATTGGCAGTATAATTTCCAATTAATTACTTTTTTTGCATAGTGAGACTTGGCCTTGCCGCACGTTAATTTATTTTCGTAGAATTAACTATGACCTGTATTTTGATGGCATTAAAGTTGAATTTACTCTGCGATTTAATTGTGGATCGGTCACCGACCAGCCTTCGAGTTTAGTTGCTGTCGTGCGACTTTGATTCGCAATTTATCTTACCTGTGATCTCAACATTGGTTGCCTACTACGAAATGTGTGAACATAGCTAAGTTCAAGAGAATGTTGTTTGTTAAAGCCTAGCACACAGCTTTTTCCTGCACCTGGCAGAAACACCACTAGTTTTTTGTATAAAAAATATTGTGCAATTTTTCGTCCGTAAGGACAATCACCACATCGGTCTTTCCAGCTATATTTGTATCCAGCGGCTTCCTGCGACTTCGAGCAATCTGTTCCGATCTTCTACTAAGGTCTCCAGCCATAAGTACAGCTACAAGCGAATTGAAGTTGTATAATACATATATATAATAAGGTGTATACTCGCTATTATTGTTAAATGCCACGTCCTTTTCACTCCAGAAGCTTAAAAATGTCCTCCAACCCAGCTGTGAACAGTTTCGGACATATTAAATCTCCTTCTTTCACGCCTCATTTCAGTTAGATAGCATTTTAGCGCTTGGTTGCTGTTGGACTGAAATAGTGGCGCCTTTGGAGAGACTGTAGCACCGCCCAGTAGGCCTATTCGCTTTATTTACTGATCTACTACTGCTTTATTATAATGCCACTGAGGTACTTGTGCTAAAACGCGTCGATGGATATGCAATTTTCACTTTAATTGTATACTGTTGAACAGGCAACGACAAAAAAGTTAGCGAAGAGGCAAACAAGTCTCAATCGTATCAAAGGCATTCTCAAATCCACGAAAGTGGCAGATTATACTATTCAGTCTTCTGTATAACGTGCCAAATGCCGCGGAGTCGGACTTGGAAGTCGTACAAACTGCGTGTGAGACGATTTATAAAATTACTCTAAAAAAACAAGTAACTTAAGTCATTATTATTATTTATCTTACTCGTTCATTGTTACCTATTTCCTACCAAGATTAAACAATCGTATCATTATGCGAATGTTGTACATCTGATTTACATAAAAATATTTCGAGACATCAATATGTGAATTAATAGTTTAAAAAACTAAAAACACGCTTTTACTTACTGCACTAAAAAGTCAAAAATAAACAAAATATACTCTGTGTTTACTTCATTAGGGCTTTAGAGTAAGCCATGCTTATAGTTGATATTAAGATTTAAAAGATAATAGATAAAACTCTGAAAGCGATTTTTTTTTCTCGTTTTCGCAATATTTTTCATTGATGCTCCGCTCTCCTATTAGTTTTATCGTGATGAAATATAACCTATAACCTTCCTCCATGAATGGGCTATCACAAAAAGGTATTTCAATTTAAATCAGTAGTTCCTGAGATTAGCGCGTTCAACCAAACATTCAAACAAACAAACTCTTCAGTTTTGTCCTGTCCTATGTCTAGCAAACTTCACTGAATTGTAAATTATAATGAAATCCCAACTAAGATTATACCATGACGTTAAATAGATCGTTTCATAATTATATTTTCAGGGATTTTTATATGCTAAAAGTAAAATAACCATGTTATTGTTTACCTACTTACTAATCTTTGTGCTAATTGAAGTAGGGAAAACCAAGAAGCTTTAACACTACCGAGAGATAATAAAGATAAAAGATTCTATTAAATGCACAATTAGTTTATTGTCTTGGTCTGAGTAAGGCAGTCTATTGATTACACCACTCAAGTAACATTTTGCAAATCGATGAGAAAACACTGCGAAAGCAGTACAAGATTTTTCTTTCTTTAATACTTAAGTATAGCTGTTTGCTTTTGTGTGCCGCAGTTAAAATATATCAAAGGGTTATGTAGTAGGTAGGCGATGGTTTGGAAAACTATCACTATTATGCTTTTTTATGTAAAAAAAATAGTAAACAAGCTATATATATGATATGAGTCACATCTGGTATGTGCCTGATGGTAGCTAGCTGTCACCAATCTTGCAGAGGCGAAGCGCTTCGAGGTCTCCTTTTTATCTCCGAAGGACACGGGGCTAGTTTACTCGCTGCTAGCGAACTCGCGGGCTTGTAGCTTGTAAAATAGCATCGAGGCTTAACGTTTCATAAATTCGCTTCGATGCGCTTCGACTCTGCACTTATATGAACTGACCATTAGACGTTAGCGATACCAGAGTGTCACTTGCGTGGTTGCATACAACCCTAATGCAATCCTCTGCGCCACGGAGCCTTAGAACCATTCTCACAGACAAACACAACAGCACCTAAGGGCAGTGATAAAAACTCACTTTGTAAGACGTGAAGAAGAAGAAGGAGGTTAGTTCCACAGGACGGGAGCTCCAATTCTAGTGGCAAATCCGACATATACTGCCTCTCTTTGGCTTCTTTGTACACTCGGATTAAATCATTTAATCTGACCAATTTAATGTTTTTTTTATATTTAGATATAAAGTCGAGAAGGTAATTAAAGTTTGAAAAGATCTTGCGTAACTGTAAATACATATGTAATCTATACATTTAATAAAATGATAGGAAAGTCAAAACTGTACATTGAATATTTCTTAAAAGAATACTTGGGGTGTGATCTACAATCGATACCGAAGCCAAAAATATAGTTTTCAGAATTTTTAACTGCTTGTCTGTATGTATGTCCGGGATAAACTCAAAAAGTACTGCATGGATTTACTTCAAATTTGGCACGAATATTATTAAGAAGTTGGGTCAACATATAGGCTGCACATTGTCACGCTATCACCTACGGGGACACAGGAAACAGCGAACCTTTATTTCTTCAAACGCATTCTGTAACAACGTGTAATTGTCGCAGCGAAATACCACTCACTGAAAATCTCAGAAACTATATACATCTACAAACTTAAAATTTGGCAGGTAGGTTCCTTAGGGTGTAGATATCCGCTAAGAACGAATTTCATGAAACTACACCCCTAAGGGGGTAATACGGGGGTTGGAAGTTTGTGTGAGAGTCCTATGTTTTTGAATTAAGAGACTTGAAATTTAATATGTATGCTCTATACGTAGTGTAGAGGTGTACTAATAATATATCTTGAGAAATAAACCCCCTTTTTGGGTCAAAAAGTATGTGCAAATAACTAACTCCACGCGTACGAAGTCGAGGGCGGCCGCTATTACTATGTACATAATTGCACAACTCAATTTAAAATATTTTAACAAAACAACTGAACAAAAAAAAAAAAAAACAAAACGACTTTATAAAAACATAACCACTAAAAAGTAAGAAATAATACATGTTTTTTTTTTACTTAAATTTAAAGTAATTTAAAGACAAATTAACGTTTGGTGTCGGTAACACGAAAAAGTAGATCATCTACTTCTTCAGCAGCTGTGTGTGCATACCGTATGTCTTAATAATTGTGAAATATATGAGATAAGATATTGAAGTTCCTATCAATATGTAAATATTTATTTACCGAGTAAATATGATGATGTGATGTGGTGTTTTTTACTAATTCTTATTAAAGCATTCTAACCCCCTAATAGATAAAATTACTATTTAGCGTTACTATTGGCATACAAGTAACTCTTTACTTAGCCACACTGAATTTTGATCTGCGCGAGCGCGAGCGCGCGCTAATTAGGTATTAGATTAGATTTTCCTCAAAGACCGATGCTGTATATATTTTTTTTTAGTTTAATGAATGAGTTTCTTCAATTATTGTTTTTCTTTCCTGTTACAGGTCCAGAAATATATTGTTTTGTATGCAAATGTATTTCAAGAACCAGTGAAGTACCTGTGATAATCAAAGTGATTTAAAGTTATTTATTGAATTATTACTATGGACCCTAAATATTATGATACGGAAAGAGAACAAAATCCGAGGGAAACAGCGAGATTCTTTTCACATATAGGTTATTGGTAAGTTAATCTTCATCATAAAAAGACACAAGGTTGTGTATTTTCCGCTTAGATTCCAAAACTATCCCGGTTACCAGGGGGTCAATCGCCTAACGGAATTACTATGGCTCTCGCTATCGCTTGCGATCTCATTTTGTTATTTCTGACCGCGAAAGTTTTCAAGTACCTTACGCTCATTTTCTTTAATGTTGTTGTTACCAATCTATACTAATATTATAAAGCTGCAGAGTTTGTTTGTTTGTTTGAACGCGCTAATCTCTGAAACTACTGGTCCGATTTGAATGATTCTTTCAGTGTTAGCTAGTCCATTTATCGAGGAAGGCTATTTTTTATTTTATTTTTTCAAAATTAGGAATCCGTAATAAAATTGCTATTTTGTACCACAAGGTGTAAAATCGAAAACCTATTTTTGCGTGCGCTGCAAAAACTATTGACAATAGAACAAAAATACACTAAGAGGTTGTGAGAGACGATTAATTTGTATGGGCAGCTGAAGGAGCGTACTTAATTCAAAGTTCGGACGCTAATTTAGTGCATTTTAGTACCAAAACTTCATTAGGCAGGTGTGGGATAAGCATAATAGGGGCCCAATTCTCGCGGCGTAGATATTATATCGGCTTCGAGATAATATCGAAAGTAGGGATATCTATTGAAAATATCTACTGATGGTAAAAAATGCTATTCTCGTGGATTTTCGATATTCCAATGATATTTATATCTATCGTAGATATTCTTTCACTGACGAATACGTTCCGTTTTTCTCGATTAAGTTAACATCATAGTCTATATAAAATAATAATAAATTAGAGCAGAATTTTACAAGCAACAAAATGATATTTTATGAATTCCATTCATATTAAATATGAGTATACATTTTTTGAGTATAAGAAATCTCAACTTTACCTAAATTGTATGCGTATATAATTTCAACGTTATGTCCTCTCAATTGATGACATCCCTACTTTCGGCATCTGACAAAAATCGGTAAACTGATGACATGCCGACATTCGGCATCGCGCGACTCTACGTAATCAGTGGCAATTAAAATATTCATTCTTATTGCTATCACCTACATTTTTATATCAATTTGTAGACGAAAGAACAGGCTAGCTATCTAGCCATTGATTAGTCAACTGCCATATGAAATATTTATACTGTTGGCTGTGGAAGTTCGTCGTTCGCCGTTTTTTGTATGAAAAAAAAATATGCCGTGTATTCAGACTATTTAAAGTGTTTTTCAGTGGTTTTTTTTAATAAAAAACACCATCTCTGGGCAAGTTAAATACATTAAGGTACTCTATTTTGATGTTTCGTTTGCGGGTTTACGTGTTTTTTTTTTAATTTTTTTTGGTCCAGACCTCGTAAAAAAAAACAATAAAAAAAAGGGTTTGTGTCTTATGTTTTCATGGTGATAATTTCGATAATAATTGTAATGTTTTAATTTATAATTATTGAATAAATTATTCATGATTAATATTTCGAATACAGAGAATCTCTTGAGTTAGTATTTTTGAAGAAATAAAAAATAAACAAAAGCCGCGCAGTGTAACGGTCGTTCTAAATTCAAATATTCGAACGAAATATTGTTTCATATTATTTTCTTGTATGCGAACTAGTGATTTATTGTTTATTCTAAATCAAATTTAATGTACATTTTGAAAAAAGAAACTGTTTATCAAAATTGTAAATACTTTTCGTTTTATCGACATAAAACTGAGAGTCATCTCATCGCTTTGTAGGCGATTTTAAGATGCCTTGTTGTAAGTTCTTAAAACTATAAAAATAAAAAGTATATACTATTCATGCCACACTTGTTTCTAAAGTGATGTTTACAATCTTAACTAACCGTAAACCCATAAATCATGGCACTCAGGCCGCCCGTCTGCGCTTATCGCCTACAGGCGAAACCCGACACCTGTTTTTTGTAACGTGTCTTTGTTTACACAATTGGCGCGTGGTTGTAAGAGCTATAGTGTAAAATTAAATTTTGGGAGTATGGTATTTTATGTTTTTATTTGGTAAGTTATAATAGAATGTGCAAATAACCAAAAAACCTGGACATAAAATTTTAAAATTTTGAAGATATACTCCATTTTACCAATCTGAACGCCTTTTTTTATCTTTCCCGAGTTTACCGTAACGTAATTAAAATAGATTATAGACATGACGCATTGTGTAGACATTGTTTTATAGTAAATTTTATGGAGAATCCAAATATATATAGTTTGTGTGGGGTATTCTTACGAAATAAAAGAGAAATCGGCAAAACAATGCAATCGTTCCCACCCAGCGGGGATGTTGACAGATGACGTAATCAATTTGACGTAAAACGGCGCATGACGACCATCAACTCAGAGGATAATGAAACGTCAATATTATTTAAGATTCTCCCTTTTCAGGGAAGGCAAAGGAAACAACGCCCATAAAGCCTAGTCTTTAGTTATATTAATCTTTTTTTTTACATTCGAATGTCGGTGTGACGCATTCTAATGTTTCTTGGAGTGTTTGGCACGAAATTTATGGAGTTGGCTTTTTCTCTAAGCTTCGGTGAGGTAGTCAACACTACAATCAAGTTCTCGCATCCACTTGACCGGAATAGCGCATATTTTAAAGATTCCACTAATTCTTCAGTTGCGCAGACGGTTGTAACACCAAATCACACCAATTTTATTTCACAATATCCACTATGAACGAATTTTAGAATAATTAAAATAAGATGCCAACCGCACTCGCAGAAATCCCGCCAAAACTCCGTATCGTCAATAAGAAAATGGTGTACGTAATTTGACAACAGTGTATCCTTGTCATTCTCCATACAGAATGAAAAGGATAGACTGATGTTAAATTTAGTTTTAAGTTTAGAGAATCGTGTCAGAATCGACACCATTGTTTACCTACTTCTTTATTTACTAATTATTTATGAAGGCAGTTAACAATATCTTGAGGTAACAATAATTGGCAAAGACATACGACAACACAATAAATAATAGGTAAAAAAAGTGGAAATAACAAAATTGATATGCCAAGATCCATAGATACTTATATATCGAAGGCTCTTTACCAGTCGATGTATGTCTACTGATCATCCGTAGATAAATATCTATTGCGACATGGTGAGAATAGGGCAAAAAGTGTTTCCTTCGATATAAGCCAGATCATTCGATATATATGGAAAGTGATATATATGCCGCGAGAATTGGGCCCCAGTGTAATATACATTTCACTCTTATGAGCCGCGTCGGCGCGCAGCTAGGGATTGCAATCCCGCAGCTCACTCAATCCCGCGCGGGATTACGCGGGAAAACGAATCTTTGAAATTATGCTTTAATTCAAATTGAAACTATAGATTTTTGTGTAAAAATCTACTTTAATTTAACATTCCTTACATTACACAACACAAATTATTTATTTTCTATTAATTGAGTATAAGTAATTTGAAATCTGTTTTCTAAGATTATCTTTAAGTATTTGGCATATTTTAATAATTTTTTCATCCCACCACCTCGGAAAGTGTAATTTTGCGCTTCGAAATCTGGCTGGAAAATTCTATTTTATTCGCTTGAGCGGCAAAGTAGATTTGAATTTAGAACATCACATATAATGAGTACTCAATATAATTGTAAATTCAAAACGTCATTAAACCTATTTAATGTAACCTCTATGGTGCCAAATTTATGATTAGAACTTTTTAAATTGTGAAAAAATTTAAATTTGGAACCTTCTTGGTTTCTTTGTTTTATTTGCGTGCTTCGCGCCATTCTAGTTTTTCACGTTTTATTGCTTAAATATTTTGTCATTATAAATTGTTTTCTTTTTCATTTTGTCATTTCCTCGCTGAGGTGGGATGAAAAGTTACGTATTGCACTCGAGTGGAAAGATTTTTCACCTTGTGCTCGTTTGTTTCCCTCGCTGACGCTCAGGATTCTAATTTAGAATCACTCGCTGCGCTCGTGATTCAACTTTAGAATCCTTCGCTTGCTCGGTCATCCAAATCGAGCACGCGGTTAAAAAGGAACTTTCCACTCTTGTATAATAAATAACTATTATTTCATTTACCCTTACCCCTAATAGCATATTTTTAATTCAGTGTTATTCATATGACTAAAAATCAAATAACAACTTTGTCTTTCTATGATATCAACCTATGGATATAACTTCTGAAAATACGTTATTAAACAAATCTCATTTATTGTATCATATCCAAGTCTGCATCTAAGTGAACTGCGAATATATCCCGATACTGAAAATGCTGTCTCGGCTTCTACGCTAATAGGTTGAACCGTCAATATATATTAATAGGTGAGCGTCAGGTATTCTCCTCTGAACAGCAACGTCGCGCTCATGCTACTCGCGATTTAAGCCAATGTATATGCGGGATCCGCACTTTGAAGGTGCGAGATCCAACAGATTAATAAAAGCAGCGGAATCCCGCGGGAATGCGTGATCCTGTTTTGCTTTGATTGCAATTCCTAAGTGCAGCGCGTGCTCGCGCATCCTACGGCACGCTCTCATGAAGAGACTAGACTATTAGTGCTATGCTACAGACGCAGTTTTTTTTACACTCGCACCAAATAGCCTAGTTCCAAAGTAAGCACTGTAAGGCTTGTGTTATGGAATGCTAGGGTAACGGAAAGAATACATATACAGATACATATATAAGTATATTTTATTCAGAAATATATATAAAGATAAACATCAATGACTAAGGTAGAAATGCTCGTATTCATCCTACTTACATTGGCCCCCACCGGGCTTCTAACCCGGGACCTCGGGCAACGCTTTGAAACCCGTATATACGCCGGGAGCTAGTATCCCAACGGAGCCGATCGGACACGTCGGAAGTCTATTGAGCATTTTTCCCGCGATCGATTGGATGTAGTAAAAGCTTACTCCTCATTTGCGCTTAAATGGGGTTCTTCAAAAGGCGTGTTGCCAGGTATCTTAGAGCAATGCAAATATATTTGCAAATAATTAATCCTACACAAAAGAATCTTATTTTTTCTTTCTCCACCACGCTTAAAATGGCTCGAAACTTTTTTAATGAAATATTAATCCATTTTTTAATAATTTTAGGTACACTCGACCTATCTTCAAAAAAGGCAGAAATGGACAACTTAGCATGTCGGACATTTACAGGTAAATTAGGTCAAAAAGTTATTATAAAATTTAACCTAACTCGCAATATATTTTCAGGGAATGAGAGGTTCACTAAATACCCAATGGTATAAAATTCCTTGATTACAACGTAGACATAGAGAACATTGACTGTTGATTTAGTCAACTACGAGATGAAAATGCGAATTACTGGCCGCACGATATCGCTTTCTCTCTTTCTAGAGGGTATTGCTCAGTCCTTTCTCTGTGTATGGGTGACACCCCGCTCGCACATACAATTCGTTTACTGGGAGACTCATTTTTTCATATTGGTCTTTCTAAGGAAATGAGAGATAAAGAAAGTGCTAACTCAACTATCGACTCCAACTCGATTTCATTCAAAACTATAGCCGACTTTAGATCACTGCCAAGTGCTTTTTCAGGAGACAGACTCAATGGATGTCAAATATTTTATTTTACCTACCTTAACATAATATTATTTATATACGTACTTCTATCAAATTTACCTACGTCGTCGTGGGGAGCGCATAGGCTTCCATTATTTCTTCTTCCTCAGGATAGTAATCTAAATCGCTTATTTCCAGATGTATGTCTATGCACAGGGCGGCACCCCGAGGGGATGAAATTGGAAAAAAATGGAAACAGGAATTACAAAAGAAAAGTAAGAAAAAAACTATCAATGAAACTGAAAGTTATATAAAATAATTTACCTACTTATTTAAGCATAGTATCAGTAAACTAGTTTTCGGTGCGTTTTTATAAATTTAATAACTTCTACATTTTATACAATTTCCAGATGAAAATAGGAAACCGTCGCTGCTTCGAGCAATTGTCAGGATATATGGTTGGAGGTTCCTTTTCTTAAATATATTATTTTCCTTCGGTGACACCACTGTAAAGTGAGTACTCCAAACGAGTCTTTATTATTGTATGTGTCATATTCCAAAAGTTGCATTAAAATTTAAATCATTGACGGCCGAATGCACTCAGAGATGAATTTTACTTGATTAAAATGCTCTCACTCTCTCTGTCTTTGCGACAATATTAAATACCCTAGATACACGAACACGAACAAATTCATGCCTGAAACCTGTCCAAAAGGTACATTGGACAATCCACGAAGAGGATCTACGGATCCGTAAGATGATCGTATAGTCTAAATAATTTAAGGCATTATTTAAACATTGAAAATCACCTTTATAGCACACTGTATAAGGTCTTAATTAAAACGTATGTGTCAAGAGTTACGACAGTCCTAAATGTATGCTTGTAAAATTTTACGACATAGCTATATGCGGAAGAATATGGACCTTATTTCTTTGACTCCACGCGCAATTCTGAATGCGCTGTTAGCAATATAGCAGGTACGGACCGCGAGGAAAAGAGACGGCTATATTACCGACCATGCATTTGAATATCACAAATATTTTCTATTAAATCAATTTATAGTAAGTATTAAAACCAAATTTACTTCAGAAGCGTTAAATTAACAAACATTGATTAAGTGACTGTCGAAAAAACGCTATTTTACATACTTTAAGTCTTTATTTCGCATTTTTTCAGGGAGCTCAGCGGCATGTTGACTTTTCAACAGTCCGCGCGTGACTGTGAACCAAGAAGTGCTTGAGTCGTGTTCAAGCACTTCTTGATTGGGATACATTTTGAGCGCACATGGTGTATCTAGGGTATTTAATATCGTTGACTCAAAGCAATACATATGGCAATCATTGACCACCTTTGTGTACGGCTGTAATGCTGGCACGTGACATAGCTATTCGTATTTGTTATTTGTCACTTTGACATAAATAAAGATGTGAACAAGGAGATATTATGCTATTCCTGACATAAGATTTTCTTGTTCACATCTTTTTATACAAGGTTAGACTTATTAAAAACAGATTTATAATTTGTTATCTGTGTAATAATAAAAATAACTTATTTTCAGATTAGCGGTACCGCAGTGCCTTGACGGACTTCTCAGTTATTTTTCCCCATCTCATGGGGGAGTGCCAAAGACGCACGCGTACTTATATGCTGGTGGCATCATTGGGTAAGTTTATTTTACTGTTACGTGTCAGGATGGGGTTAAAAATTATTATGCCAGTTCATTGATATAAGATTGGTCTCTACACTAATAATTTATCTGTGCCAGATCGTGCTTCACAGTTCTTCATTCATCACACAGTTCACTCATCACGCAATAATAATTGCACTACACTTACTGTATGTATACTATACAAGTTCTTATACAATCGCACGGAAACACTTGCATCATAGTAATATAAGTTATTTACGGGATTGTTACCATGTACCTTGATTTTAGCGAGTTTTCCATATTTTGACATTGTTGCAAGCGCCAGGATCACGGAGTAACTGAAGTAATTGCGGGTAGGCTGATATTGGCAGACTATCGGTCTACCCTTTTTTTTTTTTATAACGCAGGTAAAAAATCTGTTTACAGACGACGGCGCCTTTAAGAGGCACACCGCCGAACGGACCTCACACCTGGCTCCCGCAAGTCTTACGGACCCCCGGTGGCTAACCACCGAGGACCCTGCAACTCTTACGGGTGCTTTACAGCATAATATCCGCTAAAAAAATCCTGCGAATACCTTCTAACTGCTTAGTGCGGAGCCGCAGGGTCCCCGTTAGGGATTCTACCACGGCTCCGCCCCCAGCAGCTTCCCGGCCTTGCCGGGGCTCCACGGCAGGGGTCTCCCGCGGTATTACGGGGACCCCGTAGACGTGCGCAGGTAGGCCCGCGCGTGGGGGCTGGGTACACGGCCTACTGCCCACCGTACCGCCCGGGCGCCCCCCATCCGCTGCGGAGGGGACTCCTGGGCATACCCGTCCAAGAACCCTCCGCCGCCCCCCCTTTGTAGGACAGAACTACGAGTGGGGGGGCCGCCGTTCCTAGGAGGGGGGAACGGGAGGGGAAGCGTATTTCTTCCCGTCCCTCTCACCCCTCCCGGTCGCCCCCGTCTCCCCGCGTCTCCTCCTAGGAGAAGAGGGGGGAAAGGCGGGCGACAGCATTCGTGGGGGGGTCCGAGCGCCCGAGGCTACTCGGACATCCCCCCCTCTGAGGGCGCCCGTGCAGGCGCCGACTCAGAGGCCACTCTCTCGGGGGGTTTGCCCTTGGTGACCAGCGGGTCACACCTCCCCTTCCCCATTACGTGGTCGGCCGGCAAACCACTCTCCTTATATATGGCGCAGCAGGGTTCGGCAGCGCATTCCGCCGCCTTGTGACCGTGCTGCCCACACCGGAAGCACGCTTGGCTTCGGTCGTGCTCAGATGGGCACTGTCGGCAGGTGTGCCCCCTGCCCATGCACCTGAAGCAGCGTATAGGAAGTGGGCCCAGCAGTCGCACCAGGGGGCCAATCGCCTAACGGAGATGCTTTGGGAAACGCTAAAGCTTACGATTTTATATTGTTATTTCTAGCCGCCTGAGGCTTTCGAATACCTCACGCTCATTTTTTTTAATATTGTTATTACCAATGCAAAAGAAAAAGAAAGAGCGCGAGGCATTTGAATACCTCAGGCGACTAGAAATAACAAAATAAAATCGTAAGCGTTAGCGTTTTCCAAAGCATTTCCTTTAGGCGATTGGCCCCCTGCACCAGCCCACCCGGAGCACGCCGCCAACTACCACTTTCTTTGCGATGCCAATTGGGCACCGCACTACCGTTAGCCCCATGCCCCCCGGGCCGGGACGCAGACTATCGGTCTACCCTGCGACGAAGTCTTTTATTGCGCTCCGATACCCTTATCACTGTTCACATTCTCTTTTTTCACTCGAAACTGTTCTCAACAAACAACACTTACAGTACCGGATCGCGACACGAAACGTTTTTGATTATATAGGTTTTTACACATATGAACCACAGGATTCCAGACACTTGACAATTTAAACCCGTCCTCACGATAGATTTTTTTATGTTTTTTATTTCAATCGCTTCCTTCTTGGTTTGTAGTAACGTTCTGGCAAGATAATCTGTGGGAACTCAATCCAGTGGTTAGGACATGAATCAATCAAATGTTCCGCGATGGCTGATTTCTGATTTATGCGAACAAGGTACATGGTAACAATCCCGTAAATAACTTCTATTACTATAATGTCAGTGACCATGAAAGTTTAAAACAATATATCAGTTGTTATTGTTATCGTCTTTGTAATTGGTCCGAAATCGCCTGACACTGACAAACTCAACTGACACTACGTGGATTTGAGCGCCTTTATATTAGTTAATCGACGCATTGTAGATATTTTCGGTACCTGGCTAGTACCTACCTACACGCCTGCACGAGTTGTAAACAAGTGGGCATCTGTCATTGCACCTTCAACCTTACGCAGCACTGCTAAGGCTCATATTCATGTGCACCGCAACACTAGTTTTCGTATTAGGTACTTCGGGTAGCGAGTACATTGAGCGACGGTCGTAACGTTCTGGATAAATCTGTTCCCAGATTGATGGTGACAATACTTATCAAAGTTATTTATCAATTCACTGTAGCAAACTTTACCTATAAGCACATTATAATATTTCAATTGCTTACAGATTACAGTTGATTCAATCATCCATACTGCCGCCAATGCTACTATGGCTCTTGGAGCTGGGCCTCAAAGTACGAGTTGCCTGCGGCTCTCTGATATACAGAAAGGTGTGTAGTTTATACTTTGTTCAGAATAATTTTCCTATATTAATAATTACTTTCCTAAGAATAATGAAGGTTCTGACAAAGCATCCGTAACCGCCTATAAGCCCTGTTGGCTGCTTACTATCACGCGAAACATAATATGCTTGTTTGATACTCTGTTGACGTAAAAAACAGTTTATATACGACTCTGATGACCCTTGTTTCCGTCGGGTAGCTTGATTGTCTTAACTCTGTTTTATAAAGTAGCATGACATGTACAATATATGCGAAAATCTACTTTATGTTATACAATGAAATATATATATATATATTGTGCAGTAATCAAAAAGTATGTCTTTTTATTATCAGCTTCTTCGTCTCGATTTGAACTGTGGCGGGCAAGCATCAGAAGGGTTAACTGGACATGTGATAAATTTATTAACAACTGATGCAGATCGTTTCGATATGGCAGCTTTATTCTTAATGGAGTTCATACGTGCACCCCTTGAAAGTGCAATCATTGTATATCTCATGTATCGACAAATAGGCGCCGCTAGTTTAATCGGTGTCGCATTCATCGTGCTCTTCATACCTTTACAAGGTGAGTGAGACAGAATTTTCTTACTATAAGTCATTATTAAGACAGCTTTGTTCAGAATGGAATTTGTTCAGCGCGATCATCGTGTTCATAATACATAGACGGTCACGGGCCAAGTTCAAACCTGTCCAATTTCTTTATCTGACTTTGAACTTTATTCTACTTACAATAAAATTAATAACCGATTGCAAAAAAATACAATTTGTTTGTTGGGCATCGCATTCAATGTGCTCTTCACGCCTTTACAAGCTAAGTGAGACAAAACATTGCCTCCGCTATGAATCTTCGGCCATCTGAAGTTAAGCCGTTATAGTACATCGTAGAGTTGGTTCAATGCAAATGTACAGACAAAGCCGTAACCGATAAAATTTAAAATTGAGACGATCCTATTATGTAGCAATAAGAGCTATATTTACAGTGCCAGAGTCCATCCCACTTATTTATCTAAGGATAATTTTACTAGAAAAAATTGCACTGGGTTCAGATATCAGGCAGGATTCGAACCTGTGCCTTCTGCTATCAGGGCGGATGCACTATTCGCTATGCTACCGCGACCGCAATGACTGTATTATTACCTTTCAAATGACACAATATCATGATAGCAATTAAAGTACAGCTGGCACAATAATTGTAGCTTTTATTGCTAAGTAAGAAAAGAGCTCTAAATCAAATTGTTAGTCCAATTATTTGAAGTTAAATTGTGGGTTTAGTAATTTGTAACTTTTAGGGTACATTGGCAAGATATCCAGCAAGTTACGGCACCAGACCACAGTCAGGACTGATAATAGGATTCGCATGATGAATGAGGTCATACAAAGCATTGAGGCTATCAAAATGTACGCGTGGGAGAAGGCGTTCGCGAAAATGATCAGTTTTGCAAGAAGGTAAGGATTCGAAATTTAAATTAAAATGATTTATAAATTCTTGGAGGGGGGGGGGGGGGTGTGCAAATCTTAAGTGGTGGTCCATACTACTACAAGCATTTCTCTTTTCAGAAAAGAAATGGATATCATCAAAAAAATGTCGTGGCTACACGCCGTCATGTTATCTTGCGTTAAACTGAACACCAAAGTGGCCATATTTCTTAGCATAATATCGCTGATCACATTCGATAATCATCTCACTGCAGCAAAAATATACGTAGCACTCAGCTACTACGATATGCTTCGGTTGAATTTGATAGATTTCTTGCCACTAGCGATAAGTTCCACCCTTGAAGCTAAGGTGAGTTTGAATAGGATGCAAGAGTTTTTGCTACTCAAAGAGGTGGAAAATAATAATGGTATTGATTTGGTTACTATTGATGAAGACCAGACCGATCCTAAAGGTGCATCAAAGACAACGAGCAATGGGTAGGTTTTTGAACCTTTTATTTTTTAGATCTGCAAATAAATGGTTATTTTTTAGCTTATTTTTGCACGAAATAATTGTTCCAGAAATAATGTAATAGACAGCCAAGTGAAATCGAGCATGGAAGAACCTAAGCCTCCTGTTCTAATATCAATGCAGAATTACACTGCGCACTGGACGAACACAGATGACGAATCTTTAGAAAAGGTTACCGCGCTAAACAATATTGATCTGAAGGTAAATGAGTTTTTTTTTGCAATGCCTATAATCATTCCTTCTTAAATAATTATGAGCACATGTAAAGATCCCTCAATTTAAGTCATACCAGCCACCCCGAATTTGCACGAGTAAAATGTAATTAAATGTAATTTTGCCTTTGTCGTTAATGAATAGTGTAGCTTCCTGTTGTCGAAAGAATTTCTAAAATTATTTTATTAAATCCAGATATAACTACCTATAAACTACAAGACTCATTGACAATGTAAAAATAGGTAACACTTAGTAGGTTGCACTTTCTTCTGCGCTATGAAGTATTCTTTGAGGTATACGCAATTAGCAACCTAACTACAATCGGTTAAAACTAAAGATTTAATAATAATAAATTTATTTCGTAAATAAATTTATATATATATTTTTTAGATTAAACCGGAAATCCTAACCGTAGTAATAGGCACAGTTGGTGCGGGTAAATCTACACTACTGCAAGCAATGTTGGGAGAGCTGAGTCCCACAAGTGGGAAGCTAGAGGTTCACGGAAAACTTGCATACGCTGCGCAAGATCCGTGGCTATTTGAAGCGTCGGTAAGTAATATCATTGGGATATCATCTCATTATAGAACTTAAAAAGGTTTCCAAACCCAAAAAGTGGCATTGGGACCCTATAAATAAGCACCATAATGAAATCCATCTGATTGTCCCGCGTTCTGGCAACGAACTCAATGATTTTATAAGTTATATTTTTATTTAAAGAGTTATTATTTTCTTTAAAAAGTTAGAAAACATAGAAAGTGCTTCGAAACAACGGGTGCGTCGGTAAATCAGTTTCGCTTAAGCTGCACCACTTTTTAAAAATAATACCAAATATACCAAGATAGGTACCTAAAAAGAAAAAACCAATTATTCCTTGAAATTTATAAATAACTGCTATTGGTTTCCACTGTTATACTTAATACCAATAATTGAAACCCCGAATCACTATATCTCTAAAGAACATTATTCCTAATATTTGTAGCCCGAATGCACGCTATCCCTAATAACTTTAGACCTATAACACTGTATACCTAATACTTCGATCTTGAATGCACACTATCCCTAACAACTTTGAGGCAAGCTAAACTGTACTTCCAGGGCCCAAGTGGTGATACTTCACAAAAGGTAAGGTTAGGTTAGTGTTATGACCATTACCCGAGAGCCGAGCGAGCGAAGCGAGCGCCAGAAAAATAATACCAATTCTAAAGTCATTAGGGATAGCGTGCATTCGGGATCGAAATAATAAGGTATACAGTGTTATAGGTCTAAAGTTATTGGGGATAGCGTGCATTCGGGCTACAAATGTTAGGAATAATGTTATTTATAGTGATTCGGGGTTTCAATTATTGGTATTAAGTATAACAGCCATTGGTTTGTTTTCTAAGGTTCGTCAAAACATTCTGTTCGGTCAAAAGATGGACTACCGGCGGTACAATAAGGTGATCGAGTGCTGCCAGCTCAAAACAGACTTGGATATACTCCCGCACGGGGACAAGACTATTGTGGGCGAAAGAGGTATTTTTTTTGTATTTTAATTTATTTGATCACACGACCACATTCAATTAAACCTATGACTATAAATATGGTACATATAAAAAAGAAATATAAATTTAGATAGATATTAATTTACTTTTACACATGCTGTCTATTGTGAGAGAGTTTAAAAGACGCTATCCAATATATGTTTTGTAGACATTTTCTAATTTAATAGACACATGTAGTGGTACTTATTACTATTAAATATATACAGGTTTATGGATTTTCTACACGTTGTTTCCTGTGATCAGTACTAAAATGATCTCTGTCGTTGTCTTCGTAGGTGTATCTCTTTCTGGCGGACAAAGAGCTCGGATATCGTTAGCTCGTTGCGTGTACCAGAATGCTGATGTTTACCTCCTGGACGACCCATTAGCAGCTGTCGATGCTAAAGTAAGTTAATTATTATGACACATTTTCACTTTCGCCCTTAGTTGGCTTTTACGATACCCATGGGACGAGAGGAATGGTGCTATTCTAGACCGGCACACATACGGGAAATTCACCACTTTATACAATACATTCGAGGAACTAAAAGTTTTTTTTATTGATATTTGTAGTAAAATTGTTATAGTAGTTATTAAAACTTAATGAAATACTTTTTTCGTTCTTCATCTGGAAGAAATCTTCATTTGTCTTGTTATTTTTATTTATGGATTTCTCGGGTAATAGGTTTGCAATGACTACTTGGATTCTTTCAATTCTGGCGGTGTCAATAAATTTTTACTATCACTAGTACTAGAAGTCATTTTGAGTAGATAGAAAAACCAATTAAAAAAAATAAAGCGTTCCGTGCGCTTTTTACATATAATTGTCATGACTTGTATTTATCGCTATTAATCTTTATGCAGGTAGCGCACGCGATCTTCATGGACTGCGTACGCGGGTTCCTGCGGTCTCGCGCCGTAGTTCTGGTTACGCACAATGTTCAGTACGCACCCTACGCAGACCAGGTTATCGTCATGAGGGATGCTCAGGTCAGCCTCATATCCCATATCAGCGTTGCCAGACGTCCCGATTTTTGAATCAAAATTAAATGACCCGCGCGGGACAGGCTCAATCCCGCTTTTCGGGAATAACTCGACCGTGCGTACAGCGTACTGAGAAAGCGCGGGCGGGTGGAACAGACAAGTGTGGACTGGCCACCTGCCCGGCGCGTAATGAAGAACTCTCAAACAAAGACTCAACTATTTAACGATAGGGTAAATCTTATTTAAAATATCATATTTTTATTAAAATAAATTTTCTATGGATATTTTTACTAGGTACCTATCTATTGTCACGTAAACGTAATTTGAACTCAAATAAACAGATAAATATAAAATAAGCTATTGCATAGCATTTTTTATCAATTTATGCACTTATAGTTATTTATTTATGTAGTTTTTTTCTTTGATATTAATTCAAGTTTTTTCTTTGATATTATTATTAATTCATGTTAGACTTTTTGGCGTGGTGACCGATAAGAAAACATTTTATTTTATTTTATTGAATTAATGAAAAGTTAATATTGTTTAAAATATTTTTATAATCTTCCATGCGAGCTTCGTGCAGTGGTACCATATACATGCACGTTAAGGTTCAACTAGTCGCGGGCTCAAACTCACTCGTGGATGCGGCCAAAAAGCACGCTGTCTGACCTAGCATTATTTCTAAAAGAGATAGAATCAGTTATGAGCAGTTAGCAGCTAGTCTACACGCATACGTCTAGTCGCACGCACACAAACACAGTGCCGAAGTCTGTCGAAATGAAACGACGTTAGATAATGCACGGTTTTCAACGCCGCACCGCTGTGCCGGTGGGAGTGGTGCGTGTTAAAAGAAAGAAAGAAAATATTTTTTATAAACCCTTAAAAAATACAACATGTTAAAAGGAACTCATACAGTAAGGGCTAATCAGGACCCTGCCTCAGCGTTAGGTGATACGACATTGTGTCGCGCCAGCGCTGATATTCTGACAGACAAATAAAAATAAGAACAGGTGCTGGGGTCTAGAACAAATATATAAAAAAAATGAAAAAAATAATAACTAAAAATAAAAAATACGAGTGCGGGATTTGAACTGACGAGCGCGGTGATCCGTCGAACGTTAGTCCCGTGGCAAAAATTTAACACACTGCGCCGTTTAGTTTGATATTAAAATGGCGAAAATTGTGTTCTATTGGTATATGCACTCTCGCAAGGTTTTTTCGTTACAGAATTTTTTGATTCGGTCCCCGCGTTCAAAACCCGCGATAATAGCTATACAATAGCATAAAAAACTTTTGATTATACACGTATTTTTTACTATGTCCCGCTTTCGACGAAAGAATCCCGCTTTTTTTGACTCAAAAAGGTCCTAAATCCCGACTTAGCAAAAAAATTCTGGCAACGCTGTCCCTTAAATTCATGGACTGCGTGCGGGTTTCCTGCGATCTCGCGCCGTAGTTCTTCTGGTCACGCACAATGTTCGCGACCTACTTTGTCATCATTAAAAATAGATATAGAAAAAGAAGCGTCGTAAAGCGGCGAGTAAATAGATACCGAGAAAGTACCATAAACAGAATTAGGAAAAATTATGAGCAAAAAAAACCATCACTCGCATCAATTAGCCTAGCCCCAAAGTAAGCACTGTAAGGGTGAGGCCAAACGAGCGTAATTTTGTGAGTGGTGAGTCGCAGAATTTCGGTCGCAGAAATTCTGCTGCATTCGGTTTCATACGAAAAGGCAGTTGGTGCCACACGACAACGCAAAATGAGTTGTCTGCCGACTCAATGCGCATAAGCTCGTCCGAATTTCGGTCGGGGCGAGGGTAGGGCAAGGACTGGGAGTGGGGAAGCAACAGTTTGTTACAAGTTGCGTGGTGTAATAATTCTTGAAAAACACGTAATGGCATATGATAGTACTTTTCAAACATATCTGGATTTACACATAAACGTTCATATAAAGTATGGAACTGTCCACATATCAGCCTCTGACTATTCAGTGGGTTTACCCAGTTTCTTTTTCTGGCCTCATCTTCTGAATATGCTTCGTAAATACACAATATTTTTAATGGATCCATTGCACTCGACGACACGAACACCCCGTACTAACGCTCAATAGTAACTGAATAAATTACGTTCGTATGGCAGCTCAACAGAAATTCAGTTGAACGTAAAATAAGTGACCGAAAATAAGCGACTCACAACTCACAAAATTACGCTCGTTTGGCTTCACCCTAAGGCTTGTGTTATAGGATACCGGATATAGGTTAACGGATAGAATACATGTATTGTACATAAATAACTATATTTATATATAAATACATATTAACATCCATGACTGATGTACAAATGCTCATATTCATCACACAAACATCTGCCCTCACCGGGATTTGAACCCGGGACCTCTCGAGTCGGTGACACCATGAAACCCGGCTTATAAACCAGTCGGCCACGGAGGTCGTCAAATAGTTTTATAATACAAAACTTTAAAGTTCTCACCTAGAATTCCACATAGAATTCTTTTTATCCCGGAAGAATGTAAGGTTCCTGTAGGATTTTCAAAAAGCTTAATTTAACGCGGGAAATTTGTGAACAATAGCTAGTATCCCATAAAGCCAGATATAGATTATTGTGTCGTGTTGTGTGTAACGAAATCAAAAACTTATCGGTTTCATACATTGAGTTTGAATGTATGAAACCGATAAGCTTACATTTAGTACGGTCATTATCTATTTCTAACCTTCCAAATCTATGAAATTGATACGTATCTGCTGCGTCACGATGCAATAGTCGATTCTGACATAACTTGCACCAATTAGGAATTCTGTCCCTCTTTTATTATTCCTGGCAGAATGTACGAGAGGTAAAGTATCTAGTATTGTAATTTTCTAATAGTTTCTTGATTAACCAACAGATACAACTACAAGGATCATACGATGAATTGAAAAATGAAACTAGCGAATTTGAGAAACTGGTAGAAGTCTCTGACAAGAACGGCGAATTGGTCAACAGTGAAAAACAGGAGAGTGCTGTAAGTTGTAATCTCTCTTTCCATACTTTTACACAGGATTGTTTATTATTTCTTAACTTCAATCACCTGATGTTCCAGCAACATTTTAACCCACACCCCGTCTTTTGTTAAGACTAACAGTGCAATTGACCTTTTCCTATCTAACGCCACTAACTTTTAAACAGTGCTTCTTCTAACGACTATTGTGAATGGCTTTTATCTCATGTGCTTCTATTATTAAGTGTAAATATATGAAAATATTAATTTGTTCTCTTTTTCCACACAGAAACACAAATTCCGATCGCAAAAATCCTTATCTGGGACTTCACAACTCTCTTTTAATATGGACATGAACAACGAAATGGACCCAGATTATGAAGGTACGATCCCAAATATATATATATAAATATATATATATAAATATATATATATATATATATATATATATATATATATATATATATATATATATATATATATATGGGATAGCGAAATAAAACCGCTCGAAATAAATAAAAAATAACTTTAATCGACTTCTTAATAAAAATTGACCTAACATAAGCGACGCCGTCGTGAAAAGGGACTTTCCAATCGTTCCTCTTCTATTTATGCGATTAAAATTGTATCTATCTCTTTCACTCTTTTCGCACACACTCAACTTACTGTCTCTTCCATACAAATCTTACGTTATGTTTCCCACATATAATTCCTGGTAAAAAATAAATAAACAGCCATTAAAAACACTAACAGCCAAACATAATTCACTGTCTGCTGACTCTTCCGCACAGATATTAAAAGTCTATAAGTCTATACAGGTCCTTTTACTTCACATACGTGAAGAGACACAACATGTTAAGTTAAAGAATTCTAAAGGATTTAGTCAATTCATTCAATTCTCGTTTAAGGCTCGTCAGATATTCAGCGGATTTAGTCAATTTTAAGGACTTATCGGCGGACATTTGACAGCGTCTTTGTTTAGTGCCAACTTATCTGTCAAGTTCAACTATTTTAGGGGAGCATCAAAACGAGGGGTCTATATCTAAAGATGTGTACCTCGCTTACGTCAAGAGTGGTGGCTCGAAATGGACCATGTTCCTACTTGTTTCCTTGTTTGTCACCGCGCAAGTGTTCTACTCGTCTTCAGACTTGTGGTTACAAGAGTGGTGAGTAATATGGTTAACTACTAAGTTATGGGCATTAATGCAATGCAATAAAAATTAAAAAAATATATTATTTTGTCAGCTTTAGGAAAAATAGTTTAGGGTAATAATCTAAAACTAAACACTTGTTATAGCAATACTATACTGCTGCAGACATAATATTGTGAAGGCACTTCTTGTCTTTCCCAGCGAATAAAACGTGTGTTGTATCAAGTTCTAATAATATTTTTTCTATCACAAGCAACGAATTAGAAATAATATGTAATACGAACTGCGGTAGGAAGTGGTTCCACGTAAACTGCAATCAAGTGGGAGGGGCGATAAAACTGCGATCAACTTACCGATAATGAGCGGTTGTGGTAATTAGTTGGGATTTTTGTTTAACATTATCTTCCCCAATGAATGGATAGCCGAATTTATTTGCATATATTTGATTTTTAAAAGTATTTTGTTTTGTCTGTGTTCGTGTGTCGCGTTAGTATTGAAGATTAGTTACATGAGTTTGGAACCATGTTTTAGCGACCTTTGTTAAGGTTTATTATAGTTAGCAGTAACTATGTCATTAAAGCTGAAGATTAATTTAGTTTGCTAGTAGACCAGACTACACTTCCATTATAATAGTATCATTCATATATGTTTCACTTGTTTAGTAAATTCATTAGTGCAGCTTTGATAACGCATTTCTTTCCCAGGGTGAACATAGAAGAAGAAAATCTCGCTGAACTTCTAGTACAAACAAACGAAACACAAACAAATATAACATTATCCAACACGACAACTGTGGACCCAGAATCGAGTAAAGTATTGTTTACTGTAGCTTTAGACTTAGTATCTATAGAAAGATTTTGGAAGTATACGAAAACTAACCATCTAATATGTCGCTCAATATTAAAGGCCCAAGTTTGGTTCCTAACTTTTATCTCCAATTCATAAATCCAAGATTATTAGCCCGATTATCTTTGACACTAATATTTCACCAAACTGAGCCTTTGATCGTGTGACAAAAACCGACATGACTCGCATTAGTGTTCGGTACGGGATCCTATTTCATGTAAAAGATCGATATATTATGTAAAATGACCCCAAGACCATATATTAGTGAAAATGGCGATAATTTCAGGACTACAATGATCTTTGATGTATATAAAGTACGGTTGCCAGACAGATATAATTTCGTGCAATGCCCCACGCTACCCATCCTTATCGCTCGTGCGCACTTATATTGCTGTCACGCTCGCACACGTGCCGTATGTAGTAAAGTGTGCAAGCGTGACAGCGACAATTGCGCGCGAGCGATAAGGATGGGTAGCGTGGGGTCATTGTACGAAATTATCTCTGCTCGGCGACCGTACTTTAGAAGGTCTATATCGAAGGTCATTGGAGAATACGACATAATTAGACGTGCGTAGTTATCGGAAACTACCTCTAACTCGTTCTAGTGCTTTAGCTTGTTTACCTCATTGCTAAGTTAAATTCATTTTAAATTGCAAATGTGCCAATTATTATGCTTGTTCAATCCTATCTATTTACTGCAAAATTAACTTTATGCGTTTGGTTAAAGGTGTGGTTTACGAGGAGCTTGCGTCCAACCGCTTCGGTCTCACCCGTGAGCAGTGCATGTACGTGTTCGGCGCACTGATAGGTATCTGCGTCTTCTTCACTTGGAATAAATTATTCTTCTTCTACAACACATGCATCAAGGCTTCGATAGCACTACACGATAACATGTTTAGGTAAGATTTTGCAGTTTTGAATGCTTTTTTCTTCCACGCTATTTCAAAAATGATCATGGAACTTGGCGATAACTCTATACTAATGTGGCTAAATTTTCAATCCTTATATAAACTTAGTCTGAACCTGATACGTATTATGCAGACACATTGAGATACGAGGGAAGGTCTAAAAGATAGTGGAATGAATCTAAATAAAATAAATCAATAAAACTATTTCTCCTTTTCAATATAATTACTCTTAAGCCCAATACATTTATTAGACCTATGAATTAATCTTTCTAAACCACTATAAAAATATTTTTTATCTTTTGCTTCAAAATGAGCCAAAATTGCCTCCTTTACCTCATTGTCGTCGGAAAATTTTCTTCCCCTTAGGTCTTTTTTTAAATTGGTGAATAAATAAAAGTCACTTGGGGTCAGGTCTGGACTGTAGGGTGGGTGTACTAGGGCTTCGTAGCCATACATGTGCAGAGCAGCCATTACAACTCTGCTCTTGTGAACCGGCGCGATGTCTTGCAAGAGCAAAACACCCTTAGTCAAGTCAGTTAGTAATGAACCCATGTTTCATCTCCGGTAACAATCCGCTCCAAAATCTGAGCAGGTTCGTGAAACTCCAAAAAATGTTTTGACGCATCGACACGCTGCTGTTTCTGAAGCGGCGTGAGCATTCTCGGTACCCATCTTGCACTGACTTTTGTCATACCCAGGTCAAGTAGGATTCGCAAAATGGTGGTATCTGATACTCCAACTAATGTAGATAACTTTTTTCTTCAAACGGGCATCATCCAGTACAAGTTTCTCCATTATTTCGACGATGTCTGATGTGTTGACTTCATCCCCTTCATTCCACGAACTTTTGGACCTCCCCTCGTACTCGTGATATGCCGTACAATTGACTTTTGTTATTGCCGATGACGTTTATTTATATTTAATAAATACCTATTATTACCTGATACGTAGATTCTAATCAAGAATAGAAAAAAGGCAATTTAAAAAGTTGAAGAAACTACCTTTTGTATAGCAAAAAAAAATATCTCGATTCTTTCTTCCAGAGGTGTTACCAACGCCCCCATGTGGTTTTTCCACCACAACCCTTCGGGTCGCATTCTTAACAGGTTTTCTAATGATATGGGACTGATAGACACAGAATTGCCCGGCTCTTTGGTTGACTGTGCTGGGGTAAGTTCAGATATCTTTTTTTATTAATTTTCAATCTGACGTATCTTTCGTAATCAAATCTACACATATCATAAATTCCTGTTGATTTTTTCAGTTCTTCCTAGAAGTAGTGTTCATATTGATCGTGGTCTGCCTAATAAACTGGTGGCTGATTCTGCCTACCATAGGGCTGACAGTCGTTCTGTTCATGTTGCGCAGTCTGTACGTCTGTACCAGCCGTGAGTTGGAGAGGATTAAAGCTATTGGTAAGTCTAAGGGCCAAACAAGAACCGGCATACCATACGTGACTAGTTAATGTTAAACTCTTGAAACACCACTGAAAGTTGATTGAAAAAAACCTGTAAAAAAACGAAAATGCTATTTATCTATCTTTCTTTCGCATATTGTGTTTTTGAACTAATAGACCCAATCAATGGTAAATGTGGAACAGAGACAATAAGGATCTCAACCTCTCAGTTTTTAGAGCGTGGTAGTTAAGTTAGGCATAAGTTTATTTGATAATTTAATGTTTTATTACCCAGCGAACAGCCAATCCCTGAACCATGCGACGTCAACAGTATCCGGTTTGACCACGATCAGATCGTGCGGAGTCCAACAACGTACAGTTGCTCAGGAGTTCGACAAGTCACAAGACTTGCATTCATCCGCGTGGGTGCTTATACTGGTCGCCACGCGCGCCTTCGAGTGGTGGATGGATATGCTGTGCTGCGCGTTCTTAGCCTGCGTCGTAGGCAGCTTCCTTCTGATGGACGCTGAACGTGAGTTTATGGTGTATTTTATAGGAAATAACTAGGTTAAAAAAATTGTAATTTGATATATTTTTTTATTTAGGTCTGCTTTTATTTTGTGTTATTATTATTTCCAACACAATTATATTGTTATGTTTTTATTTATTTTTAAGCATTTAACTGCTAGATGTTTAAATCTAAAGAAAAGTTTACTAGAAAATAATTATATTGTTTAATGGAAGAAATGAATTGAATTGTATTGATCAAGAGCTCTACTAATAGATATAGAAAATGAACTGTTTTTGATGATAATGATGTGTTCTCTATCCAACTGTAAATTAAAACAAAAGTAAATGTACGAGAGACGAAGCGATCAGGGCTTCCCATACTTTTTATAGGCATTAGCTGTTCATCTCTCTTTTATGCGGATTTAACATAAAAAAAACGCTTGATCTTTAAGGTGTTTATTAAGCCTGCCATTATCTTTACATTTACAGAAAAATTAAAATTCTTATTTATGAAATGACTAAAATGATACTATACTATGTAGACATGGAGTCGATTATATGAACATTTTTTTCTTTAGAAACTGCAAGTGGCAGCGTCGGTCTAGCCATCACTCAAGTACTAGGCCTCGTTGGTATGTGTCAGTTTGGCATGCGGCAGACTGCTGAAATGGAAAACGAAATGACTTCTGTGAGTATATTTTTTCGTATTGCATTGTTTAGCCGTACTTGAAAGCGGCCGTTCATATTTCATTCATTCAAAAATTAAACACTAACAAAACAATAGAGGGTAATGGTTTCCATTTTGGCATGATTCTCTAAACTTAAAACTAAAGGAGAATGCCCATTGGTAGCATCGTCCTTGGTCGGCCTTGTACATCACCAAATTTATATCAAAAATCAAGTTTTTAATTTTCACAAAACCATGTTAAATAATTTGCTTTAACTTCGCCGAACAAAAATCTCTAAAATAAATTAGTAATTCATTCACTTCCATTTCATTTGTATTTTTTGACACACTTGTCTTCTCAGTGTTGCCATTTTGTAAAAACGTATCGATTTATGAAAATATAATCGATGCATTTGTATTATTTCATCAAAATAAAGAGTTAGATTGTGTATGACAGTTCAATATGCTAAAGAAAACATATTATATCACATTATTTGCAAAAAAGTAGTCTGATCTGTATATTAAGCTTATTAAGTATGGATATAGACTCGAAAGTTCATAATACACATTTAGATCGACTGTTAACAGTTTTTTTTACCAGATAATTGTCTTTATTATCGAGGGGTAGTCAGAAAAAAAAGTATCGCGACTGCTCGGTGTCTGTTAAAAAACGGCCGTCGACAAGTGGCCTTAGGGTAGTACATGATCCGGGGACGTCCCAGTGAAGTGGCGCACGCTAAGGTGCGTCGATCCTGAGACGCCCCCATATGGGCGTAGGAGGGTACCGGGGGGTTTTAGTGGAGTAGGATCAGTGTGGCCTTCCGCACTGGTCCTGCTTGAGTAGGGTCGGCACTGTTTCCCGTGCCGGCGAGTCCCACACACGCCGTGCGCCTAGTCAGCGTCACGGTATGGTGCGTAACTGCATTTCCCCTCACACAAAAAAAAAAAAAAAGGGTAGTACATGATACATATACGGCCCTAAACGTAAATGCTGCATCACATGCATTTATGTCTACGTGCATGACCGGCGATCATCCATCCATACGAGTAATTCATAGCTTGCATGCTGATAATAAAAGGAACTCCGTGGGGACTCCTCATTCAACTGCCTGTACGCTGTTTGTTTTGATATCAATAAAATAAATTATTTTTTGCTTTTCTAAGCATCTCATGCCGCAATACCATCCACAGATTTAACACACATAATGTATCTGATATTATACGCTATACGTGCAAATATAACATTTATACTTCTACTATGATCATAAATCTATGACAGTGTAATAAATAATTAAACTATTGTACCAGTAGTGATAAATCGGAAAAGATGAATATCGATTCATTAATATTTTTTTAGAAAACTGGCAATATCATTTCCAGTGGGGTCTGTCAAATTGATTTGTTTTCACTGATATTTCTATCTAATTTCGTTCAGTTTATTTGGTAAATATTTCAGTGTTTATAATTATTTTCTTTCTATTTCCTTTAAGCTAAGTTGATCTTTGATTTGATCTAACCATTTTATAGATAGTAAACTTGAAAAAGTGAAGGGAAGAATTATTAATACATTGACATTTGTTATATCGTTATTCGTATTACCCGTCGAGCTAGAGAAAAAGTATATTTCATTATTGAATCTACACATAGGGGCCCTACAAAATAAGTAAAAAACCATCATTGTACAAAAAAAATCATAGCGATACTACAGTCCATAATACGATGGGCATTCTCCTTTAACATTTCTCCTTTTTCAGTCTGAATAGAGGATGCACTGTTGTCAAATTTAATTTTCGGTTTAGAGAATGCATGCCAGAATCGGCACCATTATCTTCATTGTGTTAAAATATTTCAAACACACAGGTTGAACGAATATTGGAGTATACCAATTTGCCGTCAGAAAGCCCAGTGGAGCCCGATATACACGCCATAAAGAATAAACATCCAGGACTGGATCTGGACAGCTGGCCTGCTAAAGGTTAGAATACATACAAAAAACCAACATAAATTCCTCATGTACTTTGTACCCAATTATTATTACTTCAGTTATAGAAGACCCGCATTCTAATAATATCTTTTGCAAAGTTTTCTTTAATATCTACTTCTGACGTTTTAGGTAGAAATGAATAGGCACAATAATGAAGGTAGGATAGTTTATTCAGTTTTACAAAAGTTTTAGTGATTAGTTGTATAAGGAATGAATCCCTAGAGCATGAGTCCTAAACATGCACGGGGCGATTGGAGAGGCCTATGTCCAGCAGTGGACTAAGATGGGCTGTTGATGATGATGATGATGCAAGCGCATCACGGAGTAACTGAAGTATTTGCGGGTAGATGTAGATGTTATTGGCAGACATATCGGTCTACCCTCTGACATCGTTTTTTATTGCAATCGACATCCCTACCACTGGTTTACATTCTCACTACTCATTCGCACCTGTTCCTGACACACAATATTTACAGTAACCGATGGCTAAACGACACTTTTTGATTTTTGCACATACGAAACACTGGATTCTATAGACGACAATTTTACTCATCCTTAGGATTGAAATTTTTGTGTTTGCTTATTCCAGTTCGTCAATATATTGAAGATCTCTCACAATCTTCCGTCTCTTTTAATCAATCACTTTTCATATTATGAAGTTTAAAATAAGCATGCATTTCCACGATTCAATTTTATTTATATAGATCAATCTTCTTAGGTGAAATAGTCTTCGAAGACGTATCTTTAGAGTACGAGAAGCCGCCAAAGAAGGAAAACGTCAAAGGGAACAAGAAGGGAAAGAAAGCGGTAGAAGAAGAACACAAGGGACATAGCAAGGAAGAGCCGGTATTCGCCATCAACGGCGTCAGTTTTAAGATCAAGAGTTCGGAGAAGGTTGCTGTGGTAGGCAGGACTGGAGCCGGCAAGAGTTCTTTGATCAGCGCACTGTTCAGGTGAAAACGCTAGTTAATATACAAATATAATAAAAAACAGAACTGAAATATATAAATGTATGATGACAGGGTAAATTAAACGAAATTCTGTCTGTCTGAAAGTCTTGTTAGTTAGATTATCAAAAAATAATGGACACTAATTTTAGCTTTTGTTAATTAACCAAAAACTTCCAGAGATTAGAGCGCGTCAAAATTTGGAAGTCAGAATTTGTGACGACACTTCTGAGTAAAAATTTGTAACAAAACGTAACGTCATGCTACATTTCAAATCTAAATAATGTTTTGATATGTGAATAAAGAATAGTTATTTATTATACAAGAGTGGAAAGTTCCTTTTTAACCGCGTGCTCGATTTGGATGACCGAGCAAGCGAAGGATTCTAAAGTTGAATCACGAGCGCAGCGAGTGATTCTAAATTAGAATCCTGAGCGTCAGCGAGGGAAACAAACGAGCACAAGGTGAAAAATCTTTCCACTCGAGTGCAATACGTAACTTTTCATCCCACCTCAGCGAGGAAATGACAAAATGAAAAAGAAAACAATTTATAATGACAAAATATTTAAGCAATAAAACGTGAAAAACTAGAATGGCGCGAAGCACGCAAATAAAACAAAGAAACCAAGAAGGTTCCAAATTTAAATTTTTTCACAATTTAAAAAGTTCTAATCATAAATTTGGCACCATAGAGGTTACATTAAATAGGTTTAATGACGTTTTGAATTTACAATTATATTGAGTACTCATTATATGTGATGTTCTAAATTCAAATCTACTTTGCCGCTCAAGCGAATAAAATAGAATTTTCCAGCCAGATTTCGAAGCGCAAAATTACACTTTCCGAGGTGGTGGGATGAAAAAAGTATTTGTCCAATACTTTTTCATAATCTACCTGACACGCGAAGAAAAATTATCATCCCTATATATGCTTCCAGCGATAAGAGCGCTTTTGCACACATAGCTAATAAGCCTCTCAACGTAATTTAATCGTTTTTGTCTCGTGTGCGCATAACAAAGCGTTAGTTTTATCTATCTGGTACCTTTAGCATTTCCTATCAAAAATAAAACGAGCGAGCCTTACAGTAGTCGCGTATGATGTGTAACATTTGAAACCTCACCTTATATTAGTAAAAAAAGAAATAAAACCTACTACAAGGGGGATAAGCCATTTGAACATTATGTTCTAAAATCAAATCAAATAGCGCGCGCTTTCGCGACTTCCTGTTACACACTTCCGTCCCATTTCACAAAACCACAAATTGCAGGGAAGCGAGAGAAAAGATGTTACACATCAAAATAACCTTTTTCCCTTCAGATTGAACCGCATAACCGGGCGCATCCTCGTGGACGGCGTGTCTGCCGAAGAGACTGGGTTACGTACTTGGCGTTCGCATCTATGCGCGTTGCCGCAGCGACCCGCGTTGTTCGCCGCCAGCCTGCGCGACAACCTCGACCCTGCCGGCGAGTACAGTGACGCACGCGTGCACCGCGCCCTCGAACAGGTCACCTTTTTTTTAGTGTGTATGCTGTTGGTCGCAGAAGACTTTTACAGCGTCACCGGGTTTGTTCTTGAACGGGTAACTGTACTACATGTAGCCGGGGAGAGGGGAGAGTGATGCTATGAGACGAACATGCGCCTCTTTCTTTCGATTCTGGAGGCGTAGGACAGTAAACAAATAACACATTGTTATAGATCAAGTAAATAGCGAAAAGGACTTTGGTCTTAACGATGCGATGGTATTGTAGTAAAATACCTGAGATATAACGCTTTGACCTGCAGCGGCGGTGGTACCCGTTTTCAACCATATTAATAAATAATAATAATTTTTTATGAAGTCATTATATTGCCTAGTACTGATGAGAATGACGCATTCGCTAATCTATATCGTAGTACGTTGTGAACAATTGCTCCAAATCTTCTACTAAGTCAAGCATTTCTTCTTCACCATTAACATATTGGTTCGTTTGTAGGTGGAACTACGCGAGATGGTGAGCAAACTACCCGCCGGTTTGAACAGCAAAGTTGGAGACGGCGGCGGCAACCTGTCAAGTGGTCAGAGACAGTTGGTGTGTCTGGCTCGTGCCGCCCTCGCCGGCGCCCGCCTTCTAGTACTAGACGAGGCCACCGCCAACGTGGACGCCGCGTGAGTATTAACAATAACATATGAGCACGGTTATAGGTGGTCTAAACACCAACCTGTCCAGTGGTCAGAGACAGTTGGCGTGTCTGGCTCGTGCCGCCCACGCCGGCGCCCGCCTTCTAGTACTAGACGAGGCCACCGCGAACGTGGACGCCGCGTGAGTACCAACAATAACATATCAGCACGATTATCGGTGGTCTGAACACCAACCCAACCTGTCCAGTGGTCAGAGACAGTTGGTGTGTCTGGCTCGTGCCGCTCTCGCCGGCGCCCGCCTTCTAGTACTAGACGAGGCCACCGCGAACGTGGACGCCGCGTGAGTACCAACAATAACATATCAGCACGATTATCGGTGGTCTGAACACCAACCCAACCTGTCCAGTGGTCAGAGACAGTTGGTGTGTCTGGCTCGTGCCGCTCTCGCCGGCGCCCGCCTTCTAGTACTAGACGAGGCCACCGCCAACGTGGACGCCACGTAAGTATCAACAATAACATATGAGCACGGTCATAGGGGTCTGAACACCAACCTGTCCAGTGGTCAGAGACAGTTGGTGTGTCTAGCTAATGCCGCCCTCGTCGGCATCATCCTCTTCTCAGGAGATGATCGCATCAGATGCAGCCCAGAGAAGGGTCTTACCCTTATGCCTTAGGCCCCCCACGGGTGAGTTTTAGTCAATAACCGTCTTATTAAAAAACGAAGACTAAAGTTCAATCTGGACTAAAACTGATGCTGTCACTTTTGCTTGCTAAAAGAACGTTTCAACCAAGAATAATTTTAGTCCGCGTTTTCGAATAAGGCGGTAAGAGTCTGACATAACCCTGTAGCCGGCTGTAGAAAATATTTGAAGATTTCAGGTTAATCAGGTTTCAAAATTCATAAAAACTTTGCTGAACATGAACTTTTTTTGGCTCACAGGACAGATAAACAGATCCAGATGACGATCAGGAACAAATTTGCCGATGCCACAGTCCTCACCATAGCTCATCGGTTGAACACTGTCATGGATTACGACAGAGTCATTGTTATGGACAAGTAAGTACCTATCTTACCCCTCGTTTACAACACTTCTTACTTGTTGTGGGCCCCGTTTCCGCACGTAGACTCCGTTTTTGGTTCATTGTGCGTGCAGGGTATGTTGGGCTAGCTAGCTCAGCCAGCGTAACTACTTCCAGAAGCGCAATAGTCTCCTGGGACTCTCACAGGCTTTTAGGAGCGTCCTCGGCTTCCTGAGGATTGATGCCGGGTGGTCTATTACGCTCATGCATTCCAGGATCACATGAGCGGCCGTTTCATCTGCTTCCAGACATCCTCTGCATAGAGAGCTATCTGTAACACGTATTGTTAGTAGATGCTTGTTAAGTAGGCAGTGTCCTGTTACTGTGCCCAGCATTACTCGGAGATCACTTCGTTTAAGATTTAATAGTTTTGTAGTTGGGCTGGGGTTAAGGCTAGGAAAAATATCCTTAGATTGCTCGCAGCCCTCGGTACTAGCTAGCCCATCGGGTGTTATGGCTCTTTATCGCACCCATGTACAAATTTGATTGAAGGGTAATGGTAGAAGTGGCTCAGGGCCCTCCACTTTTTGTGATGCTCCCCTTCTAGCTAGTTCGACGGCTGCGTCATTACCCAAAGAACCGCTATGCCCCTTGATCCATTGGAGAGTAACCTTGTTTTCCGTTGCTATGCACTCCAACGCTAGGTGACATTCGTATACTAGCCCAGAAGTATTGCTGTTACTATCTAGGGCTTTTAGGATAGCTATACTATCAGATAATATACGTATTTTGTAGTTTGTGACTTTCCTATTAATAAACAGTGGTGGCGGCCTGAGTAATGGCTATACATTCGCATTGGAATATTGAGCTGTGGTTACCCAGTGCTGTTGATATATGGATGTAAAGGTCCAGTGAGAAGACTCCTGCGCCTGATCCGGATCCTGGTATTTTGGATCTATCAGTGTATATGTCGTTTACACCAAGAAACAAGTCATATACTAGTTTTACACGAAACTTGTAGGATACATTTTGTGACTTTTTAAAACGTTATTCGTTTACAATGCATAAACAACTAGTACCTTAACAAGTACAAAGCACTTTATCCAACAAGTTTGATGCAAGTATTGTGTACTACATGTTTTATACATGTATTGTATATAAGTGTGAACAAAAAATTAAGACATTGTATTTATACACTTTTTTATACCTTGTTGTAAACAAGGGGGAATAATCAATGAACGTTTAAATTTGATTAAAGTTAATGCTAAAGTAAAGTTTCTCTTACGATAACAATAGGTACTTACGCGCAAGGAACTTATACACTTAACCTAAGTGACTTAGGTACCCATATAAATTCCTTTTCCATAAATCTAAATGTCGTCTCTGAGAGTGGCATATACCTCTACCTTAGTTAATTTAACATAACCTCTTCATCTAACTCTGTACTTACTTGTTTTACTTGGAGGAACATACAATTCATTTTCTTTTACCAGAGAACTGTATTCTCTATTGTTTCTCAGGGGTCGTGTTGTAGAATCTGGCCATCCCTACGAGTTACTCACTCAAATGAACTCTACTAACAATCAGGTATGTAACCAACAAGCCGTCAAAATAATTTTACGTGGAAAGGAATTTACATCTTTGCTTTTTGGATCAGTTAATATTTTGATACGCATACAGGCAAAAGTCCTCAATTCGCAATATTGCCACAATAATAAAATAATGAGAGGACATATTAATTTCTATGAGTGTTGCATGATATTTGTTAGTTTTTTCTGTTTGTAATTTTATAGTATCGTTGATACTTTTTAATATTTATAGTGTTCACATGGCAATATAATAACCTAAAGTGGTAATGATATATTTAGAACTATTAAAGTTATAACACCTTTTATTTGACATTTCATTGAAATTCAAATCTATGTTAATATAATATACAGAAAGTTTATTCATATTTTATTTTTATATCTTTGCATTTCAGGCTCCTCTGGTTGCAGCTGAAAACTCCTCCTTGAGAAGTAGGACGTACTCTGATAAGTAAGATTCCATTATTTTCAGCTTCCTGAAAAATTCAATAAAATTAACATCAAATAATGCGTTAACAAACATATACTTGTTTTCTGTATCACTTTCTAACTGTTGAAACATCTTAATCTTTGACATAACAATATCATTACAAGGAATGCAATTTTTACTCCATTTATATAGCAAAACGACGACCTCTGTGGCCCAGTGGTTTATACGCCGGATTTCATGGTGTCGCCAACTCGAGAGGTCCCGGGTTCGAATCCTGGTGGGGGCAGATATTTGTGTGATGAATACGAGCATATTGGTACTCCAGTCATGGATGTTTAATATGTATTTCTATATAACTATACTTATATATGTACCATATTTGTATTCTATCAGTTACCCTAGTATCCCATAACACAAGCCTTACAGTGCTGACTTTGGGGCTAGGCTAATTGGTGTGAGTGTTGAAAATATTTATTTATTTATTTTATTTTAAAGCAAACCTACTCTTTCTCTCATCAGCAACTTATCATTTTGTGTGTGTTAAAACTGTATTATTTTTTGTTCAGGTCAGAGACTACTGGTATATTCAACATGTTGGTCGAGCAGACTGGGAAGGATTCATCCGCGGTGTTATACAAAATGGCTGAAGAGGTTACTATCCTTCTAATATTATGAATGCGAAAGTGTGTTTGTTTGTTTCGCTTTCACGCAAAAACCACTGAACTGATTTGGATGAAATTTGGTACGCATGTAATTTACGACTTGAATTGAGACATACAGACTTTGTATCCCGGAAGAATGGTAGGCTGCTTTAGGATTCTCAAAAACTAAAGTTAACACGGACGAAGTCGCGGGCAGCCGCTAGTACAATAATAAAAGCAAAATAATACCTCATATTGTCATTTAAGTAGCAGTTAGATGATTTTTCTTTTATTTTTTACAGAGTTACAACAATATGCTGAAGAAGAAAATCTCTTAAATCAACTCAATATTTTTACATAAACAGTATACGTATGCGTACCTACGATAGCGAACTTACAGTCAGAATGGCTTTAGTTAATTATACTACTTAAACTTGAATCAACTTCACAAAATTTCCTATCCTGACTCAGTTTTTTCTAAGCACTATAAAATATATGAGTACAATGAATCCCCAATGCAATAGACGGAATAAACAGGTCCTGAACAAAATAAATAAGTACACAATACTAAGCTCATAATAATAAACGACCACTAAATTCGAACTAAGTATAGTCTGTGCGGAAAGAGAATGGGCGTGGCGAAAAACCCAGCAATCTGTAAAACGTCAAAGTTTTGTATTGATACGGATTTGTTTGTTGTTGTGATTTCTTGCGGTTTTTTGTATTTAATCATTTCTAAAAGGGGTAAAACCTTACAAATACGGTAGAAAAGCACTAAAGCGCCCCCCAATCTAAATCCCATTCTCTTTCCGCACAGACTAAAAATTTCTCACAGACTAAATATATTTTGGCACTAGTAGTGCGAAATAACTGAAAAATAAAGTTATTCTGCCGCTATAAACTATATTTATGGCAATGAATCGCCATGCATATGCTATAATTTATTTTTGATGTGTAACATGTTTCCTCTCGCTTTCCTGCAATTTGATTACGTGAAGTGGGACGGAAGTATGTAACAGGAAGTTTGGGAAGCGCGCGCTATATGATTTGATTTTAGAACATAATGTTCAAATGGCTTATTCCTTTTGTAGCAGTAGGTTTTATTTCTTTTTTTACTAATATAAGGTGAGGTTTCAAATGTTACACATCATACGCGACTACTGTAAATCTCGCTCTTTTTTTTTAATTATTTATCACAACTAAGCATAATTAAGTTGTAGTTATACAAACAGGAAATTAATACCTTTTGTTTCTTTGAATTTTAAGAAGTTAAAAATCTTAAATCGCATAAAATTCGGAAATTGTGTTTTCATTGTAACAGCAAGCTGCTAACTTCGTTGCGATATAATTAAAAAAATATATATTAATTTGTAGCAGATTAGCTTTACCTGTTGATATGCCGTCAAGAAGTAGTGAATAGTAACAAAGTTTACTATGCCTGCTACTACACAATCGTTATGAATGTAAACCTACTTACATGACGGATCAATTTTCAATAGCTAATAGTACTTGAGACAGAATTTTAGTTCTCTTAATTTACCCCTAGTGGCGGAATATTTTTATTTATTCAGTGAAAACTGTTGGCAAGCTAGACACATCGTGAACTACACTTGTTTACCTCCAGTGATAATAAACAAGTATAATATCATCATCAGCCTAATAATGTCACTCCTGGGGCATAGGCCTTCCCTACGGATGGAATAGGGAGATTGGGCCATGACCCACCACACGGGCCCAGTGCGGATTGGTGGGTGCTAACGACTGCAGATGCAGCCGGGACCAACGGTTTAACGTGCCTTCCGAAGCACGGAGGAGCTCGATATAGTAAATTTTTGGTCACTCATCCAATGACCGACCACTTGCGCCATCGAGCTCCGAGTATAATATATTAGGTACTAATTGTTTATGTATCGTTATTTTCAAAGCTAGACATCAGTAGATGGAGTAATTTGCAGCGCCTTATAAAACAAATGTGATACAATTTGATACGGCAATAACAACACCAACAGTGCCTTAGTACAATGGATCTGGGTTTCGAATAATGCATTTGTTCATGTTATGAGCATTTAGCGCAGAACCATTAAACACTATATTATTAACTATTTTATATGAAGTAGGTACCGTAAGGTATTAGTCATAATAATATATATAATATTCTAATATATATTGTATGACAAGTACAAACTCGGTGCTTGGTTTGAAACTAAATCAATGATATTTTAGAACAAATATATCAAGTTGCATAGCAACCTTTTGTTTTAGTATGTATGTAATTTAGTTTAATTACTTACAGGGTGCACAAACAGTGGTAATATAATATACCATATCATTGTACGTAGTGATAGAATAGTTAACATTCACCAGTGTTTCACGCTTGTATAAATTATTAAATTATTGTTCAATAAATATGTGGTGCTAAGTACTTTTTGAATGTTACGAATTTAATGTTTCGGCATTTTATGTTACTTAATGCAGTATTATTTTACTATTTAAATTAATTTATTTAAGAAGAATTGTTATTTCGAATGCAGAAAACTTATTGTTGCTTATTTTTTTACAATTTTATATAGATTACTTATATTATTTTACTATGAAAGTGCTATGAAACTACTATTTACATCACAAAAGATATTTTAGAATAAGATTCTTAGTACTTATAGGTATATCAAAACTTTAATCAAATTATTTTATAAAGAACCTTCAAAAATATAACCTATAATAGGTGAAAAATTAATAATTTTAGAAAATTACGAGAAATTTAAATGTAATATTATAAAAATTTCACAACAAAATCAATTATGTACTTAAAATCTTTTCAAAACTGAAAATGTATTTATTTGTAATAGGTAGCAGGTATACAATTAAACTGGGCAAATAATGGTGCTTGTTTTCACTACACAAATAAATTATATTTTAAACAGGTGCTTACAATTTATATTCGTCAATACATACGTAACTATAATATATTATAAATGTTTTTATACAATTATTACTTTTTGCAAGCGTTCTTGCCTTAATTTTAAGTGAAATAACAAACTTTTGTGTGATGCACATGCACGTTAATTGTAGATTGTCAGTGATTAAGCACAAAAGGGAATTTTGGGAATTGGAAAAGGGAACCGTGCATACAAAAATGAAGCTGGAATATTTTATTTTTACAGGAAATCATGAATGTACCGTACACATATCATTAATTCAAACGTCGCACATTCCAACATCAATTCGATTTTATTTATTTCCTATATATTATTAATCAATGCAACCATACTCCTGTTTATTTGTTACTATTCAATAAACAGTGAAATTCACAATACCCGTGGTTTTTTTTTATGTACTGTACATGTGAAAAGACTACACCCTCCTTTGCTGAAGACTTGTGGTCCTGCTGCTCGATAAAAATATAAATAAACTAGCTGTCCCAGCGAACTTCGTAAGGCTATAAAAATAGGGTTGGTGGTAAAAGGGTGAAAATTTTGGGTTGTACGTATTTTTGTATGATGTATCTTAAAAAAATTAACGTTGGAACACCCTTAACATTTAGGAGGATGAAAAATAGATGTTGTCCGATACTCAGACATACTGAATATGCATATATCATTTCACCAAAATCGGTCAAGCCGTTTAGGAGTAATTCAATTACGCACACCGTGACACAAGAATTTTATATATTAGACTAGCTGACCCAGCGAACTTCGTACCGCTATAAAAATAGGGGCAGGTGTTAGAAGAGAAAATTTAGGGTTGTATGTATTTTTTAATAACAAAATAAATATTGTCCACAAAAAATTTTAGGGGTGTGTAACGTAGCGTTCTATCAATTTCCTGGGATAACATTCCTCCGAACTCATATGAGAACACTACGTTACAATACCCAATAGTTTGGATTTTGGCGCGAAGGCGCATTGTAGGTTCCAGAACACTACGTTTCAGGTGGACAACCATTATCACTTAAGGATATGAAAAATAGATAGTAGCTGATTCTTAGACCCACGGAATATGCATATAAAATTTCATAAAAATCGGTCAGGCCGTTACGGAGGCGTATGGTAACTATTATAACACTGACATGGCCGAAAACTGTATATTGAGGAAGACAGCAGACCGGCTTCCTTTTCACAGTAATGGCCGTTGTTGGCGGGAGATCACAACACGTGTTTATTTATATGAGATCACTTAATTAACTAATATTTAAAACTGTCTTTATCAGTTATTAACAAAATGTGAAATAGTTATTTATTATACAAGAGTGGAAAGTTCCTTTTTAACCGCGTGCTCGATTTGGATGACCGAGCAAGCGAAGGATTCTAAAGTTGAATCACGAGCGCAGCGAGTGATTCTAAATTAGAATCCTGAGCGTCAGCGAGGGAAACAAACGAGCACAAGGTGAAAAATCTTTCCACTCGAGTGCAATACGTAACTTTTCATCCCACCTCAGCGAGGAAATGACAAAATGAAAAAGAAAACAATTTATAATGACAAAATATTTAAGCAATAAAACGTGAAAAACTAGAATGGCGCGAAGCACGCAAATAAAACAAAGAAACCAAGAAGGTTCCAAATTTAAATTTTTTCACAATTTAAAAAGTTCTAATCATAAATTTGGCACCATAGAGGTTACATTAAATAGGTTTAATGACGTTTTGAATTTACAATTATATTGAGTACTCATTATATGTGATGTTCTAAATTCAAATCTACTTTGCCGCTCAAGCGAATAAAATAGAATTTTCCAGCCAGATTTCGAAGCGCAAAATTACACTTTCCGAGGTGGTGGGATGAAAAAATAATTATTGCACTGGAAATTAATAATAAATTCACGATGAGAGTAAAATTAACGTAATAGATGCACAGAAAAATTAAAATAATACGTATAAGTCACTGCTACGATCGATACACAAATGAAATCAAAAAAAAATGGCCGAAAACTGTATATTGAGGAAGGGTGCGGCCAGAGTGCACTCAGATCAGTCTAAGCAGGTTGCCTGCTTTTTCTCGCGCTTTGTTTTCTGAGTCTGAATCTGAATCAGGAGTGCACTCTGGCCGTACCCTTCGACTACACTGTTTATTTCTCGCACTTGTTTTCGGAATCTGAATCTGAATCTGAGTGCACTCTGGCCGTACCCGAAGACAGGAGACCGCCTTCCTTCTCATCCCTACTCCGTGATATTTGCTGGATGAGAGGTGACCCAGGTAGACATCTAGCGGGGATAACTGATCGATTGATCGTTGATCGGTTATCGACCGGTAAAGGCGGAAGATCAAATTGAATTGAGAAAAAAAAGAAATATTTAAAACTAAAAATCGCGATGGTAAAATAGGGGTTGATTTTAAAGGGTTGAAAATTCAGGGTTATATGTATTTACTAATGCTGTATCATAAAAAAATTAAAAAATATATATATATCTAAAATAAAAAAAAAATTTAGGGGTGGATTACCCTTAACATTTAGGGGGATGAAAAATAGATTACATCCGATTCTCAGACCTACTGAATATGCATATAAAATTTCACGAAAATCGGTCGAGCCGTTTCGGAGGAGTTTAACCACAAACACCGCGACACGAGAGATTTATATATTAGAAGATATAAATTATCCCTACTGCGTTAAGCAGGGCCTGATTTACCCACAGGCTAATAAGGCTGGAACCAAGGGGGCGGCCGGCGGGCGCGCGCGGTGCTGAGCTGAGCTGTGACTTGCATAATAGTATTTGGTTATATTGGGAAAATACGTGTTTAAATGAATTCTTGCATGTGCTCTCACACAAACGTATTGAAAACCATAGATAGTTAAAACATCACGAACAAAATCCTGGCTGAAACCTGTCCTAAAGGTGATAAAAATAAGGGTCTTTTTCTTTTTAATTTCTTTTATATTTTTAGGTCTAATTAAGTAGATTGTGAAAATAAGTGTTGGAATTATTTAATTCCTTTCGTCTTTAATTAACCTACAATTTACAGTTTGAATCATTTTTATTTATTTTTTAAAAGATATAAGTGCGAATGACCACATTCGCACCTGATGTTAAGCAACGATGTTGTCTAAGCTGGAGCACACAAACTCAAATAATGCCTATTAAATGTATCGGGGAATACATACGCGGGAAGGAAGTTCCATTCCTAGCGGTTCGCATGATAAAGGAGAATGCGAATCGTGAGGTGCGCAAGGAAGGTATGTCAACCACTGTTGAAGACCCTGTTCACCTCTTGCGGACCGATGGTAAAAATATGCAGGCGGAATTAGTTCGAAAAGTTCTTGTGCACACTCACCGCTCCGAAATGTAACTTGTAGAAAACACTCAGACACGCAATCAGGCAGCGATGTTCGAGGGCTTGTAGCCGTCTGGTTGTGAATTTCATTGCCTATGAGTTTTCTAGCACGTCTGCCAATAGCTTCTCTGCTTCTTCTGAGACTTGATCGCCTCAGCTTGCAAACAGTCGACACCGACTCATGGCTGAGCTTTAAGGCCTGAGGGTCAGTCGGAGAATGAAATGTAATACTACATCGCTTGACCAATAACCTCGGCAATAGCGGACGCGCTGCAAGATGAATATTCGGAAGAAAAGCACACTTTTAGTCATGGTTAAGATGCCAGAAAATGACGAGAACATTTCATCCCAATTTCCTGATTTGTACCAACACACCCACCTGGTGTCGTTAGGACTGGAGTCAGGCGGGGGCAATAATAATATGGACTTAACCAAACAATGGTCAGAACTTCCGAGTGAAGCTGAAACTGACATTCGGTATCGATCTGGTTCAGGCGTCAGCAGAAGGTCCAGACAATTAGCGTTGTGGTTCTTAACATCAGGTACAAAAATGGCTTCGTCGTCTTTCTTCGTCTGTCTCTACCTGCTGGGAAAGGTTCATTGACAGAGTAAGCTTGTAAGCTTCTACCAGCATGGTCAATTCTCTGGTATGGGAAGAACCACTGTTCGTGGTGGGCATTAAAACCCCCAGAAAAACGATTTGAGCAGTCGGATACCTGAGCTGCTTCATCGGCCGCCTCACTTAGATGATCAAAGAGCTTGTTTCCTGATCTCCGCTATAAGATCTGTATGCTGTTACGTACCTATCTGTCTGTAGGTATACTTTAGTATTTACTACTACCTATATGTTGTTTTAAAAACAAGGTACATGGTAACAATCCCGTTAATAACATAATTACTATAATACTACTACCTCGTATCTGTATACTTACTTTACTTTTATCTGTATACATTTACTATTTTTTCGATGATGTTAGGTTATTTAAGCTTCAGGACAGGCGCGCGCATATTCATAATTAGCCTAGGGCGGTCAGAACTCTTAAGTATGGAGTGTGACGGTGGGTCCGAACTTTTGGTGTGCAGGACTGCCACGCCGCCGGAGCACTTGGGGCCGACAAGTGAGATACCGGTCGTGGGCTGCGAAGACCAGCCGACCTATTTTGACATTTACAGTGTGCAACCAAAGATAATGCATATCCATCAATGCTCTTCAGGAGAAGTATCTAAGTGGCGTTAGAATAAAGCAGTAGTGAATTAGCCAATCAATTTCTGTGGCGCTATCTTGGCTTCCATACTTTTGAGTGCAGTGCCGGTAGCGTCATTTGTGGTCTAGCTTCATTAATTAGATGTGGCGCGTGTAGATGTCGCTGCTACAAAGTATTAGAAAACTTGAAAAAATAAAGGTGAAGTAGGTACTTATATCGATATAGTGCATAGAGTACATTGTTATGTATAGTGCTTCTCAAGTTATAGCGTGATGACCACGACTAGGACTAGTATAGGGTGTGTCCTTAATACTAAACAGTCACACCACATCAGTGTTAAAATAGGGTTCTTTTCGGATCTTCACACTGTCGCACTTTCAAAGTTCACTGTGGTGTGACTGTATTTTACTAGTATGCATCCTGTCCATGACTACGTGAGCGTGCAAAAATTAGTATCCCATATAAACTTCTACCCTCCTTTTCACCCCCATAAAAAGATAATTATTCTAAGATAAAACTACCCCATGCCGGGACTCTAAACTATATTTTTCATCTAAGTGAGTTCATCGGCTTAAGTGTAAAGAGATAACAGACAAATGCACTTTCGCATTCTTAATATTAGTTGGGATAATAGATAAAATATATGAATAATTTTATCTACTTATTTCTTTCTATCGGTTATCCTAGTGTCCATAACACAAGCCTTCACAAAAATCACAACTGTTACCTTTCAGTGCTGGTCATCAGTACCCCTAGCACGAACCAATATCAAATTCGTATCGTTTGCGAGTCCGAAATGTCATTGTCAAATATGCAAAACTGATTTTTAGTTCTCGTTCTCTTCTCGTTACGTACTTTGTGCCGCTGCTGTTCAAATTTCCATACAAAATTTGACATTGACATTTCGGTTTGCGATATTGGTTCGTTCGTGCTAGGGTATGGTCATGCATGGTCCTGTTTTACCAACGACTACAGACTACAGAGAATAAGTCAAAGAGGATGACGAGCCAGACGAGGAGAGGTCAGTGCTAACAACTTAGGTTCTCCCCCCTAGATTTAGGGAAAAATCAAGTACTCTGTAGTTTTTTAGGAGATTTTTAAACACATTCATGTATTGCTTTTTTCAATTGAGAGTTCTGGGCCTGAGGGACCACATGTGGGTGGACATATATCGGGTATAAATAATATTATTTCGCGTGCCAGTAGTATGCCATAAGTAAAGAAAAGCTCTACTGGTGGCACGGCGTGGTAGTAGTTCATTTGGTTAGGCGGTTGAGCCCGATGAGTTCAGACAAGTGGCTAAGTATCTACACGATATCTAAATAGTAAAATGGAGTGGAGTGATGTAATGGTGCTCGAATTTCTTTATATAACGAATCTTTTAAATATTATTAAATGCATTATGTAATCGTTAGCACAGGAAATAATGAAAGTCATCGTCCATAGTTGAACGTCTGGAAATAAGAATGGCTATCTTGGTTTATTATGTTTTATCTCCGAAACTGTTTTCTGCTGCTTTGGAAGATATTTTCAAGCTTCTGGATTGGAAAAGCCACTTCTACTAATACACCTTCGCTTTGCCGATAATGTACTACTTATGGCTGAGACCTTGGAAGACCTAAACACAATGCTTAAAGATCTCAGCAGTGTTTCCCAAAGAGTGGACCTACAGATGAATATGGATAAGACGAAAATTATGTTGAATGTCCATGTTGTACCCACTCCAATTAAAATTGGGAATACTCCACTTCAAGTTGTCGACCATTCATTTATTACGTAAAACTATTTTCGCTAGTTTTTGACCCCCTCTCCCCTATTTTAAGAAAAAATAAGAATAGGCCGATCGCCTCCCCCCTGTTTAATATTAATTACGTAAGAATCTAAAGGAAAGAATTAATACACGTTTGGTTAGTTTTAATGTTTATGGAGATCCTTGGGGGAGGCCTATGCTCAGCAGTGGGTGTCGTACGGCTGAGATGATGATCTTAGTTTTTTGCACGATAGTTCGTGCAAAATATAGCTGCTAATGTGACCACAGGCAGGCTTAATCGCGATTACGAACTTTGCTTTGCTTGTCATCGTGAGTACGAATGTACTATACTTTTGAGTGTCAATAGTAGTCAAAACATACGAAGCTTCAGCACAGATTACTTTGTGGCGATACGCACGATCACGAACGAATGGGAACGAAGCTTCTGGGTAAAAATATTTACCCCTAAAACTAAAGTGAAAAAAATACTTGTTTTAGGGGTAAATATATTTGTGAGTTGGTAACACGCAACGAGGCGACGGATTTGACATTTTGTTTTAAATCGAATCAAGCGAGAGAAATTGAATTGAATTAAATTGAACAAACTATAAAAGTTACCTTATCGATCTGTTTTGTAAACATGTCTAATGATTATGGATTCAATAGTGATGACTCTCCCAATAAGACTAATTCACATTTACAACTTCCAAGTCCAATAATTACCAGACGAAACAGAACTGCGTCAACGTAAGTTTGTAATCCAAATAGACGGTTTATATAGATCCAGCTAGACTATTTGTATTTATATAAAAATTACGTTTGTTTTAGGTCAGAAAGGGCACTAGGAAACCCATTGGAAAGTGGTAAAATAAAATCATTCTGCCGCGAAAGGGGTCATGGATTCGTGACCCCAGAAAAAGGAGGCGAAGACCTATTTGTCCATATTTCTGAGTAAGTTTGATTTTAACCATCGTATGCATTTATAGATTTCACTTAAATTGTATGCTTCAATCATGTCATGTGAAAGCCTAATTGATTTTGAAGTCATAACCACCATTGATGTAATAAGTACCATAAATAAAGCAAAATTTTCATTTTAGAATGTTACAAATTATGTAAACAAACATACAACCTACTGTTTAGCTTTGTAGCAGTTGCTATGCATTTGGTATAAAGTGCAAATGATTCAGGTCAGCAATTGACCTAAATAGCATCATGCTTACATTAAAATGTATATGTAATTTAATAATTATCAAATTAGGGTTGTGTCATTTTATTGCTTTAACAATGAAAGAAACAGCATCAAGTACAGACAAACTTAATTTATATCACTTGATGTCATTGTAAGACAGTTGTGTTGGATATGGCATAATTCTCAAAATTTAACATAAGTCTCTTCTTTTCATTCTGTATAGAGAATGACAAGGATACACTGTTGTGAAATTTAAGTTAAGGTTCATAAAATCATATCAGAATCAACACCATTATCAGTATTCAACCTATTTGTAGAAATAACTTACATGTAGGTTGACATTTTGATGAACTAATTAATAGCAAACTAATCAAGGCTAAGTGTGCAATAGTAAGATGAACCTGATAAGAAAATTATTGAGCTGAATATAAAATTATCTAAGATAGGTAACAGTAGTGTAGTAGTCATTTCTATGTATATTTAACTATATTTGATATCTCACATATTTCTGTCTTGTCTACAGCATTGAAGGTGAATATGTGCCATTGCCAGGAGATGAAGTGATTTACCGACTCTGTCCAATTCCACCTAAATTTGAAAAAAATCAGGCTGTCCATGTTCGTATAGTCCATTTAACTCCTGAAAAGCATCTTAAGTGGGACGAACCCCCTCTGTAACAAATTACCATTAGAATACCTTCATAAATCTTTCCATAATTTTTTTGCCATTACCTCTTTATGACTTCACCTATTTTTCTTATGATCCATTACTTATTTGTCTATTCAAAGAAATTACGTATTGTTATTTTTAAAAACCTTTTGAATTATTGCAAAGGAATTCTATTTAACATAATTATATAAAAAAGAGTTACAGATGAAACATTTGATGTTACATGTTCATTTATAAAAATTTACATTTTTTAAGCAAACTGCAGTGTTAGGGTAAAAGTCATGAAATGTCAATCAAAAGTGATCATCTGCAATTATGTGAAATCAAAACTCAATAGTATTTGTTGTGATTAAATACATATATCTTAGTAGATATTTTTTATTGGAATACAATATTTTTGATGAAAGTGAGAGCCAACATGTGGTGCTAAATTTTTGAAAGATTTACCATCGTCTTAAGGTTTTGTTATGAGTTCTTGTGTGTGCAATAAATGGACGATGGCTTCTTACACAGTGTTATGCTCAAATTGTCTTTGTGTAAAACATTCTGTCATAAATTTATTTAATGACTTTTTTAACAATATTAGTCATAATATGTAACATCACATACAATTTGGCACTCATATATTTGTTCAAGAATCTTATAAGGGTTTCATCTGCTTTTAAGTTCCAGTAGATCCAGTAGAAGTACAAATGATTGATCGGCCTATGTACACTATAAAGTCATTATAAACACACATACTTAATGTATGTTGAATACCATCCATGTGTTTCATATTGTGAGTTTGGTAAATAGTTTAGTGTTAGATGATATTTTTTGCACAAAGATCAATAGCATTGATTGTTATTATTATAACTGGCGTCTTATTTTGTAACTTTTAATTCTGTAATATCTTTTCAAAAATAGGGAAAAAATTATCCTATATCGCATATTTTTATTTAAACGACCTCTGTGCGCCGGGTTTCAAGATGTCGCCTACTCGATAGGTCCTTGTTTCAAACTCGGTGGGGGTAGATGTTTTTGTGATGAATACGAACTTTTGTACTCCAGTCAAGGATGTTAAATAAATATTTCAATATAAATGTACTTATCAGATTAGGTTATATCAGAATATGAATTCTATTGGTAACCCTAGTATCCCATAACAAGTCTACAGTGGTTACTTTGGGGCTAGGCTAATTGGTGTGAGTGTTGGAAATATTTATTTAATATTTTTTTATATTGACACTAACTTTGAAATCAATTGCAGATAAAGTTAGAGAATTTTCTACAGTGAGTAACCTGTTACGAGGTCCATATTTGTAATCTTCAGTGTAATTGATATAGGTTTATTTTTAGTGCCCATTTCTGTTAACCATAAGTATAATGGTGAATGTATCATTCCACAATTAAAAAAAACAATTTTGTATGTTTTGTCCAATTATTTCAATGAGCTTGTCAATGTCAATGTTGTTGATTTAAATTATATTTGTTTAATAATTCTGTTTAGTTTTGAACTATCATTATTATTAACATGTTGCCATGCTTACTTTATTGTATTAGCAGTATTAATTCAAACAGCGAATAAAGTATGTGTAAGTGATCTTGTGTTTACTTCAATACAGTTTTTTTAACCCGGCGTCAGCACAGTCAAAATATGCATCAACGACAGTAGGGTTCGGTCGAGAGGACCCGTATAAGAAAACGCCATAATTACAAAAGTTAAAATAAATTTGGTTTGTGGTTGTACTATCTGTATAAAACGATTATCGTTATAGGTTTTGAGCAGAAAAAAACACAACATGATACGAAACTATCTTTTTAATGTCATTTTCATAAAAGTTTCACAAAATATTAACAAAATGGACAACCTCTGTCTTAAAGTAATAAAATTTTAACAAAACAAACTTTTTTCTATAACATAAACTAATTTGTTACATGTTAATCAAATCTTTAGTAAACTAATAATATTATACTATTTGTATCAGTCTCATACGTCAGTCATAGTATCCTTATCATCTGCGCAATCTCGGCAGTACAACATTGCATGCTCACTGCAGATGTATTTGCATATACAGCTCCGAAAAGTATTAGTTTTCTATCTTTTTTGGCAGAGCAGTCTTGGCATCTCTTTCTTACATAAAGTATCTTCACAGGTGGCTCCTCATCAGGTACCTACTCCTAAAAACTCTCTTATTCTTTTGCGCATGAGTCTTGGCAACTGAATGACATCTTTACGATTGCGCAAATGCTCACGAACCAGTATAAGGCTTAAGTTTTTTTAGAAATTGGCGTTATGTAATATGTACGCATTTATTTCAGACATATTTGCCAAAAATAACAAAATAAACAATATAAAACAACAATAAAACATTTTTTTAAACGGCGCAAAATTACGACACGAATAGTATGGTTGGGTCATATTTACCTTTTTCGTGTTTGGCCATGTCTATCACTCGCTGCGGCCGCAACACGACTGATTGGCGAATCCCACGTGGAGGGGGGACCATTAGCTCCAGCTACTGAGAAGTTTGGCAAAGTCGCACAAACATTTTAAGAAACACGCTCATTTGAAAACTGCTCGGGTCAAATAGACCCAACTGTGCGAACGCCGGGTTAACTGAGATCTTCGAACTCTAAATGTAGGAAGTATATAAACAGATTATTTTATTATTTTAGGACAAACAAACAAATGGAAATCAAAGAAATCGCCGACAAAAATTTCTACTAAAGATAAATTTGCAACAATTACATCAATACATTTCATGAAAAGAAAGAGGATTTTACGTAGCTTTTGTATTGACAAGGTCATTTCAAAGAAATCGCATTTTCTACTAAATATAAATTTGCAACAATTACATCATTACATTTCATGAGAAGAAATAGAATTTTACGTAACTTTGGTATTAACAAGGTCATTTCAGCAGCAGATCGCAGATCGTTCGTATACATTTGGTCATTGTATTACATCATTTTCAACAAGATTGTATGGACTGTGAAAACTGTTTTTGGTTTATTTTTGCGCCATTTGACCTTGCTTTTTCATTAGACTAACACTTGTGTTTAATAATAGTAGGTAACTGGTTAGGTAATCTGCATCGTAACACTAGGAAGTAAAACCCGTATTAACAGTAGGTATATGTTTATTAGTAAATGTAATAGGTAGAAACATAACTTATAAAAGACAAAATTATAGATTTTATATGACAATTAACTTTTTAACTTAATAAATCACAATTTATTGTTATGAAAAGTAAAATACAGCATATCAAATACTTATAATGTTAAAACTGAATTACAAAGTGGGTATTATTATAATTAAGTGTATATATGAAAGTTAAATTAAAGGTATAAAATATATCTTTACTTACATTATAAAAACACAATTCACGAATCTATACCTTAAGTCTTATCATTTAAAGCTTAACGTGTCGTGATTATATACTCTTATAACCTAACTCTCGTGGGGATGTAAAATACAATTAAAATCGTCATGCTCGCCTGCAACGCACGCGTGTGTTGACCCTATTTTGTCAAAATGATCTCTCTACTCAGGTTTAGTGATGATGAAATGATAATTTATCAACGACATCTGTCGCACAGACTCGTTTGATTATTTCGATTGTTTAATTATAGAGAATTCCCTTTTAAACTGGTTGCTAACTAAAATAGACACACACGCACTACGTCAATTTCAATCTAAATCTAACTAATCCATAAAATCACACTATATAAGGTTGGTGACTTGGTGTTTCGTTTGTTATTTTATTCTGATATTTTTACGTTTAAATATAATGATTAGTAAGCTTTTACTTATAACCACACTTCGTGCCTTCGAGGAATACATTAAATTTATCTAGTCCAGCTATACTCTAAGTGTGTTCCGCGGAACCCTAGGGTTCCGTGATACCTCTGTCGGGGTTCCGCAAGAATTTAGAAATAAAAAAATCAAAACACCTCTCTCTGGTCGCTCCGCGGCTGTGCGGACTCCGCGGCCGCGCGGAGACAAAACGCTATGAATGTTATTTATTTATTTATTTGTATTTGTATAAGCTTGTGTTACATTAGCTGGTACAATATCTCATAAGTTTGGTCTCAACAATTTTATACTTGTACAACGCGTTCGCTCTAAGTTTGCCGGTCTGTGGAATGCGCGTACCCTCCCCCACGTGACAACAAAACTTATAATGTGTCATAGTTTTACCCAAATATCTAACGTACACAATTTTTATTGTTACAATTAAATAAAAAATTTCGAACGTCATACACTCATACCTATCGCCAGCGGCAAACTTAAAACGAGCGGGTAGTATACTTGTAAGCGCTCAGTCTCTTTGATAAAAGCCGCCTCTGAATTAGACGCTATAGTTGTCAACTAGCGACTTTCGTCTCTAACTTCAAAGGATAAAGTCGATATTGTTTACAACGCTATTTTTAAATTTCTGTTTTTATTTTTGCTTTTTGTTTATCAAAGGTGCCGACTCGAGTATTTTCGAGAATATTTGAGATCGAGTCTAGGACTAAGTATAAAAGCGGCGATCGCGCGTTGGCGTCGTCAGTTGATGATTAGCGTTCGGAGCGATAAGTTACTACCTACTTACAAGCTCGCTAGCGAGAAACTGGTGTTCATTGTTTTACTGCCTGCTGTATTCTGTTGTCTCAGTTTTATACATTTCTTCCCTGTAGGTTCTAAATTTAGTCTCTTATACGCAGTAACGATTGTGCATTATTTAAACCCCACTATCCTGACTTGTAACATTATAAATAAAGAAGAATGGAACGTTGGCTTAAAGGTGTTAAACGTGTTCCAACAACATCTTCTAATGACGCTGAATGTTCAAAAGCAATGCGCGCGGAGAATTTAGCAATCACCGATCCAGAAGATGATGCCACGAGTGCCACGACGTCAAGCTCGACGGTTTCAAAGACGAAAAAAAGGAAGTATGATGAATCTTATATCAGTTTCGGATTTGTTGATTCCAACGGCTCACCTCTCTGCATGCTCTGTAGTAAACTGCTTCCTAATAGTTCCATGGCACCTGCCAAATTGCGTCGACATTTAGAAACCGTACACCCCGAGACTAAAGACAAGAATAAAGAATTTTTTGTTCGCAAAAAAGATCAGTTATTAGAAAGTCAAAAAAATATGATGCATGTAACACAAACTACCAACGAAAAGGCCACGGAGGCATCATACTTAGTTAGCTATCGCATTGCACAAGCAGGTGAAGCGCACACTATCGCTGAGAAATTAATAAAACCATGTGTATTAGACATAACAAAATGTATGCTTGATGAAAAATCTGCAAAGCATCTTTCTACTGTTCCGCTATCAAACGATACTGTTTCACGACGAATCCATGATCTGGCAAGCTACGTCAAACAAGAACTAGTTACACGTCTACAAAATACACGATTCGCTTTGCAAATGGACGAGTCGACTGATGTCGCTGGTTTGGCTATCCTGCTGGTTATTGTGAGATATCCATATAAAAGTTCTTTTGAAGAAGACATGCTTATGTGTTCATCGCTGCTTACAAACACTACCGGGGAAGAAATTTTTAATAAAATAAATATATTTTTTGAAGAACATAATCTCAGTTGGAACAATTGCATTGACATTTGTACAGATGGGGCCAAGGCGATGACAGGTAAAACAGCAGGAGCAGTGTCACGAATGAAAAATAAAGCGCCTAATTGTAGTTCCAGTCATTGTATTCTGCATAGACAAGCACTTGCGATGAAGCAAATGCCGTCTAATCTAAAATTAGTTATGGATGAAGCGGTAAAAATAATTAATTTTATCAAATCACGACCACTACAATCCCGATTGTTCTCATTATTGTGTGAAGATTATGGCAGCAAACATAAAACACTGCTGCTCCATACAGAAGTGCGATGGCTGTCTCGGGGAAAAACTTTAACAAGGCTATTTGAACTTAGAGCCGAGTTACAAATGTTTCTTTCAGCAGATACTTCTTTTAATTTGAAGGACCGTTTGTATGATAAAACTTGGTTGTTCCGATTGTCTTTTATGGCGGATATCTTTCAAAAACTTAACGAATTAAATTTATCATTGCAAGGTAAACAGACAACAGTGTTTCAGGCCTATAATAAAATAACTACTTTTAAAAGAAAATTAGATTTTTGGATCATTTGCATTGGTAAGAAAGAAATAGAAAGTTTTACGTTACTCACTGAGTTTGTTAGCGAAAACGACTCAGAAATGTTTGAAGATAATGTGTTTGAAGAATTGGTCCAATATCTCAGTTCGATGCGCGCATCTTTTGAAAAGTATTTTCCCGAAGAACACAATACAAAAATTAAAGTGAACTCCTGGATTCATAATCCTTTTTTACCCAACTTGGAAAAGCCTGAAAACATGTCAAATGAGATATATGAATCTCTTTTAGAAATGTCATCAGACACAAGTATGGAGTCATTGTTCAAAACGACGCCTCTTAATGATTTTTGGTGCAGAATCCAAGATGAATATGCAATGCTTGGCCAAATGGCTCTGGATATTCTTCTCCCGTTCCCAACTACATATTTGTGCGAAACAGGATTCTCTACCTACGCAGCCACGAAAACAAAATATCGCAATAGACTGGACGCCGAAGCTGATATGAGACTCCAACTTTCTTCCATCAAACCTGATATCAAGCAATTGATGAAAAATAAAAAACAGTTTCATACCTCCCACTAGTTAGATTTTTTCTTTTTTAATGTTTTCTATTATTGTCCTTACCAAGTGGTGAAGTAAATAATAATTAGTAACGGATACATTGTACTTTTATTATGCTGATTAATATAGAATACACTTATAAAAATAATTGTTTTATTGTAGGGTTCCATCAAGTATTTTGCTTCCCAAAAGGGTTCCGTCATTTAAAAAGTTTGAGAACCACTGATCTAGTCAATTGAGCCTCCTCAGTCAGGCAGGAAGACTATATCGATTCGTTAGTAAAAAATATATCGATTCGTTGTGTACAAAAATGCAAATAAAGAATGATTCGTTTTTAAAATGCCATTTTACACCTAAATAATATATATATGTGTATATATATTATTCAAATTAAAGCAATCTAACAAGTTGGTTTACAAATTTCTCTATCTCTCACATCTAACAGTAATTCTACGCAAATGTTTTATAATTAGAAAACATTACGTGCTCGTTCACTCTTTTCCATTTGCCATGTTTCCGTTCTGAAACAAAATAGTGCAAACATATATTAATTTCTTTTACTGGTAACAAATATCGGATAGGAAGCGTAAACACGGGGTAATTAATTATCTAGATCTAGAAAGTTTTCATAAGATTGGTTTATTTACATCTCTAGTATGATTCGTATACTTTGGATGAAATTCTATGCTGGATTTCGCACGAATCGGGCCGCGAGGCTAAACTCACGACACGATTTTCACCCGCAGCCGCGCCAGGTTTCGTTTAGTAGCCGCTGTGGCTGCGGGACCGCAGAAATCTGCGGTCTTGTGAGTTTTGAAACAAACAAAACAGTTCTGCATCGTTTTAGCTTTAAGTTTAATGCACATCATATCGGATAGGAAACGGATCAGCATCGTTTCACCTTTCATAACAGGGCGGTACGATTCAGTAAGTCTAACGATTTTTTCCATATCCACCGCGGGGGCAGCCGCAGAGTTGTTTTACTTCAAAACACACGAGACTTATTGGTAAAATATGAGAGAGAATGGGATGCGTCTGCTGCAAACTTCTGCATATCGATAAATTATTAATCAATAGTTGTTCTTTTTGTTTTAAATCACCACTCGAACTGTGTCTGAAATATGAGGAAATGGAAAATAACTACAAAGTGCACCTCGGTTTTGCACTCGTAGGCAAACAGTTCTCTTGTTTAACTTCTATAAAATAGGCTAGTTGACTCATGTCGAATTGTATTAAATGAATGTTTATTTTTTAAAGTATTTGGTCTAAGGAACCTAAATATATCGATTTCACTTCATAAAAGCAGAAGATTGCTGTAGAAATTTAATTTTAAAAAATATTTTTTATTAGTCTATATTTTATAAACACTAAAAACGCTGTTCGCCACATCCGCCATGATTGTGACGTCTCTTATGGTAAACAACTAATTGTCATTCGCGTGTTACTGTGGGTGGATTCTTTCGTCTGACTAAATTTATCTTAAAACACTTTTAACTTTAGAAAAGTTTCCGTTTACTGTTATTTTTTTTTTGAAAAAACTAATTATGGATGCCGGCTTTGTGAAAACAGAAAGCACAAATCTGCCAAGAATTGACGCATTGATGGTTGGTGAATTTATTGCACTAAACCCCGATTTCTGCTCTGCGGAGCAGAGAAACGACAAGGCATCTATGTAAGTACAGTGTTTGTAGTACAACAATGTAGCAATAAACATAAAACTGATACAACATATGAATAAGTGTAATAAAGTTGCGTAGGTTAATTTCTTTCGGCACTTTAATCCACAACTTTCCTGGAGTCTTTAAAAACACATCCTATAGTTTTTATATTCTTGTACAATACAATAATGATAATTACTTTATTTTTCGTGGTATTTATTAGAATTCATGTTTTTTTATTTTTGTTTACTGCAGTTAACGTCATAGCATAGATAATCTACTGACTAAAATGGCCGACAGCGTTTTTGTATGTTCATGAAAAATCTATTTTAAATTAAAGATTTGTAGCTTTTTAGGTCTCAAAAAAATAAAATACTTTTTTTTTTCGGTTTAATAGAACATTTATTAATCATTTAAAACCTTTTTCCAAAAAGGGTCAACTAGCCTATTCCGATTATTTTATTAATCTAAAGAAAATTTTACTTACCAGATAAAATCCAGTCGGTACAAGCATCAGAAGGGATTCGAACGTGCATCTTAAGCTATCGATGGTGCGGGTTCGAATCCCGTCTAATGACTGACCAAGTGGTTTTTTTTCTAATATTTTTCTAATAAAAAGCAAATACTTAATGTACATCTTATCTTGTACAACGTATATTAAGCTAGCAGACCATGGTCGCAACGCGCACATCTAACCTACTGGGTATTTAGTTGCTAATTAGTTACACTATTCCCGATTTAGTTGCTCAACACCTGTAAAAGATACATGCGATCTGCTAGATTAAGTCTTAACCTAGCAGACCACAATACTGTATCTTCGGTTCTCGTAAATATATCGAAGTTCTGCAAACGGCATATCGTCGGTGATATTCTGAAACCGCGGAACTAACAGTGTTTAAAACCGCGTAAGGTAGGTGCAGTGAATTTTACAGGAACGAAGAAATACATAATATTTACTGAATCACATGACTTTCTATTGTTTAAACATTTAAATCGTCAAATTATAATATTCTTCTTGGTATTGTAGGCATTAGTTTTGTTAAATATGTATTAATTAATTAGTAAATCGACTTTCGCGGTTTTATTATCTCAAATAAAATCAAAATGAGTTTTTTTATGTCACTTAAGCGGAATTGTCCGCCGAAATAAAACAAAAGAATACAATCAACATCCTATAATTATTTATTAAGTCAAATTAGTTAATTAAAGAGTTTAATTTTTGGCACATATTTATCACCGGTACATTAGGTAATCAACAATATACAGGAAATTAACACCATAAATCCCCATAATGTTAAAAAAAATAGCTCTTTATAGCTAAGTGTGTTAAACATACCTTGTTGAGAGGGTACTTACTAATTAACAGTTAAAACTAAAAATGAAGAACAAAACGTATATAAATATTACTTCTGAGTAGAATAATAATTGCACTGAGGTCTTTGTTAAAATGAGATCAATAAAACATTACTTTTTCTTAAATGGCAAATTATCGTAAAATAAGTGTCAATCTGCAGGTATCACACTCTTTAATTGCTGTAAGTGCTGATACTTACTGTCTAATATAGGCAGTCTAGATGAATACAGGGGAGGTACATTATAACTACAGCTGAAATAGGTTTTGGTCTCCGAGGAAGTGGGCTGAAATCATCTTTAAAGTGTTTTTTAAACTCTATTGTGCCGTTAGGATTATACTTTAAAACCCTCAGATCCACTACGCAATCATCTCCAGCAGAACGCCCAGGACGAATGGAATCATAAATTTGGTATTCTTTTAGACTGTAGTCTTTAAAAAAGGTGTAATCTGGTTGAAAAACCTGGTATGGAGAAGGATGCTTCCTGGCTTCTTTTGTAATTGAGGCATACTGAGAAGGAAGAAAAATTTCAACATTTTTCAGCTTTCTTTCCACTACGGAGTGTACGGAGGCAACCTCCATTTGAGTGTGACCTTTTTCCAGATACTTTTCTGTAATTGTTGTATTTTTGTCTACTGCTAATCTTATAAGGGCATTAGAAACTATTGAGTTTCTGTTCTGTGCAGTGCAGCCATCCGTCCAGATGACAACATCCCTGCAATCTTCTTCTAATAACTTAGTCAAATAATCAATGAAAAATGATGCGTAAGTGGTAGCTCTTAAATCACAGGCGGTTTCGTCGAACCAGTAGCAAGTTACATGCATACGCGGTTTCGGCACAATAAACAATCACCTGAAGTTACGCGGATGAAAAGACATTCGATTCCACGGCTTCCTATTGGATAATAGGCCCAGCCATCATCACAGAACGCAGCCAATCACTACAACGAAGCTAAGCCCGCGAAATCTCGATTTTGCTAGTTTTGTAAATACGCGGTTTTAAACACTGTTAGTTCCGCGGTTTCAGAATATCACCGACGATATTTAGTTGCTAATTAGTTATACTATTCCCGATTTAGTTGCTCAACACCTGTAAAAGATACATGCGATCTGCTAGATTAAGTCTTAACCTAGCAGACCACAATACTGTATCTTCGGTTCTCGAAAAGATATCGAAGTTCTGCAAACGGCATATTTAGTTGCTAATTAGTTGCTGTAGGACAGCATTATTTGTAATATCCCCCCATCATCCCTTAATTGCCGCACCAGCACCCACACTACCCCCGAAATACGATAAAATTAGAAAGAGCTCATCAGAGAATATAAACTACGGCGTATTTCGTTGCTAATTAGTTGCTGCAAAATATCGTTGTTTAAAAAATTTAATTATCAACCCTTAACTCCAGATCATCCCTGCAACCACCTCAGAATAGGACGATATCGGAAAATTCTCGTAGGTGGAAAATAGAATATTGCTAATTAGTTGCTCGTCAAAAACGCAGATAAGAGTATCCTACAATCATCCCCTAACCTCAGATCCACCCCCTCTACTCACTAAAAAATAGTAGATGCTTCGGATTCACACGCAGATGTTTAAAACTGCTGGATATTTCGTTGCTAATTAGTTGCTGCTAAATAGCGTTGCTTATAGTATTTAATTATCAACCCTTAACTCCAGATCAGCACTGCAACCACCCCAGAATAGGATGATATCGGAAAATTCTCGTAGGTGGAAAAAAGCGGCGGGATATTTAGTTGCTAATTAGTTGCTCATCAAAAACGCAGATAAGAGTATTCTACAAACATCCCCTAACCTCAGATGCAACCCCTCTACTCACTTAGAAACAGTAGATGGTTGGAATTCGCAAGCAGATGTTAAAAACTGCTGGATGTTCTGTTGCTAATTAGTTGCTCGCCAAAAACGCAGATAAGAGTATCCTACAATCATCCCCTAAGCTCAGATGCACCCCCTCTACTCACTAAAAAATAGTAGATGGTTCGAATTCACACGCAGATGTTTAAAACTGCTGGATATTTTGTTGCTAATTAGTTGCTGCAAAATAGCGTTGCTTATAGTATTTAATTATCAACCCTTATATACTCTTAACTGCGTTTTTGGCGAGCAACTAATTAGCAGCTAAATATCCCGCGTCTTTTTTCCACCTACGAGAATTTTACGATATCGTCCTATTCTGGGGTGGTTGCAGTGCTGATCTGGAGTTAAGGGTTGATGATTAAATACTATAAGTAACGCTATTTTGCAGCAACTAATTAGCAACAAAATATCCAGCAGTTTTAAACATCTGCGTGTGAATTCGAACCATCTACTATTTTTTAGTGAGTAGAGGGGGTGCATCTGAGGTTAGGGGATGATTGTAGGATACTCTTATCTGCGTTTTTGGCGAGCAACTAATTAGCAACTAAATATCCAGTGTCTATTTTCCACCTAGGAGAATTTTCCGATATTGTCCTATTCTGAGGTGGTTGCAGGGATGATCTGGAGTTAAGGGTTGATAATTAAATTTTTTAAACAGCGATATTTTGCAGCAACTAATTAGCAACGAAATACGCCGTAGTTTATATTCTCTGATTAGCTCTTTTTAATTTTATCGTATTTCGGGGGTAGTGTGGGTGCTGGTGCGGCAATTAAGGGATGATGGGGGGATATTACAAATAATGCTGTCCTACAGCAACTAATTAGCAACTAAATATGCCGTTTGCAGAACTTCGATATCTTTTCGAGAACCGAAGATACAGTATTGTGGTCTGCTAGGTTAAGACTTAATCTAGCAGATCGCATGTATCTTTTACAGGTGTTGAGCAACTAAATCGGGCATAGTATAACTAATTAGCAACTAAATATGCCTTTGCAGAACTTCGATATCTTTACGAGAACCGAAGATACAGTATTGTGGTCTGCTAGGTTAAGACTTAATCTAGCAGATCGCATGTATCTTTTACAGGTGTTGAGCAACTAAATCGGGAATAGTGTAACTAATTAGCAACTAAATACCCAGTAGGTTAGATGTGCGCGTTGCGACCATGGTCTGCTAGCTTAATATACGTTCTTGTACATGATAGCAAATAAATACATACATTTTTCTTTAGATTTATAAATGTAGTTAAATGCTTAAAAAACTAAATTATTATTCATTTAATTTTTTTGTGGATTTCTAGGTTTGCTCTTGATCCCTATACATTTCATCCAATTACCTCTTCTTTTTGTGTACATTCTATTTGGTGTGTAGTGTGTGTTTCTTAGTGAATCTTAATGGTAGTGTTATTATCTCTTCCTGTTGCGCGAGGTCGTCATGTCGCTTGCGTAAGGCAGCGAGCCGGGCTCGTGCCGCTTCTGCAAACTGTTGTGCACTTTGTTCTGGTGTAATGGTGTAGTGTGTCTGAAGAATGATAGTGTTAGAGGAGGTACCTCTTGTTGCTTAGGGCGGCGAGCTGGGCTCTTTCCGCGTCGAATGCCGTCTCGAGCTCGAGCACTTTGCTAGAATACTGTTGTGTACTTTCTGTTTTGGTATGGGGTGGTATGTCCCTAGAATGGTAGTTTTATTACCTCCTCCTGTTGCGCGAGGTGGTAGTGCCGCTTGCGTAAGGCGGCGAGCCGGGCTCGTTCCGCGTCGAGTGCTGTCTCGAGCTCGAGCGAACGCACTTTGCTCTCCATCTCGAGGATTCGCGTCGCAGTCAGCGTTAAAGCGGACGTGTCCAGCGCTTCTGCACACATTGATATACACAGATTTTGTTAATACATTGCGTTGTAAGAATTTTGGTTGATTTATTATTGTTAGAGGTTTGCATGTGCTTTGAAATTGCTGAACATGAAATAACTGAGAAAATTGCGGATATTTTAATGTTGTAAAAAAAATTCAACACCATAATATTAAGCCTGGGTCGCACGGAGCGCTTTATTACGGACCCGATCACACCCAGCTGGGCAAAAGGTCCGTGGAAACAGTAACATCCGATGAGGTCAGCGGCGATTTGCTGTGGCCTGTCCGATCAATCGGAAGTCGGTAAGATCAAAGGCTCTGCGGCGCATGTTGTGATATGTAAAGGCGGATCTGCGTCATTTCTTGTCTCCCTTATTCATTTTGTTTGTGGGTGTATATTTCACGCACTCGTATCAACTCCCGGCATGGATCGACACATGCGAGTGGAAGCACTTGTGCAGCTTAAGGTAACATAAGTTCAGCGAACAAATCTAAGTTTGTACTGTATTGTATGCTGCACTGCGGTAAATCACGTCTGATACAAAAAGATCCGTAAGTCCCGCCGCCTTTTTTAGCACCGCGGCAACCAACAGCGTAGGCGGCGCGCGGGCGCGGTATATGTACCTGTGTCGCGGCGCAGCGCGGGAGGCGGCGGTGAGGCGTACGAGGGCCGCGCTGGCAGAGGACGCGTGGGCGCGGTATATGTACCTGTGTCGCGGCGTAGCGCGGGAGGCGGCGGTGAGGCGTACGAGGGCCGCGCTGGCAGAGGACGCGCGGGCGCGGTATATGTACCTGTGTCGCGGCGTAGCGCGGGAGGCGGCGGTGAGGCGCACGAGGGCCGCGCTGGCAGAGGACGCGCGGGCGCGTTATATGTACCTGTGTCGCGGCGTAGCGCGGGAGGCGGCGGTGAGGCGTACGAGGGCCGCGCTGGCAGAGGACGCGCGGGCGCGGTATATGTACCTGTGTCGCGGCGTAGCGCGGGAGGCGGCGGTGAGGCGTACGAGGGCCGCGCTGGCAGAGGACGCGCGGGCGCGGTATATGTACCTGTGTCGCGGCGTAGCGCGGGAGGCGGCGGTGAGGCGCACGAGGGCCGCGCTGGCAGAGGACGCGCGGGCGCGTTATATGTACCTGTGTCGCGGCGTAGCGCGGGAGGCGGCGGTGAGGCGCATATGTACCTGTGTCGCGGCGTAGCGCGGGGGGCGGCTGTGAGGCGCATATGTACCTGTGTCGCGGCGTAGCGCGGGAGGCGGCGGTGAGGCGCATATGTACCTGTGTCGCGGCGTAGCGCGGGAGGCGGCGGTGAGGCGCATATGTACCTGTGTCGCGGCGTAGCGCGGGAGGCGGCGGTGAGGCGCATATGTACCTGTGTCGCGGCGTAGCGCGGGAGGCGGCGGTGAGGCGCATATGTACCTGTGTCGCGGCGCAGCGCAGGAGGCGGCGGTGAGGCGCACGAGGGCCGCGCTGGCAGAAGACGCGCGGGCGCGGTATATGTACCTGTGTCGCGGCGTAACGCGGGAGGCGGCGGTGAGGCGCATATGTACCTGTGTCGCGGCGCAGCGCGGCGGCGGCGCGCACGGCGGCCACGAGCGCGCCGGTGGCGGCGGCGGTGGCGCGGGAGGCGGCGGTGAGTCGCGCGAGGGCGACGCTGGCGGGCGGCGCGCGGGCGCGGGAGGCGGCCACCAGTTGCGCGGTGCTGCCTGCCACCTCGTGCGCTGCGGCAGACACGCCCTCCAGACGACCCGCGCTGCCTACCGCCTCATCCGCTGAACTCCTGCATACGTATACATCAAATTAATCTCATTTTTCCATAACCGCATCTTTTTAGTCGCAACTTCGACTCAAAACAACTCTATAAAGAAGTTGTTAGGAACTTTTGCGACTTGAGGCAAGGAATAAGCCTTATAAATTAATCCCTCGTTTATAAGTGCGCATTCGGGGAATGAAGTTGTAGAATCACATTCAGCTTGAGGTATGCTCAGAGAGAAAGCGGGTCATAGTTATCTGCTTCATAATGAGATACGACTTCAACAAAAATTTTAAACCATTAATTTTCATTACCTTTCAACTGAATACAACAAACGATATAGAACCTAGGTGTGAACCTTGCAGCACACTTAACGTAAGTATATTCTTTACCTTTCCACTGAATACAACAAACAATATGGAACCTAGGTGTAAACCTTGCAGCACACTTAACGTATGTGTATATATATATGTTACCGGCCAACCAGATTTCAGGACAAACTAATTTTGCCTAGGCTAAACTAGTTCTTCCTAGACGCGATAGGATTAACTAGTATAGCCTAGTCCAAACTAATTTGTCCTAAGCCCGATAGGATAAACCAGTTTAGCCTAGGCCAAACTAGTTGATCCTGATATAAATACGCACACTAGGATAAGCTAGTACGGTCTAGACTAAACCAATTTAGCAGAGTCGAAAGTAATTGAACAAACATGTCAGGACTTGTACAGGTCGCGTCATGTAAAAAGAACGCTGGAAGAAAGTGGAAGGAGTGTGTTTGCTGTAATTGGTTTTTGTTTAATGCTTTTGTTTTTACCGGGAGTTAGGAAGACAGTAAAGCCGGCTACTCATAAGCGAGCTGTAACCTTAACATGCGTGATACCCAAGAAAAAGTTTCTTCATCTGAAAATTACATTCATAAAGCTAGAACAACTGCAGCAGAAAATCTTGTGAAACAGGCTAAGAAAATGAAAGATACTTCTGACAAGTCTCATCCACCTGCCAACATTGGATACAATGTGACTATACCGATTCCAGTCGTTGACAAAGGCAAAGGTGATCTCAGAAACATCATTGGAGTAATTCTTCAGAAAAATGACCAAGGTTTTTTACAAAGTTGGCACCAAATATGGTGTACTTCAGAAACTATATTGCAGGCTATATTTTTTCTTACTTGATTACTTATCTATCTTTCTGGAGCATTAATGATATTCTTAAGTAGCTAATTTGTTTTTTTTTCAGATCAGAATTCGACATTTGCAATCAAACTTTTTTAGAGGTAGCAAATGTAAACCCAGGCTCTGAAATATCATTAAGGACTGCAGCTACGAAACATTCAGTTGGATCAGGGCAAGGTTTTGTGAGATGTAGCTGCAACAAAAACTGTTCCACAAACAGATGCCAGTGCAAGAAGGCAATAATACTCTGCAATTCTAAGTGCCACCAAAGCATACCATGTAAAAATAAATAACAATTTTAATAATTGAGATATGATTATTGTTTCTATTAAAAAAACAATTATTATTTGTTTTTTAGGTTTTATTTATTTATTTATTTTATTCTTCTTTACCAAAATACAGTAAATGGCGGATTTATTCTTACGATACAGACTAAAATAAATTTATAACTATACTAATTATCCATAACTTTTAACGATGAATCATTATCGTTTTAATAAATATTATTATTTTTCCAATTACGCAGTATTTTATTCAGTTTATGTATTTATTTTGACTTTCTAGATATACCATAATGTTTAGACTAGGCCATACTAGTTTATCCTAGAGTATGCGTATTTATATCAGGATCAACTAGTTTGGCCTAGGCTAAACTGGTTTATCCTATCGGGCTTAGGACAAATTAGTTTGGACTAGGCTATACTAGTTAATCCTATCGCGTATAGGAAGAACTAGTTTAGCCTAGGCAAAACTAGTTTGTCCTGAAATCGGGTTTGGCCGGTAACATATATATATCGATTAATGTGAGTATGTGTGTATATTTGGTAGTTATTATTATATCCACTTACGTTGACTTACACTCATCAACAGACCTGTAAATCTTAAATAAATCTCAGCTTAATATGAGATTAATCTTATCAAAAGTTTTCGTGAAGTCCCTACAAATTGCATCAATTATATCATAAGTGATGATTTATTTATTTGACATGCGCACATTTTTACACAAATAAAAAACATACGATATACATAAAGTTGTGCCAAAACAGTTACAGGCATACTCAACTCTTATTTCTGACAAAATCAGTGATAAAAACTAAACTACCCAGTACAGATTTTATTATGTTCTACACATATCCTATTTATAACACTCTGCGTACCCAGGTTGGTTTTATATTTTTTTTAATTAAATAATTTATAGTTAGCTGATCTGAAATTTGATCGTGGTATATTAAAACTAATTTTACTAAGAAGTTGAGGACAATCAATGTTACCTCTCAGAATTTTATACAGTAAAATGTGATCAAAAGGAAGCATATTTGAGTGTGATCAAGCCGCTATTTGGTCTAGATCTTTTTGTAAAAGCACAGCATCATTAGAATTTTCGACAGTATTGTATAATTTGAGATCGTCGGCAAACAATAAAAAACTTGAGTACCGAATAAGTCGAACCAGATCGTTTATAAATGCTAGAAAAAAGAGAGGTCCCAAATGTGATCCCTGAGGAACTCCTGAGTAAACAAGAATACAGGGTGAAATTGAATGTTTCTATGAAACTTCGTGAGATTGTTGGGTTACATGTATAGAGTATACCTGATTTTTTTCGGATTTTTTAAAATTATTTTTTTCGTTTTTTATTTTTTTTACTTTGCATTTTTATGTCCTTTCCTCCTTTTGAGTGATAATTATTTTTAAACACGTGTTCATAGTAAGTGAAATATAACAAATAAATAAGCACTATTAAAATAAACGAAAAATAGTTGATGTGGCCAGGCGAGGTCGACGCCGGGGGGAACGACCGCGCGCGCACAGCTGACGCGGCGCGTACCTATCTACAGTACAGTGAGACTACGACCTCGAGATACTGTGTTCATACTAAACAGCATCTCAAGATCGCTCTCAGAGTTGAGATCGTTGTATTCATACGGGCCTTAGATGTCATATTACAATGACAAAATTTAAATAAAGAACAAGTGTTATCTTCTCATTGGCAGAGAAAAATACCTAAAAAGTTAATAATAATTTTGTTACAAAAACAAATACTTATTGCAGTTTAATACTTGGGTCAGAAAGAAATTTATAACTAGGTATTAGACAGTACTTACGAGACCGGCGATGTAGTAAGTACAACGAGGAACGAGGAACATATTCATTTTTTTCACTAGAACTTTTTATCAAATCAATCACACTGGTAGTACACTAATTAGTTGTTTCGAATCAAAAAGTATTTACGCTAGCAAAAAAAGAAAATTGTTGCACTATACCACCATTTTGCTGCAAACAAAGGTAACACGTTTGCGGACGTGTCTTTCTACCTATTTTAAAGTGTCCCTGTCACTTCTCACTGCACAAAATGCAACTTCTATGCGTCTTTTTAGTTCCTTTTACTTTACTTTACTGAGCACTTCGTCACACTCGCGATAGCAGTACACCATTTCTAAATATTCTTGGTTCGTATACCGAGGCATAATGAAATTATCACAGTGTTTGTCACTATATAAGTCAAAATATGCGCACGCGCGATTTATATACTTGCGACTGCCCTTTGCATGCATTGCAATCAAAGCAAAGCACCGCGCGCGGGGAAGAGGGGAGGTGGGCGGGCGAGCGTCGGCGTACATAAAAGGCAGGACTTTTTAAGGTGCTTTCACATAATCATGCCGAAATAGCCCGCGCCGTACTACTTACTAAGACTAAGACTAAAGTAAAGCCTTGTATTTCTATAGTCAAACATTTACAAAAAAACTGCCGTTGATATTTGATACTGCCTCAGTAAGGCACCTCGCGCACTAGACGATTATGACCACGACCAGGAGCCGCGAGGACCAGATTAACTAAGGCACGTCGTGCACTAGGCCACGATCACGACCAGTCGTGGCCGTGGCCATCACAGCAACCTTGATCGCAGAAGCTACGGTTGGGCTGCGGACAAGTTTGTGGCAACGACCACGACTGGTCGTAAAGCGACCATATTACTGGTCGTTTCTTTATTTCATTAATAAATAACTCTTTCAAAGCTCATTGCAGAAAAATATCTTCGTCCTATAGAGTTGCGGAACGATACGAAGCGTGCTCTTTCACGAACTATCAGCATGACACTGAGAATGGCTGAAGCGACCAGGCCGCATTTGCGATCGCAGATCTAGAGTGCGAGCGCTCATAGCCAGCTATACGGAAGATAGTCGCAACGACCAGTCGTACTGGCCCGCACTAGATTTGCGACAGCGAATGCGGTCAATCTCAGTGTCAAGGTCATGCGGACAGTTCGTGAATGAACATGTTTCATACCGTTCTTCGACTGAATATGACGACGTTTTTTTCTACAATAAGTTTTGATACAGAGTTATTAATTAATGAAATAAACGACCAGCGATATGGTAGCGTCACGACCAGTCGTGGTCGTGGCCGCAGACCGCAGCCGCAGCCCAACCGCCTCTGCGACCAAGGTTGCGGCCACGTCCACAACTGATCGTGGCCGCGGTCGTCTAGTGCGCGAAGTGCCTTAATCGAACAACATGATAAACATTTAACATTTCAAAATTATAAAGTTGTTGTATCCACAACAATTCATTCATTTGTTGATAAAAATGTTGGAGAACTAGCGTCAGATTGTTCAATACATCGCTATTGCTGATTTAGTGTATTCGCACCTTTAGCGAAACTTTGGCGAATCGTGCTGTTTCTTTCTTCTCTGAAAGGAAAACGCGCACTATAAACGAAAACGGATTCACATCATCAAAGACGCCGCGACCGGCGCTAGCGCTGCACTTGTCTTGCCAGCGGGCGTGCGGGCGGCGCGTCGCCCGACCGTGCTTGCCGCAAAACAACATATTGTGTGTGTGTGTGTGTGTGTGTGTGTGTGTGTGTGTGTGTGACTGTGATTAAATGTGTTCGGAATTTCATGACGTGGGCAAATCAGTCACGAAGAGTTATTTCCTTCACTAAGCTCGTAAGTTAAACCGATTTGCTCTGTATAATTTTTCGCCGTTTGCTCAAGTTTTTATTAAACAAGGCAACTAACATCAACAATAAAAAAGAAGTTCTTACACTAACAGACAGTCTTTACCGATTTAAAATCGTGACAGTCATATTAACTTTATAGGATTTTTAATTGCTCTAACAGAAGATTTATTTTATTGATTAATTACCTGTGCTTTATGAAATAATATTCAAAGGTATTGTGTATCAGTGAATAAATAATTATAATATAGCATATAAGACTATTTTATTGTAATGTTTTTAAATAGTGTGGAATCAAAACAGATAGTAGGTAAGCGCCGAGTCATCTGCGCGTGTCGTAGGTACCTAGATAGGCAGCCGCCGGCGCCGGTCGTCGCCCCCGGCCGGGGCTGATCTGGACTGGAGGCATTCATTAAGTTTCCGTTTTTTTAGGAGTGCTTATTTTAAGTGGTTTTACAACTTCTATGTAGACGTGTTTAAAATGAATAATTACTCATAAGGAAGAAATGACAAATAATAACCAAATAAAAAAATAAAACACGTAAAAAAAAATTTTAAAAAATCCGAAAAAAATCAGGCATACTCTATACACGTAACCCACCAATCTCACGAAGTTTCATTGAAACATTCAATTTCACCCTATATAATCAGATTCATATCCACAAGTAACTACTTTTTGTGACCTCTCAGAAAGATAAGAATGACACCAGTCTAACAAAGTGCCGTGAACACCTGTCAAGCGTAATTTATTCAGTATTTTAGAGTGATTAAACTTATCGAATGCTTTACTTTATATAGATATAGAATGATGATAAATAATATAACTTTATTTGATGATGAATGACTCACACTAGCAACTTCGCTGCGAACACGACCGCCTTAGCCGCAGATATGAGCCCCTCGGACCACTGCGGGTTCTTCCTGTACATGTGCTGCCTTGTGGTGGGGTCTCCTAGTTCCGTCTGCAGCGCCCGAGAGTCTTGCACTAACACCTTCACGGCGCTCATCAATGTAGTGCAAGCGTCCAGAATTTTACCGTTCACTTCCAACTTAACGCCCGAGTCGCCAGCGCGACTCGCCGCTAGCAACGACTGTTAACGAGAATTGAACATTCAGTGTTTTTTGAAATAGCTCTTAATAGAATGGGGAAGAAAACTGTAATTTTATCCCGCCTGAGGCGCAGGTGTCGAATGGCCCATAGCAACAAATCGAGACAACTGACAAACTCACAAGGAAATTCGACAAATTAAGATAGACTTGGGCTGCGTTTCAAATCTATTCTCTAGATGCGACAAATAGCAAATTTGACATAAATTTCACATTTTATGTCAAAATGGAAACGTCAAGGTAAAAAGTTGTACTCAGAGCTTAGGTTTAGAACGCAGCCTTGCAGGTTGCTGTGGCTCAACGGCCGAAGCGCCATATTTAATGAGTTTTGCGTTTTTTTCACCATTATATTTGAATTAAATAAGGGTGAGATGCTTTATAGATAAATACACTTAATTGCGGCATACGCCCTTAGAGATCTAGTTTTATATGAAACACATATAAAGTACGGCTTAAACATCAAATGAGACATTTCAACAATAACCCTAAGGATCTCTACACCGATCGTTATTAGTATCCAGCGGTTTCTCGCGACTTTTAAAACATCATCGGTCTGCCCACTAAGTGTAGTCCAGTTCGGTCCAGTCATTCTAGAACCTTTCCGCCCCAACGGCCATCAGTTCTCCTCGCTACTTGTCCCACCCACTATAGTTCAGCAGAGCAATCCTTCGCAGCGTACTTGAGCTTGCAATAAGAACTAGCTACACTTTTACAATAAAGTTCCATAGAAAGCCTTAAATGGAACCGGTCCTAAATTTCTACATGTAATACTGACCTCTATCTGTGAAGCTGCCTCCTCTATCGCCCGGTCCATCCCCGCCAGTTCATCGTCCACGCTTAGGTGGCCGCCAGCAAGGTTGGCAGCTTGTTGAGCGATTTGTCCCGCCGTTTGAACTCTGCCACGAGCCTCCGTTAACAAATCGCCGGTTAACGAACCACTTTTCAATGATTCTAAGCACTGCTTCGTTGCTATCAGCATGGTTCTGCATTCGTTGCTCAGTTCTGGAAGAGTTTTATAATTTAAAGACTCGTAAAGTAGTGCAATATTTCATCAGCAGTTACATAGCTCAGTAATCTAATCATGTGCTAAATTTCTGACCCACCTAAGGTTGAATATTGAACAGCAAAACAATAAAATCATAGTGTATTAATGAACATTTAAATAAAGTTTGCAATAAAACATAATGATTTGATTTCAATTTATTATGGATTTTCAGTATAATATGCTTACTAGACTTAATGTGCATAATAAAAATCATTGAAAACGAATAATATAAGGAACCTAAGCGAAGAGTTTAACATTAAAAGATTTTTTTTTCAAAATCGATAAGAATTTAGAATTCTACTTTATATTTCAAAGTTTTATTGATCTTGAGAATTCAACAATGCAAATGTTAAAACCGTATTTCAATTAAATAGATCCCAAACTAAAGCACCTGACTGTTAATGCCGATATATCGCTTTATCATATCCCGTTTCGGTGGTCATGCTAGAGGGGCTGAGATGACGCTTGCGATATGAAATTTTTAACCACTCTTATACCATTCATCACGTGTCGGATGGAAGTGTATAAAGAGGAATTTCAGAAATTTTATTTTCTATGCAGTAACGATAAAATAAGACAACATTCGCTTTTAAATGACATAAAATTTTTCTTACTTTAAATAACATCTATCTGATTTGAGTTTCAAGTCTTAGTAAGGCCGCTGTAAAGTTTATTCCTATATTTTAAAAAGACCCGGGCAATCCTCTTGAGCATCGACCATAAACAAGAATACCTGCGCAGTAGAAATCTTACATACAAAAACGTTTAGTGCGCAACTTTAATTTTCTAGCTGTCTGTGTAACGCTGTGAAGTATTTTTCACCAGTCTTTCTCCACAACTAAAAAATATCCTTAACTAGTGGTAGGGAAAAAAATATGGACGATTCAAAAGAGTTGTATTATGCTTCCAATTTGAATAAAGAATTTTTGACTTTGTGATTTTGCTTTAGAAGTCTTTCGCTACCCATAACTATAGTAGATACTTACTATCCGCAAGCTCTATATCTGTGGACGTGTTGGACAAGTCAGAGAGTTGTGCAGACAACTGTGCCGTGTTGTGCGCCGCCAGTATCGCGGATTTAGCCACCGATTCCTCGTGGCCTTTTACCTGCGAAATAAACAGCGGTTCAGAATCGAATCAAGCTTGGAGTTAGCGTTTGTAATTTTAACAATATCCAGTTTTTAATGAAAGCTTTATTTAAGAAGTTTCAACTAATAAATATTCTTTTTTGCTTTTTATATAATTTTATATAAATAAATATTCTTTGCCATTTTATGAATGGTAATTGTTGAGGGAGACCTACACTAAAATGGTTGAAAAACAATGCTGAAGAAAAAGAAGCTATGATAGTCTCCTGACCCTGTCATTACCTGAGTGTGGGCCGCGAGTTGTTCTAATGCAGCGGCGGCTGGCAAGGCAACGGCGCGTTCCACTTCCTGCGCGTCCTCGTACAACGAGTTCATATCCTGAGACATCTCTAACGCTACCTCACACGTAACAGCTTTAGTTAATCGGTTGGTAGCTATGATAGTCTCCTGACCCTGTCATTACCTGAGTGTGGGCCGCGAGTTGTTCTAATGCAGCGGCGGCTAACAAGGCAGCGCCGCGTTCCGCTTCCTGCGCGCCCTCGAACAACGAGATCGCGTCCTGAGTCACCTCTAAAGCTGCCTCACCCGCGCACGTCACTATACGCGAACTCTCTGCGTTACAGTGATAATGTAATTAATACGGATGACTTCAAACCATTTCATCAGTTTCAAACTAAGCAAAATTAATCTTTCCCGCGAACTCCTTCAAAAATAAATAAGTTTTGAACTAACCAGAGGGCGAAATATTATTGAGATCTCGTTCAAAGTTTAATGAAATCTCAATGTGATTGTGATATAACCTAATCTATATAGCTTACGCAACACAAAATGAAATGGATCGCGGAAACAGTTAAATTTACACAAATATGATTCTTTGGATAATATCTTGAAAATCGTTTGAAGCTACTACAATTTAACTTACGTTTCTCAATTTCTCTCTTGGCCTCTTCCAGTTGTATCTTGAGTGTCGCTAAGTCTGCTTCGAGCACTGTATTTTGTTGCAAAAGATCCTGCAATTCAGATTCGGCATTCAGTCGTCTGCTGTCGGCGACATTTAATCTAGCTTCCAAAGTCTAATTATGTTCACGAAATTAAGTATTAACAAAATGAGGTATACTTAACGACCGGTCAGATCCATTACAGTCCAATAGAAATCCAGCAGAACATGCAAGTATTGCAGAGTTGCAGTTTCAGAGACGCAGAGGCAAGCCGCGGAGGTAGAAAGGAAAGGAAAAGAAAACATGCCATTATAAAATCATCCATAGGTCCTAAAAAGCATGGTTCTAAAGAAAAAATCAAATCAATAGTACTCATTTCAATTGAAAGATTGTAATAGACATTATTTTGAAAACCAAAGATTTTAGAATCGACACTTTTCAACTTACTTTAAAAACTAGAAACACTTCACAAAAACAGTAATTTGAGATGAACATTGATTAGTACCGTCACCACATAACACCGTAAAACAAACAATACCAACGGACAAACACTCCCACTTTTATTATTGTTAACCTAACCTGTTTTTCTTTATCTTTATCTAATATAATTGATTCCATCTCTTCTTTTTCTTTTGATTTTAAATTTTTCACTTCGTCTAATACAAGCTTGAGATTTTCAATTTCCTTATGAGCATTTGCTATATTCTCATCTTTTTCAATTATTTGATTATTAAATGATATATTTTGCATTTCAATTTTGTCGCACAAAACCTTAGTTTCATTTTCTTTCTCGATTTTTAAATTTTCGCACTCAGATTTCAAATTGTCAATTATGTCATTGAAATTGCTTTTCATGTCTTCTTTTTCATTGTAGATTGTTTGACATTCATTCCGTATTTTTTCAATAAATTCATCTTTTTCTTTAATATTAGTCTCAAATACCTAATACAAAAAATAATGTATTGTATTTACATAACATTATAAGGACGACACAACACGAAAATTTTAAACTAACCTGTTTCTCTAAACTAGAATCACTTGTAATTCTATCTTTTTCTAATGTCAATTCATCATTTTCATGGCAGAGTTGGGATATTCTATCATTCAGATCTTTTAATTTTTGGTGTTTCAATGATAATTCAGTCTCCCTTTGTTGGATTACAACATCATACTCTTCTTTTAAAGTCAGAAATTCATTTTTACCTATTTCCAACTCAGCCTGGGACTCATTTAAATCTTCCTCCAGTTTCCTATTATATTCTGATAGTTTAGTGACTTCCACATTAAGAGCAATGACTTGGTTATCTTTTTCAGACACAACACTTTTTAAATTATTAATAATTTCGTCTTTACATTCAACTACATTTTTTAATTTTTCATTTAATATTGTTATTTCTATTGACTTTTCTTTAAGTTTTTCTTCGAACTCAATTTTTTTTTCCTTAAGAATACTGGAATCAGAAAGAAGTACCTCTATTTCCTTATCCTTTTCTGACATTTTATTTTCAAGTAAAGAATTTTCTTCATGTTTTAAACATAATTTGCTTTGCAAATCGGATATTACTTCATTTTTATTCCTCTCAAGAATCTCATTAGCAGATTGAGATTCTGTAACCAACTTTTCATATTTACAGATGACATTACTTTTCTCTATTAGTTCTTCTTTAAGAATATCGAGTTGTTTGTTTGCCTCATTTAATTCGTTTTGTATGTTATCTCTTTCTTTTATCAATGAATGTGACATGCCTTCATTGTCTTTGTTACATTTATTCAACTCGTCCATCTTTTTCATCAGTGTTTTAATTTCGTTATCCTGCTGATGCAACTTTTTTTCATAACTTGATTTCGATGTTTCTATTTCAGACAGCAAAACTGCAAGTTTATCTGACGTTTCCGCTATTTGATTGTCTTTTGTGTTGATAACATTTTCGAATTCTTTAGATTTTAGATCTAATTGTTCTTTTAATACTTCAGATTTGTGTAACAATTCAGATTCTGTATCTATCAACCTACGTTTTAAAGTTTCTAGTTCCGATTGAAATTTGTTAGTGGAAAGCATTTGATCCTAGCGGGGTTAAAAATATAATGAATAGATGATAGTGCTATAATTGCAAAGGCTGAGAATGTTAATGTAAAACGATATACCTTTTAACTACCAAAATGAAACATGCAAAACTGTCTTGTTAGTATTTCATTCCTAATTACAGTTACAAAGACTATAATAGTCTACTTAATTAAGTATATATATATATATATATATATGTGACTGACCTCTTTGTCTTGTTGATGTTGCTGTTTTAATTCTTCGACTTGTCGCAATGCATCGTCTTTTTCTGCTACCACTTTATTGTACTCATCACCACTCTTTTCTCTTAGACTTGTCAACTCTACCTTAACTTTATGTAACTCCGTTTCGGATTCGAGTTTTTCGTGTTTAATTTGTTCCAATATTTCTTTTGTCTCCTTTAATTCGCCTGCTATTGTATTTAGTTTTTCTTCTTGTTCAGTTTTGGCAGTGTTGTGTTCTATTTCTAACGCCTCCATTGATGCTTTTAAAGTTTCTAATTCTGTCTCTTTTTGTCTAGAATTTTCTAGTTCTACTCGTAGACTAGTAATTTCATTTTTATACGCTTCAACCTCTTCACTAGAAGATGCACTTTGTTGCAATAATTCAACATCTCTGTAAAATATTTATATTCTTACTAATATTATAAATACGAGTTTTGAATTTGTACAAGTTTGTAACGTACTGACTCATAAACTACAGGACCGATTTCTCACACCATTAGAATGCTACATTATCCCTGAGTAACACAGGCTCTTCTTGCGTTAAAATACTTTGTTTTACCACCAGTGAAAATCCGGAGCAGATCAATAGTTTTATTATACAGTTACGATTTATGATTAGGAGTTATGTAAATCATGATATTGACTAAATATTATGTGAACTTACTTCATCCTATCATTGAGCTGTTGCTGCAAGGCTACTTTTGCGCTTTCGTGTTGGGCAGCTGCGGCTCGTAAATTAGTAGTCAATTTATCTACTTCGGCTTTCTAGACAGGAAATATAATGATAAAATAGTAGCATCTCCTTCAGCCACAGTAATACAGCAACTACATAATAAGTTTTACCAATAGAATTACCTGTCTTATCAGGTTGATATGTTCTTGTCGTAATTGTGTGTATGCTCCTTTTAATTTTTGAAACTTTTCGTCTGTTACTTTAGCTTTCTCCTCAGTGTCTGATAGTTTTTCTGTAAAATAAATATGTATGTTACTGCTGATCACATATGATAAACATATTATACCACTACAAGTAAGACCTTTCAGATACATACTTTTAATTTCGGGTGTTTGTGCAGTTAATATTTCTGACTTTTTCTTTTCCTGCTCCAATTCTGTCTGCCATAAAATAATCATAAAGGGTTAGATTAACAGCTAATAAAAATTATATTAAAATTCTACCAACTAAGAAATTTCGGAAGCTCAAATTAGAAGGTGTGAATGAACAATCGGCGTGTTTGGTTTCGAAGTCTATATTAATATTCTTCACTTGTTTTTTGATTACAAGATCAACAATTGCGTACGCGGGTTCGACAGGTGATACCTTCGTTATTTCTATAGCTCAAGTCCTCGTCACTTTGGAATGTAAGCAATCTATCTCATGTTATTTTATACAAAAGTATTCAGTTTTGCTTTGGAACTTACCTTGACAGCATGGAGCTGCGATTCGAGTCTAGTGGACAGCTCTCGCATGGCTCCCATTATGTTATTTCGCTCTTCCACTCTCGTAGTTACTTCTGCCCTGGATAAGAAAGTTACCTTTTATTTTACGTTTATTCTATATTATATAGCTATTTAATTTTTAGTGAAGTAATTAAGCATATCCTGGACCGATTATAAAGTTAAAAGTATTCACAATAAACAATTTATATAATTTACAGATTAAAATAGAAAAGGAAATATTTACATGTATAATTAAATTAAAACTACACTAACTAGTTTATAATTAGTTAAAATGTGAATGATAATGGATTATTTTTAATAACACCAACTATTCAAAGGATATCGTCTTGTAATAATATTGTTAATTTTATTATTTTCATGTTTAATTAATTTTATTTTTTTTTCGTTAAGCATAGGTACAGAATATTATTTGTATTTCGTCTGTTATAGTTTGAATGTAATTTTTTACCATTTATTGTTGCAGCTATTCACTATTTAACTGTGTGAAGAATTAAATGTTATTACGTACTAATGTTAGTATAGTGTCTATAATGACGTATTAATTAGTATTATCACGAACAATCTGGAAACAGATTTATTTAGAACATCGCGCTGCTCAACGTACTCGCCCGTAACCCGAATTACCTAGAATGTTTCGGTACACACGAATATGAGCTTTAACAGTGCGGTATAAGGTTGAAGATGCAATGAAAGCTGACAACTAATGAGTGCAGGAACTAGAGAACTCTATTGAACTTGATGTATCTAGAATCAAATACTTGGGTATAATTATTGATAAAAATCTTTTATGGTATGGTCAAATTGAAGCGGTGTCGAATAGGGCAAGAAGGTTAATATGGCTATTTAAATACATCCGCAGAGTAACTGATTAACAATTACTCGCGTATATATATACAACTTTAGTGCAATCTATTCTTTTGTACTGCATTTTTATTTGGGGTGGCACTTATAAAACAAAATTTATAAGTATAGAGCGAGCACAGAGAGCAATCTTAAAAGTAATGCTTTATAAAAAGAGAAAATATAGCACAGAAAAATTATATCAAGATTCTGACGTCCTAACGGTAAGGCAATTGTACATTCAACAATGTATTTTAAAAACCCATACAGATACATCTATAGATCCAAACATTAATAGGAAACGTAACCCATATTGTGTTATCAAACCAAATAGAGTAAGAACCATTTTCGCTTCTAGACAATGCTGTACACAACCTATAAATATTTACAATAAAATTAATAGAATATTGAATATATACAATTTGACATCACTTAAATGTAAAAAAGTTATTACTCCCTGGCTAAAATCCTTAACATATTCTCAAACCGAGAATATCATTAATACGACAATAATATACGGTAAATTATAAAAAAAAACACACACACTATATTATCTAGTCTCTCACATACATAAAAAACACACACGCACATACTGCTATATTATATAATTATATTGAAAATTAGCTACTAATGTAAAGAAATTAAGTCCTTTAAATGGTTTATTGTTTAATACTTTAAATAGTTAATGTATGATGCCTTCCCCCCTGGAATGAGGACCGCTATATAATATGTGACGCGTGTTTTGTCGCGCTCAGGTGTCAAATTCTTTGGAGTTTGACAGCTGGACGCGATATGACACGTGATACAATGAGAATTGTGGTGCTCATGCTACGGGGGCGGAATAAATTAGAACTTGTCTATTCTTTCGAAAGTAATTTTAATGTCAATAATAATTGTCATAGTAAAGTTCAATGTAAAAATTGACGAAAGAGCGAGTATCCCCTAATACAAGTACAATACTTAAAAGGGAATACTCAACAACATGTTTATATGGAACTTGTAAGCATTAAAGAATTTTTTCATTTTCATTTTCAGAATGCCTCAATTGCCATATATCAGGGTGCTCGACTTCACGCCGTGACAGTTGAAATTTAACGTAATTTCGGAACGATTACAATATCACTACGATGCAAGCAGTCTTCGTGCTATTTGTGTAATACCGGCACTTCACCTGGCTCTACAAGTTTGTTATTTGTAACTTGACATCAGTCTGCCCTTTTCAAAGCGCCGGCATGAGGACTTTTATATTGTACAATGAGTGTAGTGTAATTATTAGTTAATTAGTGTGTTTACCATAGAGTTGTGAGAACTGTGTGGCGAATGAAGAACTATCAAGCATAAACTAGCATTATGTGAGTGACCCAAATCGGCTCTAATTTTAGGAAAGTATAAAAACCTTTTATTGTAAGATGATAATGTAAATTTGCCTTTTATTGATAAATAATGGTGTAAATATATACCCTTTATTAATAGAGGAAGGTGCAAATATGCCTTTTATAATACCTACTACGAGTTACGATTTATTGTAAACTGCCATGCGGTGTTACCCGCAGTTTATTAGGGATGTTTTCCCGCAGTTAAACAAAGCTATGTGTTAATCCAGGATGTCAGCTATCTCCATACCAAATTTTATTAAAATCGCTCCAGCCGTTTAGACGTGAAGAAGTAACAAACATACACCCTCACAAACTTTCGCGTTTATAATATTAGTGTGATTACAATGTGTGAGGAGATTCTATGTGCTTAGTAATCCTCATTTCACCACTTATTCACCAGGAGCGCCCTCCTATCAATGTCATAAGAGTGCCACAAGGCCTAGGTCGGTATAATTTCGAACCCCTTCCCTACACGTGACAGTATCATTAAGACGACCTCCGTGGCCGAGTGGTTCGTACGCCGGGTTTCATTTCTATATAAATAAATGTACAGTATATGTATTCTATCCGTTACCCTAGTATGCCATAACAAAAGCCTTATACTGCTTACTTTGGGGCTAGGCTAATAGGTGTGAGTGTTGGAAATATTATTTATTATTATTATTATCATCAGCTGACCTCATTCTACGCAGCTCGTTCTGCAGATGGTCAATGAGCCGGTCTCGTTCGACCACCGGGTCTGGTTGCGGTGAGGGCGTAGCTCGCGTCTCAAATGCGTCCAAATGATCTGGAGTCGTTGCCTGTGAGATAATTACATAATCGTCATCACCATTAATATGCTACTGGGGCACAGGTCTTCCCCATGGATGGAATAGGGAGAGGGCCATGACCCATCGCGCGGGTCCAGTACAGATTGGTGGGTGCTAACGACTGCAGTCGTAGCCGGGACCAAGGGCTTAAAGTGCCTCCCGAAGCATAAAGGAGCTCGAGATAGTAGATTTTTAGTCACCCATCCAATGACCGACTACTCCGAAAGTTGATTAACTTCAACGATCTCAGCCGAACACGATAACCACTTGCGCCATCGAGCTCCTCTGAGAGATAATGTATTTAAATTCTATTAAAATTTCACGTTGCCTTTCCAATTTGACATTAAAAAGTACTTTGTTTAGGTTTTTAATAATCTTTATATAAATGAAATAGTATAAATAAGCGGCATTTTCTACAGGTATGATAGTGATTTAAATACAGTATTGAATTAGCATCACATTTTAGATCATCACAGGAAATACATATAATTAAAAACTGATTTAATGACATTGTAAATAATGTTAATTCAAAAATCTTAATTAATTAACGCTTTCAATCAAAGTATCCTTACTTGACTGATGGTATCCGAAGTGTCAATCAATGCTCCTACAGAGTCCACTTCGTCTGGTTGAGGATCAGGTATGGAGACTACTGGCGTTACATAAGTTCCGAAATCACTCTGTAACACAAAACTTAATTAAAATTCAACATAATCAATGTTTATTTGAAAATATAAGATTAAGAAGACAATACATAATTTACCTGTAATAGGAAGTTGGGTGGATTCGATGGCAAAACGGGCAAGGTCAAAAGATTTCTGTAATATTGCAAACTGCTTGCGTGTTTGTAGAAAGAACTCAACTTCTTGAACTGCTCTCGGAACCTAGGGGAAAAAAATCGAATCAAGAAACAGCATATCATTACCGCTCCTTATCTTTTTTATATTTTTCAGTCTAAGATTGTTTATAAGTCAAATCACGAGCTCGAGATAATAAGCTTTTGCGCCATCCAATGACCGACCATTGCAAAAGTTGTTTAACTTTCACGATCGCAGACCGAATGCGCTAAACACTTGCGTCATCGAGCTACGCCAATGACGCTGATCTCTTAGTATTATTATTACGGCGGGCTGTTTTCGCAATACGCCTATTTTGCGTGAGGACTGGTATCAGTCCCGCCATCCCAGCTCCTCTAGAAAGTCCAGCAGTCCCTGGGTGTTCCTGCAGGTTTCTTCTAGTGTCCAGGGATGTAACAGTAGATAAGTCCTTTGTCATGCAATGTTCTGCTGGAGTGTAGACGCTGATCTCTTCTTGTGCCCACTGAGCGTGTCGACGGGCAGCGCTTTTTTAGTGTCTTCGACGGAGCGGACGGGTCACGTTAATTTAATTGGTCACCGTCGCCCATGGACATCAGCAATGCCAGTGACACAGCTATGCCGCTGCTTTTCGTGGAAAACTCTATTTAAGCCGCGTTGACATGCTCAAAGTCTAATTTGAACAGCAGGCGCACGTTGCAGTCGTACACGTGCGACGCGTCCTGCGCGCACGGGATCAGAGCCGCCAGCCGGCACTGCCGCGCGCCGTCCCCGCTCCCCTGCCAGTATAGAGGACACTGACCTCTCCCTGTGCCCCGTGAGCGTGTCGGCGGGCAGCGCGGCGTGCAGGCGGAACAGCAGGCGCACGTTGCAGTCGTACACGTGCGACGCGTCCTGCGCGCACGGGATCAGAGCCGCCAGCCGGCACTGCCGCGCGCCGTCCCCGCTCCCCTGCCAGTATAGAGGACACTGACCTCTCCCTGTGCCCCGTGAGCGTGTCGGCGGGCAGCGCGGCGTGCAGGCGGAACAGCAGCCGCACGTTGCAGTCGTACACGTGCGACGCGTCCTGCGCGCACGGGATCAGAGCCGCCAGCCGGCACTGCCGCGCGCCGTCCCCGCTCCCCTGCCAGTATAGAGGACACTGACCTCTCCCTGTGCCCCGTGAGCGTGTCGGCGGGCAGCGCGGCGTGCAGGCGGAACAGCAGGCGCACGTTGCAGTCGTACACGTGCGACGCGTCCTGCGCGCACGGGATCAGAGCCGCCAGCCGGCACTGCCGCGCGCCGTCCCCGCTCCCCTGCCAGTATAGAGGACACTGACCTCTCCCTGTGCCCCGTGAGCGTGTCGGCGGGCAGCGCGGCGTGCAGGCGGAACAGCAGGCGCACGTTGCAGTCGTACACGTGCGACGCGTCCTGCGCGCACGGGATCAGAGCCGCCAGCCGGCACTGCCGCGCGCCGTCCCCGCTCCCCTGCCAGTATAGAGGACACTGACCTCTCCCTGTGCCCCGTGAGCGTGTCGGCGGGCAGCGCGGCGTGCAGGCGGAACAGCAGGCGCACGTTGCAGTCGTACACGTGCGACGCGTCCTGCGCGCACGGGATCAGAGCCGCCAGCCGGCACTGCCGCGCGCCGTCCCCGCTCCCCTGCCAGTATAGAGGACACTGACCTCTCCCTGTGCCCCGTGAGCGTGTCGGCGGGCAGCGCGGCGTGCAGGCGGAACAGCAGGCGCACGTTGCAGTCGTACACGTGCGACGCGTCCTGCGCGCACGGGATCAGAGCCGCCAGCCGGCACTGCCGCGCGCCGTCCCCGCTCCCCTGCCAGTATAGAGGACACTGACCTCTCCCTGTGCCCCGTGAGCGTGTCGGCGGGCAGCGCGGCGTGCAGGCGGAACAGCAGGCGCACGTTGCAGTCGTACACGTGCGACGCGTCCTGCGCGCACGGGATCAGAGCCGCCAGCCGGCACTGCCGCGCGCCGTCCCCGCTCCCCTGCCAGTATAGAGGACACTGACCTCTCCCTGTGCCCCGTGAGCGTGTCGGCGGGCAGCGCGGCGTGCAGGCGGAACAGCAGGCGCACGTTGCAGTCGTACACGTGCGACGCGTCCTGCGCGCACGGGATCAGAGCCGCCAGCCGGCACTGCCCGCTCGCGGTCATCGAGTTGGCGCGCGCGTTACCCAGACTGTCGAAAACTGCAAACAACAATCATTCGCTAAAGTGTGATCCAAACTAATATAATAAGCTTGGATTAGTTACTCTATGTTTTGTCTCTGTTCATTGAATGACAAATGGCACATGAGTGATATGAACATAACACGGCGTAAATAATCAAACCTTATTCCTCGTTTATTCATAGGTATAATAACAAAATTAATGAATAAATAAATACAATGATTACTCGGAATATCATACTTCCTACTCCCTTCGTATCCTAATCCTACTAAATATTATAACGCGAAAGTTTGTATGGATGGAATCCTGCAACGGAATTATGACACAAGCAATAATTTATCCTCAAATAAAACATAAAAAAAAATGATTTATTATTTACCTGCCGCTTGTAAACTGAGAATGTCGTCCATATAGTCAAACAACTCGACGCAAAGTTGGAAACTGCAATAAAATTGTACCAATTTAGTCATTAGATACATATTAGATAGTAAATAAACTACATATAGTATTCTTGTTATCAGAGGCAAGAGAGGTGCAGTAAAGATTACTAGTTATAATAAGTAGGTACATACATGAACGCACTGGTTGTTGACGTCGTTATCCGCGATGGCATCCAGCTCGTCGGCGGTGAGCTGCATGTTACCGGGGAAGGGACCTTCAGCTTGCAGTAAAGTTGTACTAGCTATATTAAGTATGTATGGACGCACTAGTTATTGACGTCGTTATCCGCGGTGGCATCTAGCTCGTCGGCGGTGAGCTGCATGTTGCCGGGGAAGGGAACTTGAGCTTACACATCGGCAGATTGCAGTAAAAGTGTACTAGCTTGCTCGTCGGAGTCAGCTCGTCGGCGGTGAGCTGCATGTTGCCGGGGAAGGGACCTTCAGCTTGCAGTAGAGTTGTACTAGCTATATTAAGTATGTATGGACGCACTAGTTGTTGACGTCGTTCTCCGCGATGGCATCTAGCTCGTCGGCGGTGACCTGCATGTTGCCGGGGAAGCGAGGATTGCGCGCGTGGAACTTGAGCTTGCACACCAGCAGGTTGCAGTAAAGGTGTACTAGCTTGCCGTAACCCTCGCGGAGGTGGACCTGCCATACAAGTAAGGAAATATTGTAGATCATTGGTTCTTAACTGGTGGGCCCTGGAAACACCTGAAGTGGCCCGCGAAGCCATTCGAAAAAATAATACAATTCTAGTATATTATCGTCAAACTATCTGGTGCATATTTTAACTGCGGGCAGCAGAAACAATTTACATGTATATGTTACTGACCTATATTTTGATATGATTGGAGGGGTTGCACATTGTAAGTGGGATTTTAAAATACGCCCCTGCAAACAACTGGTGGTACATAGCAAAACAGAAATTAAAACTCGTTAAGACTAGGTTAAGAACCACTGTTCTAGATTATAAGGAACGAAGGGCCGGGATTCATCTGAATAAAATTTATTTGTTGTTGATTTTTAATGAAAAATGCCTTTTTAACGTTTCGTAGTCCTGACAAGGAATCCTTATAGTGACTGTCTCGTGTCCCGGAATTTGGAAATTTTACGACAATTCTCAAACCCTACGTCACACCAAGAGTTTTCAAATAGCGAGCGTTTAAAATGCCCGTGCAAAGTGGCTATTGTAATATATTTTTTTAAGGATATATTATACTATTATATCGACCTTGAATATTTTTATACTATACTAGCCTACCCGGCGTACTTCATACCGCTTACAATAAATTTGGAAGACATAAAAGCTATCCGTTCGACAGGAACACAGTAAGGGAATGTACATTGAATGAATGAAAATATAAACATAATCAAGCATACTCGTAGCTCGTAGTCTCTTGTCACGAAGCAGAGGCCTAAGCACGAATTTTGACAGCTACGTAATCGTATCGCATCATCAAAGTTTATATGAAAATTAAGCAACGCCCCTACCGGATGTAGGTACAAACTGGCTCCTTCCATACAAAATTTGACGTTGACATTACGATTACGGAGCTGTCAAAATTTGTGCTTGTGCCTCAGAACTTACACGTCACCGAATCTAGCAACAGTGCGTTACTCACCCACAGCTTGCCTAGGTTCTCGATCATGGATATGTGCCGCTGCGAGTCGTCCAGGCAGGCGGGGTGCCCCTCACGGAGTAGTTTGTGCGTCACGTGGCAGAACTTCCACGCAACTATGCGGTTGTCTTGAAGCGGGAGGCGTACCGCCACCATCTAACGACGACGATATACCATGGTATGATTAAATAATACAATACTAGGCAAAATGATTCAAGATGTTTATTTTCTACCAGCATGAATTAAATAATGAAATATTTCAACATTACATGATATAGGAACATCAGCGAATTGCTGCTCGCCTATAATTTAATAAATAATACCGGATAGTTATCTATTGGTATTATAATCATCAATAAGAGGGCTGATGACGGGATAAAGTAAACGAAATTCTATTTAGTCCGTCAGTAAGATTATCAAATAATGGACACTTATTTTTTCCTTTGTCAATCAACCAAAACATGATAAAGTTTAAGCGCGTCAAAGTTTAGAAGTGGGAGCTCGTAACGTCACTTAAATAAAAATTGTACCAAGCCGTGATGTAAAATCATTTGATTATGTGAATAAAGAAAAAATATCTGTTCAATACTTTTTGTTAATATTTATATATATATTAAAAAACAATTTAAAGGGAAATAAAACTGATTTCAGAACCGCTGTTTTCATTCAATACTTTCTAAATGTAAATTTTCAAAATATGTGATGTCACACTAGGTAGGGGGGGGGGGAATCTCACAACGGGGGGAGGGGCAAAAAATCATGAAATTCGTGTGACGTAATTTATGGGTTTCGCTGTATCTGTGACGTGTTAGTTATTGTTTGTTTGGTTATATTGTTTTGGTTCTATTCTATACTGTGTACGTGTACAGCGTGTGTGGTGTGAGTGAAAATGAGCATAAACATTGACTTTATTAAAGACAATAACAAAACCTTTCTGCGAAACACCATGTCTCAGGATCGGCTAAATGCACTATCTGTGCTCAGTATTGAAAAAAAATTAAACAAAGAATACCGGATTTTATTGAAAAGGTGATTATACATTTTGCTTCAGAAAAATGTCGTCGCATTGATTTATTGTATAAAAAATAAAATAAATAACATATTTTATGTAAATTTCTAATCTTAATACTTAGTGAGCCTCTAAAGTGCACCACCAGTTCGATGACCCACCAGCCGCCACTGGTTATCTATCATCCCTATTAAAAGCAAGTTCATAGTCAAGTGTATAGGTTATTTTGCCATACCCAGTATGTAATGGCGCTCTGCTCCTGGAAGGTGCCGATGATGGTGCTTCTGACATGTTTTTCCTTTACTGGAGTCTCTATAGAGTTGATCGCCTTTTGGATGGCGATATTCTGCAAAAAAATATTGGACAACTTTGAAGACACGTGTGAATAGTATAGTGCCGGAAATGGGGACTTTTTACAACCAAATCCCAGTTGCCTCCGACGGGAGATGGTTTCACTGTCATTTGTAGATCACAGATATTATGAACGGGCAAACGATCGATAGGTATTAAATATTTTAAGAACCTACTTAAAATATTTAATACACCCTAACCTTATTAAAGTTGCTGAATACCTATTCTTATTCCCATCTATTCGAATTAATTAAGTAAGTATTACTTAGTTACACATCTGGTTGCATTTCCGTTTAAACATCTTCTTACATGTTTTATTCCTACAGTGTATTCATGAATACTATTAACATAGATCAAATGTTCGTGAGCAAGGCCATTCAAAGTAAGAACTTCATAAAAAACAGTATGTCTGAGACGGATCACGACAGTAAGTAACTGCTTATTCATACTCGAACGAATATAAATAAAAAAGAAGACTACCCAGTACCTACGTATTTTAATTTGAAAAAGGATAGGGCGAATCCAGACTTTTTTCCCTATGGTTTTCTTTATTTTAATGTAAGTGACCTAATGCATTTTATTTGATGCAGCATTTTTTTGCATGACGCTCAAGCTATAGGTATGTATGTGGAAAACAAAAAATAGTACATTAACCAATTGACGAGAAAAGAACATAATACTAATTAGGTACATAGATGTCTTCGAGTTTAGAAGGAAAAAAAAACTTATACTTAATTTACTATTGATCAGCATTCTGAGACAAATGAAATCATACTCCACAATAAATTATATATTGGCACGATTACTAATATGTTAAAAATCATATCCAATAATGTAAAATTATGAAACAAGATGTTTAAAGGATGATGGGCAAAAATGTATGGAACTTGGTATCCGGTTTCAATAGAGATGTGTTACATATCATTTGAAAGGTCTACTTGAATACAATAATGTCTACTATGGCGCTTGCCCTGATACGTTGTCGAAACAGAGTTATAAAATAAATAATAAAAAAAAGTTTTTTCTTTTTTAATTGTTATACATTTTAGTATTTACATTATTTTAGCAGTGTTGTAAGTATTAACAATAGGCATTAGGTTAGAGCGTTGATATCTGCAATAGTTTAAAAAAACTGTATTGCAGATGCCAGTGCCTTCCGACTTAGTAACAATACAACCTCGTGTGAACTATTTAATGTTATTCTTTAACGAGAACGTCAATAAAAGAAAAGGGTAAAAAAACATAATAAAAAAAACAATAACGAGCTTGTTATCTTGAACGGTAACCATAGGCGTATATAGAGGGGGAATTTTTTATGTATGAAGTTATCCAGAGGCAGAGTGAAAGAAACACATTTTTGAGTAATTACTTTATTCATTATCTATAATAAGGATGTCATTTAGGAACAGTGCAGGAGCGACGAATCCGGCGTGCCTGGCATAGCCTAGGTACCATATAATTGATAATATGTGAGCACAAGTTCCTATGGTACGTCTACCGGTTAGACATGTACAATAATGTTGAATTATATTAATATAATTATTATTCTAAGCTAAGTCGTTATTACTGAATAATACATAGCAGTAATAGGTCCTTGGTCGAACATGACGAGACCGGATTCGTTCTCGTAACAAACAAACATTTTGATCTATGCCGTATTCAGGCAAGTCTTGCAATGCATTTTCTCTATATGTTTCTATCGTATAAAGGCCATTATTTAAATGCTCGCTACAGTAAGACTGGCTAGTTTGAGTTGATATGTGCCCAAAGCAAGCACAATGAGTTCTTCTTGAGTCAGTTGGGGGAAGTTCTCCACTTGCATTGCTTCAAGTCTCATACGACTTGAGATTTATATTTATAAATAGTCTTCCCTTCGATGGTTCAACCGCTTTCTTTCTAGCCGCGGGTCAACGGGGTCAACGATAAAAACAGATTAACACAAGTCCATAAGAAAGCCGAAGTCAACGATAAAAACAGGTAAAAATAACGATGAAAGATAAAAGAAGGAACGAACGTAGTCTCACACGCAGTACTAACGATCGACTAATGCGCCCGCGCGCCCCAGCGCCCGCGCGCCCACACTTTCTGTCTACCTGCCTAAATACGGGCGGGAGAGGGGATGGCATCCCGCATTCAACTCTGTACTTGATTCAGTGACTCGATTTCCCTTTTTGGTTCTGTAATAATAAAAAATGGTAATAACGGTTCCGGCAAAAATGGTTCTGGTATTTTCTGGAAAAAATAAAAACGGACAACAAATACCAGAATGCCGCCATAGTAACTAATATTCTACATGAAAAGAGGTATTCAATGATATATCGCTCATCGTTATTGATACCAAACACCAATTGGATACCAAAATGCCCGTCCTCCTTTGGTTTAATTAGACATTTAAATGTACATACTTAAATGTAAGACAAATTATTATTGCAGTTATATTATTTGCAAGCAGATGAGGAAAACCTTGATAGGAATGATGTTAAATACGCGAGCTTTGATTTTTTTTAATACTAGACGTTGCTCACAATGTGGATGCATGCATATTATTCTCCCGTTAGGACCTCTTCAGGACGTTATATCGCACTTTCGTAATGGCGCAGTACAAAAATATCTTGTATTTGTACCGTGATAATAGTAACTTTATGCAGAAGCAAGTAACTGTAAAAATATTCTCTAATCTAATTAGATATGAAGTGCAGTTACAATATGTGCATAATACAGTTACAGGTTGGTCGTTCGCTTTAGTTGTACGTACCATTAATAGTAAACTTCTCCATTAAAATAATAATACATTGTATAACTAATTGATTTCTCAATACTAGACTAAAATAAATATTATCTGTTTTAGTTCATTCTTCAACTTCAGTAACTGCTGTAGTACCTACTGAAAAGTACTTATTAATTCGTTTCAATAGTTTATTCATATCGCACCGTAAACTTTTAAACTGTACACATTATAAGTACCTACTTTAATAATTGAAATTGATTCACTTTAAGAGTTCTTAGCACGGTACGGCCACTAGTCAACAATAAGGTATTGTATACAACTTTGCTGTTTGCTACCGACACGCTTTCCTCCTCTGATATTGCTTTGAAAGTGGGGCAGAGAGCATCAAATTGCAAAAATCTAAACGACACCATGAACTTACCCTGCGGTCTTACCAACATGGCATCCGAAAATTAATTACATCCAAATTAAGGTTAAGAATTCGTATTATAACCATTACGTACATTTAACGATATTTTTTCGTATCACATATTGCTTTGAATTGATCACACAAAATACAAAAAAAAATGCGCAACCGATTTCTTTACTTAATTCTAGGATGAATACAAAATATCTTAAGATGCGAAGCAAGCTTATAGTAAGTAAAGTGGCGCGGTAGCATAATGGTCAGTGCATCCGCCCGGATAGCTATGGTGCTAGTTCGAGTCCCGTCTTCTGTTTGGACTGCGTGAAATTTTTTCTAGTAAAATTTTCTTTAGAATTAAAGCTTATAGTAGTCAGTCAGTAGAACTCACCAGTTGTAAGAAACGTTTGTCGTTGTTTGTAGTGGTCGCCATAGCGTGTTAGTGCTCGCAGGCGAAGACAGCGGCATGCATTAGTTAAGTGCTGTGTGGCACTGAAAGAGAGTGGCCCGCCACACTTGTTTAGTACTGTTAGTGAAAATGATAAGATTGTGCACATCATGCATGCACGGACATTTTATAAGCGCTCATTCCATATATTCTTGGATAGAGTTACTTAAAAAATCAGGATCAATAAGCTATCCTGTCTATTATTTTGAGTATTATATGTTTGAATATCATAAAATACCCAAAAAAATAACGAATGTACCTCTATCAAAAATAGCGCAAATAAGCAAGTGAATAAACAGTAAATTAAATTATTACGAAAAATGTCTAAAAAAAAATTTTATGTAGCAGTTAAATGCTTAAACCGTGCGTCGTCGGCCATGTTGCTCTATGGCTTAAAATAAGAAATATAATAAACAAAAATAGTTTAAGAAAACTGGTAAACCATTTTACAACCGCACAATAATTAGGATAACGTTAATCACAGATTATACTTTTATAATACTATATTAAATTACAGTGCAACCTTAATATAACGTACCTCAACATAACGAGTTCCTTGATTTAACAAATTCTTCGTAATCTCCTTGAATTTTCCATAAGAGTCTATATAAAATATACCTTTACATTGCGAACATTTTTTGCGACCAACCTCTTTATAACAAATTTTTAACTATCAAAAAAAAAGTGAGTACCTCTAATTAACGAATTTTGTCTACCAAAAACCTCTATATATAACGTTTCCATCAATATATGGCCTTTAATCTCATAGTACGTGATTCATGTCACGCCAGGAAACTATTTTTTTACCTCTTTATAACAAATTTTAGACCAACCTAACCTCAATTTAACAAACCTCAGTTTAAAGAATTACTCGATATTTACTTGTTCCCTTCCGATTTGTTATATTAAGGTTGTACTGTATTATAGTTTATTCATGCAACGTAATAGATAAACATGTTCAGTACTTAGTGGGTAGCTCTGGAGTTTTTAATTACATCAACAATCCCATCTAATGCACATTGTTTCTAATTTCAATGACAATGACATAAAAACAAAAGAGAAGATTTAAATTACATCAACAGTTGATAAATTAAATGTCATCAAGATAATGACTGTGTGATAAATTAACTATTTGTAGTGTTATGTTACAGAGCTGAACTTAAAATTTGAGTACCTTAAAAGCAGGCTATGTTTATTAAATAATAAAATAACTTTAACTACTCTGCAGTGTAGCAAATTACCTGAAACAAAAAAGAAAATAACGGTAATAACTTAAAACATTAATTCAAGGCAAATATTTATTAATATTTTTCCTTTTATGTTATAAAATACATAAATAGAAGGAGGAAGGAACCAATAATTATATTAAAAATATCATAATAAAGCCTGTAAAAGTGAAATTCCAAAAGTAACAGA